TTGGGGCTTGAGGCAGCTCTGTCCAGCCCTCCTGAACTGGCCTTGCCGCGGGCTACGTTACATCACCTGCTGGCGGCACGATCGGGTCACGGGGACTTCGAGCAATATCACCGACGTTTCAACCACGACGACGCTCTAATGATGTGCTCTTGTGGAGAGGCGAAAGACGTGGACCACCTGGTCTACTGTCGACTAACGCTGGCGAGGAGGCAACGGTGGCCGACCCTCCACTCTCGCAGTATGCCCGAGCCCATAGGCCCTATGGGATCTCTCGAGGCCTACTTCAAGAGATTAATCACCGACCCACGAGGCTTCGAGGCCTTTCTCCGCGTGACGGACTTCTTCCAGAAGATCTGTCTGCGGTAGCAGCATCCACACCTACGTAGATGTGAGTGCGGACTACAAAGAACCTCCCGATTCCAAGGGACGATTTGGGAAAGAATGAAACTGGGGCACCAGCGGGAACCGGGGACAGACAGAACGCGTAGTGGCCACAAGGCATGATTTGGAGGACGATGTAAAGAGACGACGTACTGTAGAGTAGGTAGCCTTGGCTCACGGCCCTCCACGCCATATACCCTTCGGGAGGTCTGCGGTAAGGGCTCTAGCCCGGCCGCCACGGCGTTAAATACAACAACAACAACAACAACAACGGAGCCAACTCAACCGCTTCCGAGTACGTCGCGGCCGGAACCACCCTGCAGTTCCCCAATGCCGATCCCACTTGCAGCCGTCCCTCTCAAAATGTCACGGTGAACCTCTGCCGTGTTACCGCGCGCATCGCAACCTCGCCCCGGTCCGGTATCAAGTTCGAAGCTTGGCTGCCCGAGAACTGGACCGGCCGCTTCTTGAGTACAGGCAACGGCGCCCTCGGTGGCTGCATTCAATATGAGGATCTTGCATATGCCTCTTCCCTCGGTTTCGCTTCGGTGGCTACCAACAACGGCCACGACGGTCAGAGCGGACTCCCATTCTTGAACAACGAGGATGTGATCGAGGACTTCACGTACCGCGCCCTGACGACTGGTGTCGTTGTCGGCAAGGACGTTACCAAGTCGTTCTACAACAAGCCCTATACCAAGAGCTACTATCTCGGCTGTTCTACTGGAGGTCGTCAGGGCTTCAAGCAGGCGCAGGCCTTCCCCGATAACTTTGACGGCATCGTTGCCGGAGCTCCGGCCTTCGCCTTCAACAACCTCACCTCATGGAGTTGCCACTTCCTCCCCCTCACCGGCCAGCAGGGAGCCGACACCTTCATACCCATGACCATGTGGCCGACTATCCACGACGATATCCTGGCTCAGTGCGACGAGCTGGACGGTGTCAAGGACGGCTTCCTCGAATCCCCTGATCTCTGCGATTATAAGCCCGAAAGCCTCCTCTGTGGCGTCAACAGCAACCAGACAGATGCCTGTCTCACCCAAAAGCAAGTCGAAACCCTCCGCGGTATCTATGCGCCCCTGATCGACGCCTCCGGCGACCTCGTCTACCCGCGCATGCAGCCTGGCGCTGAACTCTCCGGCGCACCGCAGACCTATTTTAGCGGACAGCCCTTTGGCGCCTCGGACTGGTTTAAGTACGCGATTCTGAACGATTCCACCTGGGACCCGGCCACAATCACCCCTGAAGACTACGTCCGCTCCTCAAGCCTGAACCTCTTCAACATCGAGACCTGGGACGGCGACCTGTCCCTCTTCCAGAGACGCGGCGGAAAGCTCCTGCACTACCACGGCCTCATCGACGGCACGATCTCCAGCGACAACTCGCCCCGCTACTACGAGCACGTGTCCCAGACGATGGGCCTGGCCCCGGCCGAACTTGATGAGTTTTACCGTCTGTTCCGTATTTCCGGCCTTGCGCACTGCAGCGGCGGCACCGGAGCTGCGTTCATCGGTAACCAGGCCAAGAACATGGCGAGCCTTGACCCAGAGGAAAACGTCCTCATGGCTATGGTCCGCTGGGTTGAGGAGGGGATTGCCCCTGAGCATGTCACCGGCACTGCCTTTGTGAATAACACCGTGAGCGCTGGCGTCGATTACAAGCGTCGCCATTGCCGCTGGCCGACGCGCAATGTCTTCAAGGGAACTGGGGATTACAAGGACGAGAACAGCTGGGAATGTGTACCAATCTAGATTAGACGCCATTTCGGTGGTAGATATCCAGAATCTTGCCTTCTCTTGGTTGACAAGGTGGTCGCTTCGTTTGTTCGCGCGGCCGATTGTAATATCAACTACGTGATCTTTTTCCAATCCATTTCAGCCCTTCTGTCTTGACAGGGTTAGTCATGAATATTCATGTGTATTAGTACTATGTGTGTGATCATATCTGACATCAATCCAAACGGTCTTTGCTTCCCGACCGACGGCTAGTCTCCTGGGACGGGGCCGAAGAATTGGAGCCAATCTCGACAACGCTCATATCTGACCGAACATTGAACGTTCGGCCTCTCCAGTTCACCGTCGAGCCACAGAAAACAGCCCAAGTCCAAATGGGGAGAGCTAGGAACTCCCTTCCAAGCCAGGCGGGGACCCACTCCAAAAAGGACCTCGGGGGTGCTCCGCCAGGTGTCGCAGTGCCTCTGGCAAACTTGGGCGTATTCTCGTCTACTTCGACGGAATACCCAGCGTGAAGGCGGTTGTATGTGAACCAGTCGAACGTCATCCAAATAGTTGTAAACGCCGCCCAGTAGAGGCCAAAGGCACCCCAAGTCTGCGACGTGCCAAAGGTGTTGTGGAACCAGGGAAGCGTAGTGACCGCGAAAGCAAAGTAGCCGCAGCAGGGAAGGCTCTCAACACCAGGCTCGACTAAGGTGGCGGCAAGGACCGTCCACTTTCGCGCACGAAGCCATCGAGCGCGACGGGCAAAGTATGCGTGTACTGACATGCCGGCCATTGGCTGAACGGCAAGATCGCCCATGACGAGTCCGTGGTTCTTCATGCCCGGCAGACTAGACTTCCACAATAGATCGCCAATAAGATGATCCTCGCAGATGTACTCGGAGAAGTAGTTGATACCCCTAGGTAAGTTTTTGTTGGGTAATATCGGGTTTTGGGTCGGGTCCGTGACGGTATCTAAATGCGACTTGCGAAACATATTGCTCTTGCCAACAGCGCAAGGAGCTACGCCAACGGTATTGATTGCACAGTAAAACTTGGCGTGGCTTGTAGCCATGAACATCTCGTCGAGGCGGCCTCCACCTTGACTCTTCGCATAGTCGAGGAACGAAACCCTTTGGCCTTTGCTGGTGGTGTGTTGCGAGGAGCTGGGCTCGGAAGTTGGATACAGGAGCATCTGCGTCTCTGCTAAGGACTCTCCTCGAGACACAGTATCGACGACGATTGGCAGAAGGTGGACAAATTTGTAAGGCTTGACTTGTTTCCCGCCTGGTCCGTATCCCAACAGCTTGTCAACCATACGGCCAGCAACGCCCTTGGCAATCCAAATGTTGCAGTCCATGACCCAAATGATGTCTCCTTTGGCCTCTCGGTACGCGCGACTGATATTTCTGATCTTTGGGTTGGGGCCTAGGTTATCGACGTGGCCATCAGTGCCATGCAGCAGTGGATCTTCCTCCTCGACTAATACTCGAGCATCGAAACCAGGGAAGTCCTGCACTAGCTTCACTAAGACGGGGTATGCAGGGTCACTCTTCTCAGCCACGCAGAGGTGAATCGTCAGTTTGTCGCGCGGATAGTCTTGTCGGAACGAGGACGCTATGCATTCGTAGAGGCCATGCTCAAGACCCTTGACGGGACGGATAATGGTGATATGCGGTACATCCTCTTCCTTGAGAGATGGGGAGACGGCAGGTCGTAGGCGAGAAGAGTACGAGAGGAAGCTGAAGGAGATCAGTGGTTGGTTGTCATCACCTAGGAACTGAACTCACATTCTAACGATACCAATGGACTGCACGGCATAGACAAAGGTGCTCCATCCAGCGCAAACGATCGCAATGGCTTGCGCCACGGACGACCAGTCTACCATTATAGGATCGAAGCCGGTTGCGATGCGCGATGCGCGAAGAAAGGGGGTTTTGATGAGGAATAGCTGATACGCCCAAACGCCATGAGAGGAGGATGCTGCGGGAGAAAGGAAAGGAAGATTCGTCAAGAAACCGCGGACAGCATGGCAAGTGTCAGACTCCCGGATCCTACTCAGAAGCGAGGAAATTGGAATTGGCTGTAAGCTTAGCGGAGACGGGGCCGATAACCTCGCCAAAGTCGGTAGGACCGGAGGAGTCGCGTGGCATAGGATTTCGACGTGCCCCACCAAGCTCAAAGCTTGAGATTAGGAGTACCAGCCACACATGGGACCTCGAAAGCTGAAAGTGTGGCGCGAGCTTCACTGAAACCTGAGGCTTGAACTCGTGGGTACGTACCTGTAGGTCTCCACCCGAGTTATTCCGGTCGGAGCCTGAAGGGAGCACGGTCCAGGAGGTGGAAAAGAGTCAGACGGCGGGGCTTTGACGGAAGCGAGCGATGGATACGGCGGAAACCTTTTTCTACGCTGAAATTTTCTGCGCTCAGCACCGACTCCTTCCTTCACCATCCACACACGTCTGCCGAACAGGATCGAGCTGCCTCGAAAAAGTGAGGTGTTTTTCGGCTTGTATGGCCCAATTGACGGGTGATCTGTCGGCTAGACGGGTGGAATATTCCTCAATCAAGTAAGTTCCTTCAGGGCTCTCTCAATTTCTTCCTTTCGTCCATGAGGTGGTTGCCGCGATTGGCCAAGCCTTCTTCAGTCGACGCAATGACTTTATCGCGCGATTTGATAAAGGCCTGCTCAGCTGCTCTTCTGCCTGTCTGTTTGCTATGATGACACCTATTACCCATTGTGCGAAGAGTGCGTCTTCATTGAACCTCTGTGCCGCGAAACAATATAGACTACAACGGTATCTGATACAGACTTTGGACATCTTTTTCTTTTGGTTCCCGAGCACTGAGCCACGGACAACAAGCTAACCAGTGCCCAAAAGACAGACATGATTTGCTAGTACAATGTCGCAAACTAAAATTACGGCCTTACAGCCGGCGCAGGCTACGATGCCCGCTCAGAGCTCCTCGAACTCTACGACGACGTCGCGGCCGAGAGGCCCTCCGTTGCACAAGATTTACGAGTTGCCTGCTCCCATACGGACATTCCCGCTTCCTAGCTTTTATCCGAATAATCCAATTTCTCTATTCCATGTCCTTTTCGCTTGGACGAAACAAGCCTTGTTCCCACCGCCTGCTGAACCGTCCATTGTGCACGAGGGTATCTGGTCCCCAGAATCCAAATCTGTCAACATCACCGACGAGAAGTCAATGCGCGCGCTGTGGGAACAAGGGTTCTACGGCAAGGGCAACTTGAGTCGAAGTGAGCCCAACTGGTTGAAGCGCGAGCATGTCAGACGAGGACTTGTCCCAGGCCAGGTCAGCGAGTTGGTAACGGCAAACAGACGTGAAGAGCGAAGGCAGATGAAATGGGAGAGAGCCAAGACAGAACAAGAAGCTATCAGACAACTGCGAATCCAGGAAGCCCAGCTGGCGACTCAGGTGTCAGGGGATGGGGCAGTTGATCCCCCTGCCTCGGCCGCTGAGGCTGAGGCCACCCTTGATGCAACAAACAATCATGTTCCTGAGCGAGAAGCCTCGACAGATGCGGATGCCCTGCCTGAGCCACTTGTTTCCCTTAAATCAGCGCTCGCCGCCAAGTCCAACCACCTCCAAACAAATGGTGTCGATACGACAGCAGTGGCGCCCGTCGCCGGGCCTGAGGCCATCGGCCAGATGACTGCCGAACCCTCTACCTTCCAAAGGACATCTACATCAGCTATCGAGCCGGCCAAGATCGTCAAGCCCAGTGACTTCCTTCATTCGGTTCAGAATCCTGAGGTTCTTGTCGAACCCGAAAGTGCTCTGCCGTTGGATGAGATGCCTTTGGCTTCACATCCTCTTGTACGGAGTGCCCCTGTTGGCCCCTTGGAACTGCTATGCCTCCCCAACTCGCACACTCTGTCTGCCACAACAGGCTTGGTCGAAGTTGAGGAACTGAATCGTGGTGCTCAACAAGTCAATGGCTACCACCAGGCTGCGGTACAGGACGTTGGTCTCGGTTCTTTCGAGCTTGACGCTAAGGAATTACCCGTCAACGGCATCACAACTACATCAGTGATTGCCTCACCGGTGGGACCTTTTGAGCTTCTGTCTCTCCCTAACGCCGAGCTACCTGTGACCAACGGAACGACGAATGATACCGACAGCCCTATCGCCGACATTACTCTCTCCGAAACACCTAAGCTCTCGACGATTCACGAAGACGCGGGCTTGAATGGTCACCTGATCAAGGACTTGATAACGAGTACCAATGGCGAGAAGACCGTTCATCAAAATGGGTTGAACGGGGTAGCCAAATCCGCTGCCAGCTCTGTCGAGATCCCGTCAACACCAAAGTCGGCCAAGCGCCGCAAGAGCGTTCGTTTCTCGCCCAAGGTCGAGTCAGCCACATATCAGCTGTCCGACCCCCCTAGTCCCAGCCTCGCTCTCTTCAATGGAACCAACGGAAAGACGACACCGCCTGTCAACGGCACGCCACTGGGTCCTAGTGTCTTGGAGACAGATGCTGATGACGCGGCTACATCTAACGACATCAAGAAGCTCGAGAAGCTACCCGAGGTCACTGCAGAGCCAGTCGAGGTGGTGAATAAGGAACATCTTCAGCTCACATCCGAGGAGGCTTTCTTTCTGGCTTTCGGCATGGGTGCTCTTCGAGTCATCGACCCTGCCACCAAGGCACCGATTCCAACCCCCGAGCTCTTCGACCTCTTTAGACAATACTCTTATTTCCCACGTCGCCCTACCGAAGAGCTCCAACCGGACGATGGGTTCCTGGTGAATTACGCCGTGTACCATCACTTCCGCTCCTTGGGATGGGTTCCCAGAGCGGGTATCAAGTTCGGCGTCGACTGGATGTTATACGCCAAAGGACCCGTGTTCGATCACGCAGAATTCGGCGCCATCCTCCTGCCATCCTATTCGCACCACTGGTGGAAGGATAGTGACCGCAAGCTGCCGCGCAAGACCTGGCACTGGCTTCACGGGGTCGTCCGTGTCCTATCCCACGTCCAGAAGAGCTTGGTCTTGGTCTACGTCGACGTTCCGCCGCCTCCCCAATTAGAAGAGGCGATGAAGAAGGGCCCGGCCGAGGTCTTCAAGCTGTACAAGATTCGCGAAGTTATGGTCAAGCGGTGGTCAAGCAACCGCAACAGATGATTTCCCGCATTTCAAATTCACGATCTGATCTGGGTGGGCGTTGGGAAAGGACATGAAAAAGTTTGGGGGCGAAACATACGAGCCGGGTCTTGGTTATGGTTTGCGGTGCTGACCATGCATGGAGATCCAAGGGGTATACGAGTATTGGGAAGCGTCCATGCTTGCGTGGGCATTGGGCACGTTGTATGAATAAAACGGAAGACCCGGACTACGGCATATTCGGCGACAGTATGCCATTGTCTTTCTTGCTACATTAGAATACCCCACCAAAACATTTAGGATGATGATGAGGCAATCTATCCTGTCAATTCACAATGGTCTCAGGTGTGCAGGTTCACCTGGCGTCTGCAGCTTTCTCCTTTTCCCACGAGTCACGTCCTCGGCCTCCCGCAGCTTAAACGGAGTGCTTTCGCCGCTCCCCGGCCCCGGAGTCAACGTACTATGTATGTTCTCGGCCTCTCCAAGACTTTACCAAGCATACCCAAGCCAATTCTTCGTCCCCTTCATCACCAAGCCACCTTCACAAGTTCACACCACCATGACCACTCAAGCTTTGCACCAAGGAACCAAGCGGCCAAGCCCTGGCCCTCGTGTCCTATTCGGACGAACTGCGACGGTCAATTTTATTCCAGGGACCGAGCGAACCCCACACCGCGCATATGGATTGGGGATGGTGGTGTTTTCCCCGACCCCCCGAAAACCCCGCGATCTATCTGAATCCTTCTAGAGATCTAACTGGACTAGATGCCGTCCGCTCGCCCGGCGTGCAGTAAGGCAGCTGAGGCTAATGCCGGCGACAGAAAATGGAGGTGTGGTGTTTATACCTGCAGCAGATGACGTGAGTAGCATCTCTGCTCGATTCAATTTCCTACCAATCCCAACCCCAGCTTGCCCAGCAACAGGGAAAATGAAGAGACGGGAAAGCTGAAGAGCTTTAGTTCTGCTCGGAGAGCTGATTTGTCTCGGAGAATCGTTGCATTCCTCCACCAGTTCCGAACGTGGCTAAGCTTTTTAGGGGAGCTAGGGGGGAAGAAGTGAGAGGGGTAATCTACTCCGTACTAAACTTTGTCTTTCATCCCATTGACGGAAGAAAATTCCCCAAGCTACGGATACTACACCATCGCGAGTGGGGGACAGCCAAGTACCCCAGCATCATCCTAGACCTACCAGGGGTGTGGAGTAGTGTAGGTACCCGTCGTTCACTTTTTGCCTTCGCCGAATTCTACGGTGTAATACCCTAAGCTTTTGTTGCTCGATCTAATTTTCCCTGCAGGACTTTGGGACGTTCGGGTTCGTCAAACGGTCAAACGAAGGGAGAAGGAAGCTAGGTTCCTGGCCCTTAGAGGTGCGGCCGTCGGCTTGGGTTGCATCAAGGATTCGAGAGCTTCTGCTTGGCGCAGGCGTTCTACCGGGGACGGCGAGGCAAGGTTTAGGTCGTAATTGAAGCTGTCGGTATACTCGTAAAGGGGGGCCCAAGATGGTTCTCGTATATGAAGAGGATGGGCGTCCGGTCCGACGACGTCCAGGTGTTGCTTTTGCTTTTGCTTCTGCTTCTTCAGCTTCGTCTTCAGCTTCACAGTCATTACCACGCAAACCCCATCGAACAACACCTGAAGTGTCGAACCAGACGACTACAGAAGACACCGCGATGAAGCCTCAAGCCCTCCTCTCCGCCGCGGCCTTCCTCCCGGCCTTCGTCTCGGCTGCCCCGTCAGCGGACAAGAGAGCCGCGAAGCCTCCCGCGTTCTTCCTCGCTGGTGACTCGACTACGGCGGTGCAGTCTACCGGCGGTGGCGGTTGGGGCAACGGTTTCCTCAGCTTCCTGAAGAAGCCGGCATTCGGCACGAACTATGGCCGCAATGGACGTACTACGGTCGACTACGTCAGCCAGGGACACTGGGCTACCGTCAAGGACGCAGTCAAGTCCAACACGGCCAACTTTGATGTCTACGTGACGATTCAGGTAAGTCTTATATCCTCTCATCCTCAACATCGCCCCCTCAGATCTGCCGCAAGAGCTAACACGCTATCAAATAGTTCGGCCACAACGACCAAAAGCCCGAGAAGAATATCTCCCTCGACCAATACCAGACAAACCTCGGCAACCTCGCCAAAGAAATCAAGGCCCTCGGCGCAACCCCCATTCTCGTCACCCCTCTCACGCGCCGCAGCTTCAACTCGGCCGGCGTCGTGACCAACAACCTGTCCAACGAGCGCGAGCGCACCATCGCCGCGGCGACGGAGACCAAGACGACGTACATTGACCTCAACCTCAACAGCCGCAAGTACGTGCAAGCCATTGGCGAGACAAAGGCCCACTCATACAACCTCGTCGAGAGCGACAACACGCACCTCAACGCCGAGGGCAGCGTTGTCTTCGGCAGGTTGGTGGCGGACTTGGTGTTGCAGAAGAACAAGGCCCTCGAGCAGTGGTTCACGCCTAACAAGACGTTGAGCGATGAGATTTGGAAGGCTATCAACAGCTCCACTGTTTAAGGAAGTTCTTTGGAAAGCCGAACATGTCGTATCTTTTCGTATCCAGCTTGATGCTAATAATATCTACCCAAATTGCTATATGATTCTCTCTCGTTTCTAAAGATCGAAAGTCAAACTTGAACTTTGCTAAATTGCGAGACTCTGAACTCCGTGCGTGGGCAGAATGTTATGATTAAAGCGGCCCCTGAGAACCCTTTTGACTCGTCATCTCTTTCGAGACTATCAAGTCAATCCTATGGATCTAGTGCAATGGTTGAATATCGCAGTCCGTTAGTCAAGACTCAAGCGAGCTTCCCAATATGATCCTCTAATACCTTACTAAGTGCTAGCAAAAGGAAATGATGATTTACTGCGTGATATTTGAAAAAGCCAAAGAGTTCCACGAAATGACAATGGAACACGAGAACAAGTCTCATGAGTGACAAAGATGATTTCCAGAAGTTCAAGAAGGCCAGGGTCAATACGGTCAAATTTCGATCCGCAAGTTTAGTCGGGAAATCTTTTTCGGTCTGAAGCTTTCATGTTCCCCATTATATCCCGCCGGCTCATCTGCTAGGTACCTTACAGTTAGCCTAAGTCTCGTCCTTTCCTGTCCCTCATACTGCACCCGGAGTGTTATCGAACATTAGCAATACGTGTGGAACAGACTTTGGTAAGTGGCCAACGCCAGGAACTAAAATAGTTGCAGCATTGCTGTTTGTGTCCATCCCCGCCACCCATAACGTTACAAGTCTTTGCGTCCTTCTCCCGGAATTGCTCTTTGGATGGTTCGTTCTTGTTAGAGCCAGACGAAATTATAATGAAAAAAAAATGCAAAGCTACGATGTTTGCATATGAGAATTCATGTGAAGGGAGCTAAGCTACGCCGTCCGTGATCCCAACGTCTCGACGACGCAAGTCATGGTCACGAGGGGATGATTTCGCGTGGGTCAATCTGTCATGCACGGCATGTGATATCGGGCTGGCACAACATGCCAAAGCTTCCATGGGTAAGTGGTGTGGAACAGAGACCATACTTGATCTTGAGCTCATGTTTGCCAGAGAGCGTCATGTGTAAAATTAACCTTGCCCGTCTGGAATAGGGAAATGAAGTCTTCGACAGTAGGTTGCAGTGATGTGACCTTGCAAGACTTTCACTGAAATGATAGGTTGAGATGGAAAAGATTAGATAAGATGGAAGACTGGTGGAAGACTCGCAGAATGCACAAAATGCATGTGAAGAAGTGCCCCTCAGGTAAGATACAGTGACTAAGCTCCCCCGCCTTCCCCAGAAAAGATGCCATCCGACCGAGGTTCGTCCCCTCGTTTCGGCCCCTTCCTGACTGCTGCTACCGCTGCTCCCCTAAACTGTCAGGTGGGAGCTTCCGTCCCGCCGTCAACGGAGAGACGAGACCGGAGCTTACCTTAGGGCAGTGACGAAGTGGGATTGGACCGACCAGCCCTCCCCCTTGCACCTGCCCTCTTTAATCGGATCATTGTCCGCTCATCCAGTCTTTACTGTGTACTTCGTGTCTCGCATTCTATCTTCACCTGAGGCACTTTGCCGTAGACATCCTCCTCCCTCGGCTGTTGCGATACACCCAAGGTCGCGACGTCTCATTGAACTGACCAACTCCAGCAACACCTCTCTTCCTCTCCTCCTCGTCGCACAGCTTCCCAGTAGCTGCCACATCCTCCTTGTTCTCTATTTCTCAGTCGACGACATATCCTCGCTCGAGAACGCCGCATGCTGCATAAGTTTCCATCATGGTCCTGGCACGAACCTTTCGCCCTGCGGCGCGCGCAGCGCGCCTACTCGAGTATGCGACAACGAGGCCGACCTTCTCCTCTCCTCTTTTCGGCCAACGTATCCTGCCCTCAGCCTTCGCCAGCGTTCACACCACCTCCCCGAAGACTCAAGAAGCCGCGGCCCTCCGCCAGGAACAACAGCCCGACATGTATGCGACGGAACCTGACGCCGTGCAGCGGCTAGACCCAAAGGCGTGTGCGGATCCAGAGGGGGTTAACGTTCTGATCGTGCCGTCCCGCAAGGCGCTTCTTGTCACCGGTCAATGTTTCGGCCATGACCGTAAGAAGCAAATTGACGTGGCTTGGCTCCGGGACCGCTGTTGTTGCCCGCACTGCGTCAGTCCTTCCTCGGGCAACAAATCCTTCTCTACCGCCGAAATCCCAAGTGACATTACCTTTCAGAGCGTCAAAGAAATGCCAGATGGCTCCCATGAGATTCGCTGGACAAACGACATCCCGCGAGCTGCCGCCGTTGACCACGTCTCCGTCTTTCCAGCCACCGGCCACCAGAGTATTGGGAGGTCATTGACCGAATCGCCAGCTCTTTTCTTCCATCATGCCCGTGTACAAGAGCCTTTTAGATTCGAGTGGAACAGGGAATCCCTCCTTGAGAGACTGGAGAGGATCGACTACAAAGACTACATGGAGGGAGGCCCGGCTTTCAGGTCAACCGCCCTCTCCCTCGCCAAGATTGGGCTCGTTTTCCTCACCAACGTGCCCCAAACCGAAACTGCCGTAGCTGATATAGCTCTCAAGTTCGGCGCCGTCAAGGAGACGTTTTATGGCCGCACCTGGGACGTCATCTCTAAACCTGATGCAGAAAACGTCGCCTACACCTCCTCTTACTTGGGCTTGCACTCGGACATGCTCTATCTCGAATCGCCGCCTCGCATACAGCTCCTCCATTGCTTGGAGAACTCGTGCTCGGGGGGTGAATCCATCTTCAGCGACGCCTTACAGGCCGCTAGCTCAGTCGAAAAATTCGTACCTGATGGCTACGATGCATTGACCAAATACTTGGTACCGTACCACTATGATAAGAATGGTTTCTTCTACCGCCAAGCGCGACCCGTCATCGCTGGCAGGAATGAAAGAGACCGCGAGGTCTGGTGGTCCCCGCCCTTTCAGGCCCCTTTGCCGGGCATGCGCGATGAGACAGCCTCGGGAGATTGGCAAACCTGGCTCGACGGGGCGCGCGCGTTCCAACGAATCCTGGAACAAAGCGACAACGTGTACCAGTACAGGCTCCAGCCGGGCGAGTGCGTGCTGTTTGACAACCGGCGCGTCCTCCACGGCCGCCGGGCCTTTGACACAGCAAGTGGGCGCCGCTGGCTCAAGGGTACATATGTCGCCGACGAGGATTTCCGAAGTGCCCTACGGCCGTTCCTTGAACCCATCTGAAGATGCGTTGGATGGTTCATTAGAAATGTAGAAGCCAACGTGAACTTGATGAGCTCAGTCCGTTGAGATATGTACATACATATATGCCTTGGTCTACCGTCACTTGAAAAGTGGGCATTGCGCGGTTAGAATAGTCACACATCAGGTAAACATGATGGAGTCACGCGCCCAAGATCGGAGATGATGGATGACAAGCCACTCAAGGAAACTATGGTTGCTGATCTTCAGTTACGTAAGTATCGTCCAGCAACTAATCGACTAATGAACCCAAACGCCAGACTCAGGAGGACAGAAGAGTGTGCCTTCTCCCCCCCCGTGATGCACTACTCTTTTGTGTTTGCAAAAGGACAAATGCCCTGATGCCACTGCCAAAACGCCCCGTCATCAACGTCATATCATGATATCCTTCAAACCATTCCCAGGCGATATAAATGCCCTCCATGCCGTACCAGTAATCATGTCGCGTTTCACTGCTCACCAGACAGGTCTCATCTGAGCACCGTCGGTCGCCTTCAGAACCTCAAGACTCCCAGTTCTTGGCCTCGACACCTTCGGGAGGGACGGTCTCGACCTTGCGGTTTTTGACGTCGTCCCAGTCAGTGCTGAGCGAGGTGCCGTTGCTCTCAGTGAAGGACTTCATCATGGCGCGCCGGGCCTCGGGCGAAGCATCCTTGTACAACGTCTTGAAGAACCCGTTGATGTCGGAGTTATCGTCGTCGTCGACGCCTTCGAGCTTGTCCCAGTTCTTGGGTCCGGACTTGGAGGACGTAGGGTATGCGGGGCCAGAGGTCGCAGCGGCCTTGGGTTGTGTGGCAGCGACGGCGACGGGCGCCGGGCTGGGCTTGTTCGGGGCCGGAGCAGCGCTGCCGGCGGGGTGTTGCAGTGTAGGCCACTTGATGGCCTCCGCCTTCTTGAGCTGGAACTCGATCTTGTTCGCGGTGACGGTGTGCTTGGAGCCAGCGGGATCGATGCGGCCGTAGAGATGGATCGTGTAAGAAGGCTCGTGGCCGGGAATGTGCGACATGCTGATCTGTTGGAAGTCTCCATTAGAATCTGCCTTATTCTTTGTGCTGATTTCAAACGACTGAAGGAAGACGTACCTCTGACTCGCCATAGTCGACCTTGAAGTCGTCCTTGGGAATGTTCTTCGCAAAGACAGTGACCGTCAAAGTGGCGCTGCTCTGGAAAAAGTCCACACGCACGTCCTTCTTTGGCTGCGGCTTTGCGACGGCCTCCGCCTTGGCCACCTCGATCTCCTCCTTTGTGAACTCCTCTACCTCGTCCGTGTCGGGACCATCGAGCGAGACATCAGGCGCAAACTTGACCGTCACCTTTCTCTTCTCGTCGTCCTCGGCAAGCTTCTCCAGCCCGCCCAGGATCTGCAGCCGCAAAGCGCAAATGGAGTTCCAAATGGCGCCAAACTTACTCTGCGCCGGATCCTCCGTCTGCCGAACAGCCGTTATCTCGTTCTGCAGAGCCTTTCTAGTACCCTGCGCGAAACCCTTGTCGTCGACCTCGGGAGCCCTCAGCTCCGCCATGCTCTTGCCCTCGACCATGCGCTGGGCCCAGATGGCGCAGGTATCCGCGTTGGCCAACTCGCCAAGCCGGAAGTGAGCGACGGCGCGGCGGTACTGCGCATCGGCCATGAAGGAGCGATTGTTGCGGGCGGAGGCGGCGACCTGGGCGAGCTCAGCGTCGCGGAGGGCGCGGCGGAAGTCCTTTGTGCCGATGTAGGCCTTGGAGCGACCGACGAGCCACTTGGGGGATTTGATGACCTTGATGGCTTTGGAGAGCTGGGTGATGGCGGTTTCCCAGTCTCTATTGTCGACGGCGGTCATGCCGGCTGCGCCTGCTGTGTATTCGGACATTGTTGGTCGTTTGCTTCAGTGAATGCTTGGGGTGGTGGAAGGTATTCGATGCGGGAAGAAGTTAACTTGGAAAAGCGGTCTTAATGTTTGTGTCGTGGTTATAACTGTGACGCAGTACCAACGAGAGGAAACGTTGTTTATAACAAAATTGGATGGCAACCGATTGAGGTGAAAGGGAGAGAGCGAACGGAGAGAGAAAGAGCAAACGGTGATACAGTACGGAAGCTGCAGGTCCAACAAGGTTCGGTCGGTGCTGCCTCCAGATCAGAGGGGTCAGACTGTTCTGGAAGCTGTGGTGGGGCAGCCTCTCCACTTTATGCCGCCAAACTTGACCCACAAAGTCTCACCGCCTAGGTCACCGAGCAACTTACCGAAATGGGTCTGCTTCACCGAATATCCATCCTCATATTCGAATACAAAAGCATCGCATATATAGACCAGGGCGATTTAGTTTAGATTATCAATAGGGAGATGAAAACAGCTCTCAATCAAACGTCGGTACCCCCGATAAGTATCTCTTGGAAATAAAGCCCGGCAAAAGACGAAAAGAAGATGACCAACCCCGAGTCCAAAGCCTTGGTATTCGTCAAATTGCCTACTTCGCAGTCTGTCAGATTCACGATCAGTTATCGTTAGTAGTATCCCAAGGCAAAATTCGTATCTCATTAAGATTAATTATGTTCTACTTTTGATAAATGACCATGGTCTAGATGCAAAGACAACGATCTAGTTCTCTACAAGTCCCCCTTGTCGCTGATGCCAGGGGTAAGCTTCTCATCTGGATACTTGCGGGCAAACATGCCAAGCGCCTTGATCGGGAACGTGAATTTGTAATTGGGGTACGCAATCGTGCAACTCTTGTTGAAGACGCCCTCCATCGTCTCTTGGAGCCATTCGCCGTTGGCCTGCTGGCGGTCCATGAGGAACTGGATACCCTTTCGAAGGGGCTCAATGTTAGTGTATTCAGCCTCCATGAGGCCGATTAGTGCCCAGGCAGTTTGCACCACGAGGGAACCTCTTGGGTGCTCGTGGTACTCCATTGTCTCAGAAGCCTACCATCGTTAGTCTAGTGCTGGCAGCTAATGCAAAGGGGCTCGCTCACCTTGTAACTCTCGGACCACCCGCCGTCGTCTCTCTGCTTGGAGATGAGGAAGTCGCAGCCCCTCTTGGAGACCTTGCTGGTGCTGTAATTGTCTCCTGCGCTGGCTAGACTCTCCAACGCAAACATACCCGCATAGGTAAAGCAGATACCCCAGCTTCCGTACCAAGAACCGTCAATGTTCTGGTGAGAGCGGATCCAATTCACAGCACGCTTAACAAAGATGCGAATGTCATCATTTCGGTAGTCGGGCCAATGCTTCTGGAAAAGCGACAAGACCGTAACGCAGGCAGTGGTGCATTCGGGGTAATCGTATTCGATCATGATGCGGCCAAAGACCTCGGCAGCATTGAGCAACTCCATGTACTCGCCTCCACGACGCTGCTCGTATGAGCCCACGCCTCCAGTCTCGTTCTGGTACAGGAGAATGGAGTCAATGGAATCAAAGATGCGCTGGTCTTCGAGAAGCTGAGGATAGCCGTCAGTCTTTTGCAGCAAGATGACGGCCTTCAGTGCCTCGGAGATGCAGTCGCTGACAGCGTAGCCCTGTTCGCGGTTGCTGAAAGGCCAGCCGCCCTTGCGCGCCTGGCGGTAGCATTTGTCCGAGTCTTTGCAGTTTTCACGAATCTGCTGCCTGTCAAGGAAGCCAAGGGCCTTCTCCAGCATGGGACGCCATCGGTCATCAGTCTCGAGACCAGCGGCAATGACTGACTGGATCATGAATGCGGTGTCCCAGCATTGGACACCGTTGGTGCCGTTGCCCAACATACCCTCGGCGTTGACCCACAGAGAGTCCATGATTCTGTCTGCGTGTCTACGGACGGTGTAAGCCCCTGGTCCGTCCCGAATGTAGCAGACGATGTGGTTCATGGGGCCGTTGACTGGCGCTAGGCCTAGGTAATCAGTGTTGGCATCCTCCATGTCAACCAAATCGCTAGTCCAGGCTTCAGCTCTCTCCTTGATCCAGTTCGTTCGCAGGTAGGGGTTCCAGATGTTGACCAGACACCAGTTCACCGTGTTGAGCAGCCAGGACTTGGGATTGTAGTTGTCAACCTGCGCAATGCTGTTGCGATTCGCCTTCCAGTTGATGGATGCCCAGTTCTCGGGGAAGAGCTCCTTCTTGAGGTCTCGAATGACTTCAGTCTCTTGACAAGTCCAGCGCTTAGAGTAAACGTAGGACATTGGCAAGAAGACTTGGCGAATGTGAACCCACCACCGCCAAGGGGCGATAGGCACCCAGTCTGGCAGCAGCCAGATCTCAGGGGGAACAGGGTTGACAATCTCCCAGTCCACAACTCCTAAAACAGCGAGCCACCACTTGGCCCAGTGCGGCCCTTTCGTTGCGCCGCCGAGCTCATGAAGCCTTGCCCTGGCCTTGACCATGACAGGCTCCTCTGCATCGACGCCGATGAGGCGCAAGGTCGTGTAGTTCATGGAGGTACCGAAGACAGTGCTGGTACCCTCGGTGTGGAGACCCCAGCCGCCCAGCTCAGGATGTGCGCGGGCGAAAAGGTAGTTCTTGATTTCGGTTGCGAAGGCCGACGAGATGGGCGTCTTGGTGACATACCAGGCGATAACGGCACTTGGGAGGAGGAACATGGGGCCGCCGTACTCGCAACCCCAATCGCCGTAGGGAAGTTGGAGCTTTTCGATGAATGTGAGGCCATTGCGTGTTGCATCGAGTGGGTTTTCGGGTTCAGGAAGGATTGGGAGGTCCTAAGTGTGCGTGAGAAGTGTTAGCGAAGAACAGTGACATTTGCGCAAGCCGCAGCAAGTAGCAAAAGGTGGACTGACAAGTGGAAGACCCAAGTAGTACTTGTCGGCGTAGGTCTGGGGCCAGTCCTTTGCAGCATCATCACCTTCCAAGTACTTCCAGGTGTGACGACCGTCCTCATCCTTCATCCTCCATTTCGTGCGATCGGTTTTGGCGTCGATGCGGGGCTTCTTGGGCCATTCCTGCTCGGCGATGGCTTCTGCGACGCGCTTGCGAGACTGAACGGATTTGGCTCCGAGGGTGCTATTGCTCGAGGCAACGGATGGGGCTTTCTCGGCGACCATGGCAGGCAACAACTGTCCTCTCTATGTAACGGCGGTGGAAGTCGTCGACGTTGTCGTGGTGCAGAGGGACGATGTTGAGAGCCGTCTGGATCGGAATGGTGGGTGGTGGGATGGGATTCATGCACTTGTTAAATGGTGGTCCAGTCAGCTCTCAGATAGCGGCGCCCCCTGCGCGTCTCTCTGAGGCGGTGTCCCTTGAATGACGGGAAGATGCATGTACTCGGGAGAAACCCACCACATCCTCGTACGAGACCCCTGCTAGAATCAGGATTTCGTGGAGATGGGGGATAGTGATCAGAGGTGTACGAGGTGTTAGCCAGTGTTGATCGACATTATTAGTTCTTCGAAGCTTCGTTGATAATTTGACGTAGCTGACTTTGGTTCAAGATTGTTGGGGACATTTCAGCCCCAAGTATATAACTTAACATGCGAAACGCAAATTCCCAGACCATTTGACAGGTGCCAGGATATCGCACAGTTCCAGACCAGCGCAGAATAAACTTCAGCGGCACCGGGTCTCAAGAACCTAAGCTGTCCATCCCGTCACTCCATCACTCCATCTCCCGTCGATTACATAAGGTGCTTTCCCGTCCATTACCCGCTGCAAGGGCCACGGCCAAAAGCCCCACTGAAAGAGTGCCGCACGGTGCTCTTCCTATTGCCGTCCCTTATTGGTCAATGGCTGTTCAATATGGGGCGCCTCCTTCGTCTGTTCCTGCAGCTCCCACACCTTACCTTACTTCACCTTCAGCTTTTCTTGCACACCCTCTTCTTCAAACCAATCTTCCACTGAACGACAATCGTCGGAAATTCTAGAGTCTGACCGCAGGTGCTGGCGCGCGAAGATTGCGAGTGCTTTTTCTCGTCTTTCAATGGACTTTGCTACACCCCAATTGCTCAACGGCCACCATGAGGGTCGATTAACGGCACAGCTGTCTAATCAGAGTCAACCAAGCAACGTCGTGACCATCCCCGATCCGGACCCTAATCATAATGCCACCGGGCTCGCCATAGTAAAGTTGGAAGACATACTGATAGCTGCTCGAGAATCACTGCTGCAGAATCGAGAAATAGCCGTTCCCTTCAGGACCCGACCCTCCGCAAGCCGATCCGCCAGCAGCTGTGTGCCGTTTAAGACAACTCGATCAGCAGTTCGCTTCCCTGGCCGGACAGTTGAGGAGGCCACCAAGTTCAGTTCGTATTCTTGCTTTGTTGGCGGTAACTATGCCTGATACTGAGCCAACACAGCCCGGATTATGCGCATCATGCAACTCTCGCTAAGTGCCCTGACGGAAGGCCACCTGATCACCAAGAGGTATGCGCTTCGCCGCTTTCTGCTCTGCCTCGTCAGAAGCGTGTAGTGCTGAGCACTAGGTAGTACAGGAACATCTACTACCAGGACACCGATCTTTTCAAAAGACAATCCACCGTCGACAATCTCGTTGATGACCTTGCCTACACTCTTGGCCTTGGGAGAGAAGATCTCGGTATAGTGAGTGGCCCCTAACCTTGACATATGCCATCTTGTAACCATGCGTCAGGTTGCCGCAAGCAAAGGCCTTGTATCAGGGCCTATCATTCTGCGTTCCGGAACTCTTTCGGAGGTTGACGCCTCATCGACCGGGGATGTATGAAGGACCAAGATGCATCATCATGGCTCTTGCTAAATAAGATACAGGGGATCCTCATACCGTCGGTGAGGAGGGTGTCCCAGATTGACTTCGGTCCTACGCAATGGATCTTGGTCATCGAGAAAGAGGTTGGTGGTCTTGATGTTGCCCGCGGATCATCGCTGACTGAGGTGGGATAGGCAACCTATCGCACTCTGGCATCGGCGAGGTACCAGGAGACCTCTGCTTTGGGCATGGGCATTCTGGTCACGGTTAGTAAATTTGCCTACGGAAACAATATCACTTCAACTTTCTAACATGATTGTAGGGCAAAGGTTACCCGGATTTGAACACCAAGCAGTTCGTGCATCTTCTTCACACGGCCAAGCCCGAGCTTCCGGTCTTCGCTCTGGTCGACTTCGACTGCTATGGTATAGCTATCATGCGCTGCTATAGTCACGGCACCCGAGGCCATGCACATGAAAAATCAACGACTGTGCCTAGCATGCAGTGGCTCGGCATCAAAAGCGACGATCTCCCTTTCCATCAGAATGCAAACCCTTGCTTCGGGTCTGACGGCGGCGGCAGCCAGAGACGGTCTGGTGAGAGCACGTTCGAGTCTTCGAGTTCTCTCACATTACGGGACAGAACTCGAGCGATCAATATGGTCAGAGAAATGAGTGAGGACGGCACCGAAAGCGATCGAGGTTGCCGACGAGAACTACAAGTGATGATGTTCCTCGGCATCAAGGCAGAGATCCAAGCTGCGGATAACACAGGAGACATGTCGCGATGGCTCGATGAGCACATGAGAAGCTCATGATCTGCCCCATCCGCGACCTTGATTTCATTTGGGGTTTCTTTGGGTTCTTTATGTTGTTTTGAGTGCTGAGTTGATCTTAGGTTTTGGGCTGGCGCAAGGCAACTAGTGACATGAGAGGAGGAGGAACCGTGCGGAGTGCGCATCCCATCTTTTAACACTGTACCTCCACACACATCACCCGAAAATTTCTACTCAACTTTCAAGACTCATTTCAGGTCCTCAGACAGCACTCACAAAATTTCACCGAAAATGGCACCCAAACTCTCAGAAGAGGAGATTGATGATCTCATTTACTTTTCAAGAGCCGGCGAGGTCGCTGATCTCGAAGAGACGCTCAAGTCCCTGTCGGAGCGCGAAGACGCCTCTGTAGGCGAGGTCATCACCGCCGCCAAGGATGAGGGCAAGTCGACCTGCCTGCACATGGCTGCTGGCAACGGTCACCTTGGTGAGTTTCGCTGCACTCATACTATCAAAGTTTCCATCTCACTGACTCGTTCCGCAGATATCGTAAAGGCGCTCATCACGGCATTTGATGGCCGTCCCGCAGACGAGAAGAAGGCCTACGTCGACGCCGCTAACGAGTTTGGCAACACGGGCCTGCACTGGGCGTGCCTGGGCGGCCACCTTGAGGCCGTGAAGTACCTCGTCAACCACGGCGCTTCCCCTGCGGTGGCCAACGACAAGGACCAGATTCCTCTCGACTCTGCGCTATTCAACGACAAGCGGGAGGTAGCGGACTGGTTCCTGGCGCAGTCTGAGAAGATGGAGGGCGGAAACCAGGAGGAAGGGCTGAGCGGTGCCGCGGCAGGTATTGAGATTGAGGATGATGGTGCCGTCGAGGAAGACAAGGGCAAGGATAAGGCTGGCGAGAGCAGCAAGACTTCATAGATGGGATCTGACTTATGAGTTAAAGACAAAAGAAACAAATGAGTGAACGACTTTGATGACGCTCGAGGGGGCTTCTATGCTGTTGCGTGAATGTAGGCTATGTGAGGATTTTAACAGACTACTTTTTATACGTAAATGGTAAGCGAGTTGACATGCCCATGGTTCATCTGAATTGTTGAGTTTCAAAGGTCAGTACGTCATCATACTCGTAGCTCTCCTCAAGTTCGACCACTAACAAAGGCACATCGAACTCGCGTCGGTATGACAGCTTTCGAAGACAAGATTTCCTTCTTTCTGTACTATTCGATTTCCTGTGCAACTGCTACTCCTTCATACTACCTTGAATGAACCATACCGAGTTCAACCCTTCAATTCAAGAAACACAGATGTCGATTTAATATGTAGGCTGAGACAAATCACCATACCGCGAAGCTTTCTTGATGTTTAGTTGCATGCGGGTTATATGATAGCTATCTAACCATGAGAATATGTTAAATGAGTGAAAGAAGAAGAGTTGCTAAAGATGTTCTGAAATCAAGACGAGACAAACAATGAGAGAAGAGAAGCTGCCAACGGATAATACGCACCTCTCTTCAACGACAAAAAGAAAGGAGGGAGGAAGTCTCGAGGAAAATCTCCCGAACTGTACCACTCCGGCAATACTACGGCGTCAAGGCCACACCTAGTCCGAGCCCCCAATTTAGACAGCCCGCTTCTCAAGCCCACACTTCTCCAAACACTCTTCAACCTTGAGTACAAGACTTTTCGGAATCGCCTGACGAACACGGTCAATATCCTCCCCATCAATACTCGACCCAAACGAAGTCTCAATGACATCGTCGCTTAGCGCAAATAGCTGCGCCGCAACCATGGCAGTGCCGCCCTCATCCGAGGTGAAAGACACGACGGCCGAGGCGGGAGTACATTCGGGGTTGACCTGGGTGTGGAAGGAGCCCTGGGGGAAGACGGTCATCTGGTTGGGACCCAGGTCGGCGCGGATGACACGCTGTTTGCCGTCTGCGTCGAGGACGCCTGCCTCTGGGACCATCTCGGTGATGAGGCGGCCTGAGGTTACGACGAGGAGTTCGGAGGCGCGGGGGTGGAGGTGGAGGAAGGACATCGCGCAGGCTGTTTGTTGTTAGCCATTTTCCACAGTCGATTCGGGTTGAGAGCATTCGACTTACCGGGCAAGGAAGCGACGGCCATGCTGCCGCCTAGGCCGGTTACGGCGGGGAAGGTTTGGCGGTTGGCGAGGGCGACTTGGGACTTGTGGAAGTCGTAGATGAAATCTTCGTCCCTGGGGAGAAGACGGTATCGGGCTGCGCTGCTGGTGATCTGGGTTAGTAAGGATGAGCATCGGTATAAATTAATGATTTACCTGTCCGCGAGTTGAAGCTGAGCAGTCAGACTGAGACTCGTGGCCGACTTGTTGTCTCTGCGATGGGGAGCAGCCATGGCGAGGGAGGACAGGGCCATGGCGGCGATAGGAAGGTTTGGAATGAGCATTGTGAAGGGCACTTGCTGTGGTTGTTAGGGTATCTTGTGATGAGTCTGCTGGTCTAAATCAATTCCGTTGGGTATCACGATGGCTTTTATGTGAACCTATTGTCCGCCTCGACGAAGCATCTCAAGGCATCTTCGACATCTCACTCCAAATCCTCTTGGTCCATATGACCATCTGCCTCTCTGGCAACTCTGCGCAGTCTCAACTCAAAGAAACCAAGAAGGCATCTCAAAAGCTTAAACTACCCTATCTAGCTGAACACCGCCGTGCTCACTGCCTTGAAGATTGCCCGACAGATGAAGTGACAAATAGTTCTCAAAGAAAAGGTTGAACAGGATTGGCCCGTTTCCGCGTCATTTCCACAATAGGGCGCAGTCTGGTCCATTTGATGGAGCCCCAGATGAGTTGAGGCTGAGTCTGATGCGCTGACGTAGTCTGGTAGACTTGCTGAAGTCGCTGAATCGGGTCACCACATCACCGCCAAACACAGTAAGATATCACCTGAATGGACCGGTGAGCTCAAAACGGGCGCGGGTAAAGTTTCAGCCTCGGTGCGGTTGAACTACGGACATTCACGGCGTGACGGCTGGACATCGCACTTCGACAAGCAACGGCGCCGACCGTCCCTTCCTCAACCTCACCGACGATACATACCGGACCTTCCTCCGATAGTTGAGTCCTCCACTTGGATATAAGGATTACACACCGGAAGGAAGCTCTCATATAACCCTTCGATTCCATTCCTGTCACCAGCCAGCAGGCGTCTGTTTAGGTCGATGGATCGGGTCAAACTGACTAGGTGGTGGAGAGGTTAAGGGCAACAATCAACTACGCCCACAGCCTACTCGACGACAGGCTCCGAGTTCCAGTCCCAGCATGAGCACCAAGAGATGTAGCCCCCAGTTCAACACTGGGGGGGCAAACTCTTTTTTGTTTAATCATCGAGTCTTTTGAGTGTTTACAGAGACGCAAGGTAAAGTAGATAAACAATTACTAGTTATCATTGTTTCCCCCGACCTCCAAGAGATCAATGTAGGCGATTTCTTTTGTTCAATCAATTATAGAAATTAATTCAAACATTCCACTGACTGATTCATTCATCCTAACATGGCACTACATACGGCAAATCACAACGATGCGGGTCGTTTCTACGACAAATCTTTCAACTCTTATCATATTCCACCCCAGAGCTATTGGAGGGTTGATTAAGCCTCATTGTTCCGTCCGTTGCCTATGAATGTGCCATTTCGAAATCTTCTCGAGCTTTTCCCTATGTCCTGAACTCAACCCAGACCCTGGGGTGAAAACAGACAATTTCCCAGTTGAAGGTGCCTTGTTTTGGAGCTGCTTGACACACTGATGCGCTACAACGGCGTTGTTGCTTGTGGCGAATGAAACCTGGTTGTTTTCAGCTATTCACTGCAGCTTTGTAGCGGCTGAGATTGCAGAGTGTGAGTTCATCCTGGCCAAGCTCTTACCTTAATCGTGAGTCGTGATTCGTGAAAGGGATTTTAGCGAAGGCAGCAATTGCATAGCCAAGTTCAGGATAGAGACATAAAAAGGTTGTTCAACAAATGTTTTCTCTATCCATTACATGTCTGTGCGCTTTACCCTATAAGTGCTGTTGAATATCAACCAACTGGTCGGTGTAAGAGTCACGATGGGGCTGAGTAAGTGCCAACGCCGCCACCTCGTATTTCGGCCGGGAGTCTCTAATTACTCAGTCAACTAGATGTTCAAAATGTGGACTCATGTCTGTGTATGTAAATGAGATGGCAGCTACTGTACGAAAGAAATCTTACCGTTCCTTACGCAAATTGTTCGTCAGGGTTCCAAGGTGCACAATTCTTATTCAACTATTTTCGCTGTGACCACCGTCAGCTCTCCGATCCATGGCGCCCAATACATCCACTTACAAAACGGCTCAGCAACCGCGCCTCTTCAACGAGAGCGAGCTTCGGCGCTTTCAAGACTGCGCCAACGAAAATGAAACCCTCGCGGACTGCTGGGCAGGTGACAAGATCGTCATCGTGGCCTGCGAACTGTCAGACAGATACCAATACGCCGACGCACGGAACTCCAAAGCGATTGAAATAAACGTCATGTCGCCTGCCGACAAGCCTGTGTGGCGATCGCTGCCCCTTGACGACCAACAGCACGACGCGTTCAAGAAGCATTGCAGCACCAGGACGATTCGAATGCTCGAGAAGACGAAGGTGAATAAGAGTCTCCAGCCCAGGCCTTGGTCGTGGTACAATGCTGCCGCTGCGCATGAGACGTTTGAGCTCTATGCGGAGGAGGCGCGGGCTAAGGCGCAGGAGGCTTTTGATGCGCTGGGTGGGGAGGCGTACGCGACTTTGTGTGTTGTGAGCTACGATATCCGGGAGACCATGGCCGCGCTGGAGTTGTTCGGGGTCAAGTTGCCATCTTCCGAGATGGTGTTTGTGGACTTGATTAAGGTATTGGAGCATCAGACGAGAGAAGAGAGGGTGATCCCGGAGCGGCTGAGGAAGTACACCGATGACAACATCGCGATCAGGAACGGGAGGCTTGATAGGCGGCCGGGGACGCCGAGGGGTTATCTGGGGATGCCCAGTGTGAAGTTGTTGGAGGTGGTTGGTCCTGCTGCCCAGAGTCATCAGGCGGATTATAAGAAGCTCGAAAAGGGTAATGTGGCCTTGAATAGGATTGCAAGGAGGATCCGAAATGGATAGATGTGTAGACTCTTGATTCCAAGCATTCTCACAATGGCTTTATGACGGCTTCTGCCTGGTAAGGTCAACTTTCTTTCTAATCAATACCTTCGGTCAACAATGGCAATGAACCGGTTTAGTGACACTCTATGGTAGATTTAATTTTCTGCAAACACTCTCTTCATGTTTTCATTCTTTCCCCTCTACTCGCTCTCAATATCAACTTCACGCAGGTCGAAGATAATCCGCAACCTGGGTTCCCTGAGCGTAGGCGTTCGCAACGTTGGCACGATGAGCTTTTTCTCCTTGCAAGAAAAATTTTCGAATTTCCTCCGGGCTCATCTCCGGACGCATACCCCTCAAATTCGCCTGAATCCGACGCAACCCTTCTCTCGACTTGGCACGAATCGAGTCAACATCAACGCCAACCAAATTACCGTCTCGCTTCAAGATCTTTCCGTCCACCATGACCAAGTCGACATCCGCAGAAGTAGAGTGAAGCACAGCAGTCCCCAAAGGATTCGCTGATCCACTGAGCGCGCGTTTGTTCGTGATGACGACTATGTCAGCTCGCTTGCCGGGTGTTAGTGTACCAATCTTGTCCCCGAGACCGACGGCCTCGGCCCCATTTCGCGTGCCCCATACCAGAGCATCCCGAACGCCAAAGTCCATCTTCAAAGAGACTCGCTGGTTGAGGTGTTCTGCGCGGTGATCCAGCCCGCGTTGCGATTGCAGCTGCAGTCGCATCTGGGACAGAAGATCTGGTGGGACAGCGCTCGACGTGTCGATGCTCAGTGCTGGATCCAGACCGTGGGCGAGAGCCAGCCTCAGGGGAGGAAAGCCCATGCCCATTTGTATATCTGTGTCAGGCGAGAGCACAATCTTGCCACCCGTCTCGGAGATGAGGCTCATCTCATGGTCGGACAGGTTTGTGCAGTGGATATATACGTGTCCGGGGTGCATGTACCCCATATCCGCCCTGACCTCCAAGTCGCTTGTCAGATTGGAGGCGGGTACGGCGCTTGAGTGGGAGCAGCAGAGGAGACCCTTGTCCTGAGCGAGCTTCACTTCGTCACCCATCCAAGTGAAGGGCGTGGTACCGGACTGGCTGAGCTGCAACGCCACACGGACGAGCCCTTCCCCAGAGTCTTCCCCGGCCATCTTTCCCACGTGCTTCAGGCGTGCTTCCCAGCCTGATCTGCCCGCCGGCACGTCGCCATACTGATCGCCGCTCATGCCATAGCAGAAGAAGGCCCGGATCCCAGAATCCTTGAGACCCTGAAGCTCCGACTCAGCATGCTCTGCCGAGTGGAAGGACTCGCAGGTGTCCATGATTGTGGTCACGCCGCTCTCGATAGCCTCGAGGGCGCCAACAAGAGCTGAGGTGTACATCTCCTCGACGCCCGTCGCTGGCAGCCACCTGGTGTAGGTATTTGAGAGAAAGTGCCACAGGTGCTGGTCCACGCCGATACCGCGGGTGAGGCTCATGGAGACGTGGCGGTGCGCGTCAACCATGCCGGGAATGATGACGCCCTCGGTGGCGTCGATGACTTCGGCATCTGGAGCTGATATCTCGCCTGCCTTGCCGACTGCCTTGATGATTCCGTTTTCCACGAGGATAGCACCGTTGTCGAAGTCGCCGACGGAGTCGTCGAGGGTGAAGATGTGTCCTCCCGTGATGAGGTACTTGCCAGACATTGTTGCTGCGAAGTTCCTGAGTATTGGTGAGATTTCGGATGGGTTGAAGGCTCCAAGAACAGGGGGGTGGGATTTCAAGCAGTAGCTGTGGAGGTTCTGCTCTGAAGATTGGAGTATTGGGAACATCTGACGGTCCCGCGTTCATTTATGCTTTTTCGCAAATTCATCTTCTCATTTTATCGAAAATCATGCATTCTTGGTGAAGGTGGAGAGTGGTTGTCAGGCAGTTGAAGTTCGTTCCCCGCGCCGTTGAATTCTGAAGACTTGGAGTTCATCAACATCATCAACGGGCTTTTCTCGCACCCCGAGTTCCGTAACATTAACAATTGATCCATCGATGAATCACCACCAGGCGGGCCTGCGTAGCACTTGTGAGCGAATCGCAGCTTACCGACTCATGATTTCCAGGGTATCCTGCACGTTCAGCTTCACATGAGTGACTAAACATGGAAGTAATAGTAAGATACTACACAAGCAGAGAAATCAATTCTTGCAAAACGCTGATCCTCCCCTTAGGATTGGGAAAAGAAAGGAAATCATACTCCTACAAAAAGCTAACGATTGCGGTTCAAATGGACTTTTCCAAGTATAGTATAGAAGATAGCATTTGAAGAGAAAGTTCACGATATCTAACAGGAAGAACTCGGTTGGTGTGTACTCGGTGCTGATGCTCCACATCGTGTAAACCACTGCGGCGAGAATGTGGAACGGTCGTCAACGCCGGTTACATCGGGTTCACGGACCGCTCCGTGGGCCAGAGCACTGTCGGATATATCGCGATCAGCTTATAGAGAGACTATCGGGGCGAAGTAAGCGTACGAAATGTTCCAGACCCCACTTCTAGACGGCTATCGAGATGATTCAGAGACTTCGCCGTCTCCCCCTTGCGAAGAAGCAGAGGTCTACGGGATGGAGATGTGGTAGAACAGACGACTTAGACACGTGCTTCTGAGTGGTTTTGCGGACCAAAATTTCAAGGACGGGTATCTTGCCTTGGTTTATGACGACCACTTTAATGCATGATGAGAAATCTAATCCCTGGTTATGGGTCGACAACTATTACCCAAGCAAAAAAACATGCGGAGATCATTTCAAGAAGTGCTAAATTTGAAGGAACACACAAAGCATTGGCGGCAACTTGAGAAAACACTATCGCTCACATCGATTGAATGTTGCTATTTTCACGTGTTAGCTAGAAATCTAGTTGAACATCGTAGTGTGCAGACTTGAGGCGCGAAAGAGACCTGACAGGTTGTAGAAGATCCCTCAACCCCTGTCTGCGAGTGTCCAACGCACGCATCCACTTTGACCGCTTTCATAAACTAACCCAAGTCGCTCTTTTCTCTACTGCTTAGCTCTCGACTCTCTCTCGCTCGCGTCTTCGCGATTAGCGGACAGCTCACTCTCCGATTATCGCGAACGCCCCAAAGTATAATCAAGCTAGCGCACCGTAGAGGCTTTTCCCTGCGCCATGACCAGCAATACTCGCCACCCTAGGCGGCCGCCCTGACCTTGGGTCCCGGGGACGGTCCAACTTGTTGCTTGGTTCCATGACTCCGGCCAAAAATGTGACCAAGTATATGTTGCCGACGGTTGCAACACCCTTACACACTGACGGAATGCAGCAGAAGTCGATTCTAGTCTCACAGGCCCTCGTACACGAGTATTTATAAATCAGCCCGAATCTTGAGGGTCGAATTATTTCCCCAAGTGAACACACACCAAGATCCAAACCGTCCCTTGTTCGGAAACGTGCCGCTACGACTGTGGACGCTTCAAACAGCTGGCCCAAAACCACGAAGGGTGACACTATCTCAGTGGCAGCCTCGATGGAAAGCGACAATTCTTCCAGAGATACAAGCTTCGCTCCGACTCTGTTCTTAAAGTAAGGGCCCAAGTCCTACCTCTTTGGAACTTCCTATGCCCAGTCCGGCAGATACCATGTCCTTATTCCTCAAGATGCTTCTCGTTTATTATGATGGAGGCTCCGTGGGAGCTGCTGTCAGACAAGCCGCGACTGGTCTCAGATTGAATTATTTGCTCTCATCGAATTCGAAGCCACCGTCACATTCAGCACCGCTGAATCCGTCAGGACTTTAGTGTGCCAAGCAGAGTATTGGGTAACCATAATCATCGAAGGCAATTTATTCGATAGCTTGACGAGCGCTTTGAATGATACAGCCGAGAACTTTAAGACAGGAAGCGCTATCATGTATAAGGTATCTACAACCAGGCTCGGTGCCCAACAGTCGCCGACTATGACCTCCTGAACAGCATACAGCAAGGCTACTCCGCCTCCAGAAAGGCTATCTTACGATCATTGCTGGGTCTGCCAAATGTGACGATGGACTTTGGGGGCGTCAAGACACAAACGATGGTAGCCCTAACAACCCAAGCCTGCTGGTTCCCAATCTAATTCGATCCATGACGCAAATATGTATTTTCGGTTCGATGATGTTACCGCGATGCGGAGATGATGAGTGGGCCACTAGCCCAGCTACTTGAGCGCAAACGAGAGTACCGGCTCTTCAGACAGGAAAAATAAGGTAGAAAGCGTCAAAGCTGTTTCAGCCATTTATCTGGAAGGAAACCTAGCGTAGCCGAATTCCTGTTGATCAGCGTTAAAAAACAACAGGAAAAAAAAAGGTACAAAAGTTAAAAAAAGGTAGAAAAGTTTGATCATCCTGCAGCAGTCTTATTCCCTGTAGAATCTATCTCAGTCATGCTGCCTTGACAGGCACGACAGGTCAACTTAAATGTCGAGTTTGGCAGGAGATATTATTTGATTAGGTAAGTGGGATGCACACGTTTTCCCATTGGTTCTTTGGACCACCAGGTGGACTCTTACCGATACCTTTCCATTATCTTATCGATACAGTATCGATAAGGTATCGATATGAGCCGAGTAGCATCGTGCAGTCGTGGGGGTCCACTCATCTCGAATGCGCCTTCCCCATTCCCGCTTGGGACGTGTGGGGAAGGGGGGCATTTTTGGGGAAAGACTCAAGGAGCACCTCAGCACGCCCACCCCCCGCGTTGTGCCAGACACCTGAGGCGCAACTCTGCCAATCTCCAATTCCATCTCATCTTCCGCTCACCTCCCGTCTCCATCTCAACGGCTGCCGCGAATATCTTCAGCCCGTTCTGCGCACCTCTCTTGGCGTGCCGCAACATACCCGTACTCCTTGCCCGTAACAGCGCCACTGCCTACAAGGGTATACAGGGGCTCCGTGAACCACCTATTCCAGCTACGCTTAAACACCAAGCGTAGCTTTTGACGATGCTCTCATGAGCGTTGTCGATGGCGAGCCATCCATCCCCCAGCCAGCCTGGCAGTGCTGCAGCCAACTACAAGCGTGCGAGTCGCAGAGGTGCGCCTCGGCGGTTCGTTTGCGAACACCCCGGCTGCGACAAGTTGTATTCTAGGGCAGAGCATCTTCAGAGGCACCAGCTGAACCGTGAGTCAACTCCCCTATCCAGCCGGAGTCCTTGAAATATCACAAAGTACAACCTGACGCGTCTTCACAGACAATCCCAAAGAAATCTTCATCTGCGATATGCCAGGTTGTGATCAGAAGTTCGTTCGCGCTGACCTGCTGTCGCGTCACAAGAAACGTCACTCATCGTCGTACATCCCCCGAAATCGCGCGCCCAGCTTTGCCTCTGCGGCATCTGGCAACCTATCCGGCCCGGCTGTGTCATCCCCGACTTCAGGCGCACAATCACGGCCAGCGTTTCCACAACCTTCAACAAGCGGCCCTCACGATGCCGCCATCCTGCTGACTCCCGAATCTGCTACGCCCACCCCGACGACAGGCGCATCAAATTCGTCTGTTGCTCAACATGTCACAAGGATCAGCCAACCTGCCACATGGCCGTCCATCGATGATATGGCTGCTGAGATGATGCGATCGAAGCCCGCTTACTACGGACGTGATCAGCTATCCCTACCTGAGGCACCGCCCCTCATGCCAGCGTTCGACCCGAGAGGATTCCAGCCCGACGAGGCACTTTCACGGGAGAACTTTGCGGTCTGGCTGTTCGACTCTCAAGCAAGCTTCAGTGACTTTAATGGAGTCGCCGATCTTCCCTTTCTCGAAGGTGGCCTTGAATCAACTTTCAACAACAACATTCACTATGACTACGAGTCACTGACGAGTCGTTCACAGCTGGATCCGTCGCCACCTCGGCAAGTCGAAGTTAGCGACGAACTCATCAGCGAGCACCGGAGACAGGAGGTCCTCAGGTGGTTGAAGGTCTTCCGACACAAGCAGCCCAAATACGAGCCACGTATAGTGAGCCTTGTGCAGGAGAGCAATGGAGACTTGCCTGCTTTGAGCCTCGAAATGATGAGAGATTGTTTGCAAGAATACTGGAAGAGAATATCGCCACGCTTACCGATCGTTCATCAGCCAACGTTTTCTTCGAATCGCTGCTCCATTTTCCTCCTACTCGTGATGGTTGCTTTAGGAGCTGCATCCTTAAGCAGCAGAGACTCGACCGGCAACTTGGAACCGTACGGAGGGCTGGCAGACGTGATTATCTCCAGCAGTCGGTGGGAAATCCTTACTCACGAGGAAGCCTCAGCGCCGGTGGGCCTGTCCATAGCTCAAGCAATGCTGTTGCTCGAGTTCTACGAGAAGATATTCTCTTCCAGGCGTATGCACGAGAGATCACATATATACCACTCAGCGCTTCTAAACCTCCTGAGGAGAGGGAGCCCTCTTATTGGTCGCGCAGGAAGCGAATCGCCTCCAGAAGAAGAAGCCCCAGCACCGAGCGACGGACCCTCTTCAGACTCAAGAACGTGGTGGGTTCGGTGGGCCGAGAGCGAATCCATGCATCGCGTCGTTTTCGCGGCCTTCATGATGGACACTGTCCACGCAGCCATGTTTGGCCACAACGCGGACATGGCACCGCACGAGATCCGGCTTCCCCTGCCATGCGACGATGGCTTGTGGACGGCCGCGACCCCAGGCGTCTTCCGACAACTTGACGGGAACTACAGAATGTACGGCATCAAGCAGGTATCATTCCTCGATGGACTCAAAAGCGCTTTACATGGGCAGGAAGTCAAGACACACACCTTTGGACGCATGATTATCATGTCGGGACTGCTCAGCGTCGGATGGCATCTATCTCGTCGAGAGTCTCACCTCAAGTGGCTTGACCTGCGTACACCCAGCACGGAAACGCACGACAGCTGGAAGAAGATACTTTTCCGCGCTTTCGACGAGTGGAAGGAATCCTTTGACAATGCTGTGGGTGCGAATGATCTATCTGAAGGGCTAGGACAGCCGCCAAGTTCTAATGGGCCCATTCACTCTGCCGCTGTTCTCTACCATCTAGCCCATATCAGTCTGCACGTCGATATTGTCGATTGCCAGGTATACGCCGGCGCCAAGCGATTGGTTGGCCGCAAAGTCTCAACTCGCGACCATGCCAACGCTGTTGCAAGAATGAGGACCTGGTCGAATGCACCATCCACCCGGCACGCCGTTTTACATGCCTTTAAACTGCTCTACAAGGTTCTTGTGGACCATAAAACCCCAAAACGGCGGACGAGTAGCTTCGGCGCTCTACCTGAACCGGTCTCTGTCTACTATTCCTGCCGCAGCGAGTCAGATCCTCATCGGCCGTGGATCATGTATTATGCAGCCTTGACAATATGGTCTTTTGTACAGGCACTTGGTATTCCCAACAGGAACACGCCCCCGGGAAGGTTAAGTGAAATTGCTCGCTATCTGGCCCGTTTCTCGAGTCTGGAAGAATTGAATGAAGAAGCTACGCGGGACCTCAATGAGAGGTTGCCGGAACTGCTGGATCTGCTTGAGACCAGCCTAAAGCAGTCTCACTCAGAGCTCCTGAGGGAAGCCAGTGAAAGGCTCAAACTTTGCCGCGAGATGTTAGTATGAATGTGGTTTTGCACTTCCGATCAACTCTTCCGTGACGAAGATGGTCTGGAAGAGGTTTCTCCGCGTGTGAAATGCAGAAGATGAGGGTTGTGTAGAGCGGGCTTGCGGATGGACCTCCCCCTGCGGGACTCTACACACGCAATTGCGCATCACAAGCGACGGGGACGACAGTATATGTAAGTTGCGCATGATGTTCTCAGTATCTTCGGTCATGGGAAACTTACTTACTTTCTAATTAGACCCATTGCCCGATTGTTCACCATCCCCAGAGTCCTTGACCGGCCCTCGATTTGCACAGGATGATACCCTGTAACACCAATATATAAACCCATATCCGGGAGACATGAGCGGGATGTAATCGTCTCCAATAGAAACGTGTCAAAGGGCCAGCACGTTTTTGCAAAGCATGTCATGATCCAAGACGGATGGCATTCTGCAGAATCTGAATCTGGTATTTGGGTATTATCCTCGAAGCCCCTGAAAACGTAGTAATACTGAGACTGGTATACAAAGAGAACTTTAACTATTCGTCAAAGAATGTCTGATACATGATGAATTGTATAGCTTTTGTCTGCCTTGCTTTACTTTCATCGTATCTCTCCATCGAATAACTATAGATATTCCTTGGAACCTGGATGTAGCGTTGCAGCCTACACCACAAGTTGTTTTGCATACCCTCAAGTCTTACCCCTATGCAGTCGCACCAGCGGCGGCGCCAGCCTGCGGGAGGAAGAAGGCGAACTCTCCATTCATGTTAGCAACCTTCAAGGTCAACTCATTCTCCTCGGCTTCGAATTCGAGTTCACCGAGAGCCGGGTCGATAATGAAGGCGTTCAGCTCCGGGAAGAGGCGGCCCACTTGTCCCTTGCTGATGTCGAGGGTATCTACGTCTCATGTTAGCTCACCACTGCTGCTGCCAAGAAGACTCAAAGGGCTGACTTACTTCCTGGGTTGAGAATGTAGTCAATCTTTGAGAGAGTCACGCCCTGTGCGCCTTCTGCGAGGCTGACTTTGTACGAAACCGCCTCGATGGCGGTGAACCCCGCGGGAGGCGGCGCGGGGGATCTGTTTTCCGTCACGGTGAGGGTTCGGCCGACTGCGTTTTGGAATTCGACCTCGAAACGTCCATTTTTCTGCGAGGAATCGTTAGGCACATGTCTTTACAGTCATCTTTAGTGAGAGCGAGAGTTTGAGACTCACTGCTGGAGGAAAGAGAACATCTTGCTTGACATTCGCACCGCCTAACCGAACAGGAACGATGAACTGTCCCTCAATCTCCTTTTCGTTGGGATCTTTCGCCTCCTCGCCGCCGCCGGCTGCGCCGCCTTCCGCACCTCCGACTGCTCCTTCCGCTGCGCCTGTTTCACCTGCAGCGGCTTCTTTTTCGGTGACTTTGGATGGAGCTGTTGCTACGCTTTGTGCGAGGCTTCGTTCTGCGAGACCTAAACCCACCGAGGCTTTCGTGATGCTGTTGCTTCGGGAGAGTACTTCGATAGTCGAAATTGGCAGTGATACGGCTAGGAGGAGCTGGCATGAGATGGTGGCGAGTGTCGAGGGCCTCATTTTGAAAAAGAAAAAGAGTATATTATTATTGAAAGAATCAAAGTTGTGAAAGAGACCAACACGGCTGGCTCGTAATGGCGGGCTTGCCGCGAGAAAGAAAGGTTGATGAAATGAAGTAAACTGGTATGGAAACTGAAAAGAACGCAACCATCACAGCAAAAGCCGGTGGGCGTCAACGAGGTATTCAAAGAGGTTATATGTCTAGACGAACCCATTCGTCCCTGATAAGATTCTCTCGTATAAGACAAACATGCACGGGGCTGGGCCGTGAGGGCCGGCCGACTGCCAAGAGGAACGGCATCATGAAACCTATACAAGACCGCAAGGATACGCAAGTAGAGGAGTCCTCCCCCACCATCCGCGCCGCCAAGGTGCGCCAAGGTGCATCTCGAGAGCCTCATGATGGACTAATGCGGTAAGTAGGGGGTTGTCGCACTGCGTGCTGCACAACGGCGCGCGGCTGGTCATGCCAGTTTATCGTCGAGCTCCGGCATTGGCGCTGCTTGGCGGTGTGGCAACTCGTCTCTACTTGTCGTTTTCGGATGGTATCTCATGCGGGGGAGAAAAGCATCGACCATTGAACCAACGAAGCGATGACTCTGCGAAATTGTGAGTTGTAGTTGGATTCTGGGTCTTTAAGAACGGTGCAATCACAAGTGAGTAGCGCTTTCTGTAGATCGTGGTTGACCGATATTGCTGGAGGAAGACTAAGGTTGAGATCCTCTGAAGTTCATCTGATTCCGGCAGACCGCGCCAGAACTCGCGCTTGTGAGTTTGCATTTCCCACCATAAACCCTTGCTTCTTACCGACCCTTCTGAACCGTCCCCCAATGATCCTGAATTTCGGCTGACTTTGAAGGGGTAGAATCCAAAGCCCTTCACCAAGTCTCAGATGACAGCTGTCGTAGGCTAAACTTAGACTCTCAAACGTGAGCAATCCCTCTGGCCGAATCAGCACGCTGAAAACCCAATGACTCCCCTGTCCTGGCCCCCAACAACCAGGGTCGGTCCAGCACCAGAACAGGCTAACAGGCTTAACAGAAACTCTACCCAGGCCGGCGGATAGCGCTCATGCGACCAGTTGCTCCGTTCACCGTAGCGTTTGCGATGCTGCGCGAGTTCTCCGTCGGCTCAACTTGCACCAGACTGAAACGCGGCCGTGGATGGCGCCATGTAGCTAGTTCAGGTTACGGGCCCCCCTGGTTGAGATCATCTCTGGGATCGAGAATTCCTCCTCTTTTGTGCGCTTGGTAATCTTGGTAAAAGCTTTTGCGCTCGAGGCGAGAAGAAGAACGGCTACGCTTGCCTCTAGGGTCAATCTCAACCTCTCACTACAAAAGGAATCCGAGAAAGAATTGGAGGAACCCTTTTGGATTCTAGCAAAGTTGGAGGTTGAGTCAGGAACATTTCTGTCTCGAACGGCATTTAGTGCACCTTGGCAATCAGCCCATTTTGACTCGCTTTTTGATTCTGGCATTATCCCGGCGAGGGTAGAGCTACGGTCGCTTGTGCGGCTCAGGTTTGGACCGGATTGGCTTTTGTCCAAGCTTGACGCCGGTTGCCGTGTGCAATTAAGCAATGGCTTCCATGATTGACCTTGGAAATCAACTTGAGGCTGTATTTTTAGTTTGATGATGGCAGAACAGACTAGCCATGATCTCTACCTGATAAGCACGTTTGACTTAGTACAGACTACTCACATAACAAGGCTCAAGTCAAGAGTTTCGCCGCTTGACGAGCTTTAGAGATCTAGCAATTCGCAGATAGAGTAGGCAATAGGCCTCGGTTGTCACAGCTGCCTGTCAAAGTGTGGTGTCAGTCATGACGAAGCGGAAGTCAAAGTCGCCAGCTAATGCTAAGGAAGCGATTGTTTCCCATTCTGAGACTTGGAGTTGGCCAAGCCGCTCAAAGGCTCCCCGGACAGCAATGTCGATGACCACGGCGAGCTTCCCCCACTTTCAGAGGGAAAGCGCGGCCAACATCGGCTGAAAAGCGGGGCTTCGCCGAAGGTGGCTACCGGCAAACTCGGCACGTATCTCCTGCCTATCTCGGTCGTGTGATTCACCTCACGTAAGCGTCATCTTGAACCCCTCAAACTTCCCGTGACTCACGTGTTAACGCGATCTTCCACGACGACCTTATATCTCTCTAATATCCGGCTTCGCTCAACTACCTTATTGCGGATTACCGGCGTCATGGTGACTAAACGGGTGGCCCGCTATGGCGACTGGGAAAGCCCAATCACTATTGATACCGTGACCTCCAAAAGCTGGACTATAACATCACCTCGAGTCCATGTAAGTGAGCCCAGAGACTTGGCGGCCAATTGTATACTGTTTTCTAATTGATGCAAAGCGTCAATCAGGACGGGCGTTCTTCATCGAGTCGAAGGATGATGGGCGTAAGGTCTTCGTTGAGGTCACCAAGAATGGTGGCCTCAAAGATCTCCTACCAGCACCTTACAGCGCAGGCAACACAGTCTATGAATACGGTGGCTCTACTTACGACGTCGCCGCGGATGGCCGCATCGTCTTCTCCAATCGCGACAATACCGTCAAGTCCCTCGATGTAGACACTGGCAAAGTTTCAGACCTGACCGGCGACTCGAAGCTGCGATACTCCAACTTCAGCGCTAACCCCACGAGCCCCTGGGTTCTGGCTAACCAAGAAGATCACACCATCAACACTCCCCACGAGATCCGGAACTATGTTGTCGCTATCAATGCAGATACCGGCGAGGTCAAGCGCGTCGTAGAGGGTACCGACTTCTACTACACCCCTCAGTTCAGCGCTGACGGGAAGAGGCTGACTTGGATGGAGTGGGACCAGCCCAATCTCCCATTCGCATCGGCCAAGATCTTCGTTGCCGATTGGACGTCGGAGGCAACTGTCAAGAATGCAGTCTTGGTTGCTGGCAATAATCGAGAAGGAGCAGCCGAGCCTCGATGGGGCCCGGACGGAAGCTTGTTTCTGGGCATTGAGGTTGATGGTTTCCGGAGACTGTTTCGTCTAGCTCCTGGTGCTGAAAAGCCCACTCAGATCAAGTTGAGCGGACTGGATAATGCCGAGATCGGAGAAGTTCGATGGTTCCAAGGCAGGTTAGTAAATGCGAAGGCTTGTAAGTTGCGCGAGGGGTATCACTAACAGTGCATCAGTCAAACGTACGCCCCATTATCGGAACGCTACGTAGCTGCGGCAGCCATTACATTCGGCGAGGCTCAGCTGATTCTCATCGACCTTGAGAAGAACGACTGGAAACCCATCGGATCATCTAGCATTTGCGGCATTGTCAACGACGCCATGGCTCGTCTGGATGACAGGTCTTTACTTCTTGTTGCGGACGAGTCCGATTCTCCATCTGCTTTATACAAGGTCGATGTCATCAGCGGAAAAACTACGACTATGCGAGGAACTACAGATGAAAAGCTGGACACAGCGCTCTTCTCAAAGCCGGAGCTTGTGAAATTCGAGTCAAAGGAAAGTCCATCTCGCACAATCTACAGCACCTTGTGGATGCCAAAGAACCCCAAATTCCTCGGTCCGGATAGCGACAAACCCCCTCTGGTCATATCCTCGCATGGTGGACCAACAGGCTACACCGGCTCAGGTCTCAAGCTGCGAACCCAGTACTTCACTGCTCGTGGCTACGCCTACCTAGCGCTGAACTACACGGGCTCCACGGGACATGGCAGGGAGTATCGCGAGGCACTTTTTGGAAACTGGGGCATTGTTGACGCCGATGACGCTGCTGAAGTCGCCAAACACTTGGTGGAAGCAGGCAGAGTCGGCAAGGTGGGTATCGTCGGTGCAAGCGCCGGAGGCTACAACGTTCTCCAGGCCCTCGTCCGCCATCGTACAACCTTTGATGCCGGATTCTGCGTCTGTGGTGTGAGTGACGTCAAGAAGCTGGAAGAGTCCACACATAAGCTGGAGTCCGAGTACATGGGAGCGCTTGTTCTGGACCCGGGTATGACGGACGAGCAAAAGGAGGAGAGATGCCGTGAGCGAAGCCCTCTATACCACGCCGACAAGATTGGGGCCCCGCTATTCCTCCTTCACGGAGTTGCGGATACCGTGGTCCCTATTGAGCAGGCCCGGCTTATTTATAAAGCTGTCAAAGGTAAGGGAGGGGATGTGAGAATCAGGGAGGTTGAGGGCGAGGGTCACATGTTTGGTATGCCTGGAAGCCCTCGTCTTTGGCTTGAGGAGGAGGAAGGTTGGTGGAGATCGTACTTGATCTAATATTGGAAGAAGCCACTCTTCCCAAGCTTCGGTGTCACATTTCTTCTCCTCGAGGTGCGGATGAAAATTGCAAAAGTCTATGGATTATTTCGCTTTCTCACAGTCAAAACGCTTTCTCATACATGAAATCAGCATGAAACCCAAGGACTAATAACAGTAGTCGTCGTCGACATCGTTGTTGAGTAGTGATTCTCTGCAAACCCACTCATGATCCCGTTTCTTCTCCTTGCGACGATTTTCAGCATCAGTCTTTATCGCCTTTTTCTTATCCTTGAGAACCTTCTTATTCACCCGCCGGTTGCTGATTGCACGAGGCAAATGAGAGGTCGCTAAAACGATATTCGGCTCAGTGTAAGGCGGCTCAGTGCGAGACGGCCCAGAGTCAAACGGCTCAAAGTCAGACAGCTCAGAGTCAGACAGCTCAGAGTCGGAATAACCAGTGCAGCCATAGCTGATTTTCATATCCCGCAGCCCGGCGGCCTGCTCCTCATCCAACCCCTCCTCCTCTATTATCTTCCTAATGAAGCGGTGCCCTTCCTTCAACGAGCTGTGACTGGGGTACATTCCATTCAATTTTCTGAACTCCTCGTCCTTGAGACGACTTTCCCAGGCAATTTGCCGAGCTTCCTTGAGGGGTGCGGGAAGGCCGTAGAACTTGACAGGAGAGGATTTGCCCTCACCCAAGTCGAGGCAGACAAATCTTTTTTCCTTGCTGTCGATAATGCGATGAAGATACCAGTCGTGTCCATGAGGCTCGTCAAAATTGCGTAAACATGTCTCTGTAATGGCCTCGCGAATGCGGCGAAGAGGGTCCATGCTTTCTCTTGCGCGCCTCTTCCAAGTATCAAGGCAAGGTTCCTCGCCGGAATCCCTCAGTTCCTGAACAGTTTGCAATTTGAACGAAGTCCCAGCGTAGATGGTCTCATATTTGTGCGTGTACCACTCGTATATGTGCATACCGACGGGGTATTGAAACAGATTATCCGTCCCCTTGCGAAATGGCATGAGGTCGACGAGTATTGTGCTCAGCGCAGGCTGCTCTATCGCGAATTGATGGAATCTGTATGGAGAATTTTCCAAAGCAATGGTAGGAACCTCAATTGCCTTCAGGTTTCGGCATCTTGACATCGTCTGCCAGAATGAGTCCCATGGCACCGGGCCACATCCCTGTTTCATATTGTTGGCAAATCGCACATTCAAAGGTGTGCCGCGCTGATCAGCACTCAACACACTGATGGAGGAGATGAGGTCTCGATATTTTGGCCGGAGAAGATGGTTCAAAGCCGTGATAACCTCGTGGCCGCTCAGAAAACTGAAGGTGTTCTTAGACCAGAACATGGGCGCTGCTTCGGCATGCACCTTTCTGCTGGCCAACAGTAGTCCAACTCCCTTACGCTGGTCGCAACGGCACAAAGCTTCCCGAACCCAGTAATAGCCATCTAGGTCCCAGAATAGACGAGGAGGCTCCTCAAAAATTTGCATATCTTTGAGAAGGAAAGCGGGAGGCTCGAGGTGTTCAAGACATTGGGAATACCAGGAACAGTCAGGCGTGTGTTCAATGTCCCGTCTCTTCGGTTCGACGAGTGCGAATTCATAGATGAGGTAGCGAATGTCAACTGGGAGCTGGCAAAAGGAGAAGAGCCCCTTCTGGGATCGGATGTATTTCCCAGGCGCAGGACGAATCTTGAGGGTCAGAGTAGACTTGGCGGATGTGACCTTTCCTGTGTCCATTAGCTTGGTGGGAAAGCTCGTCATGATGTTGTGTATGCAGAACTTTGATCGGGGAACAGTAGGTGGTTTTTTAAGACTATAGTTCTGTACTTGAGAGATTGCTGAATATGTTGTGTAGATGTAAAGTGCTTGAGAGGGATCTCTTTTCTTAAGTTCGCAACCACGTAACTGGGGCACTCTCCTCTTCTTTCTAGAGCCCAGCAAAACAACGCTCTGTGTTCGGGACTACCAGACAAAGGACAATGATTAAGAATAACATTCATGGTTTTTTTCCTTTGCTACCTGCATCCAAAGCAGCTTTTGCCGTGTCCATAGTTTTGCTGTAAACAATGCCTTGTATGCGTAGTTCTTTGATCCAGATCAAAGTGTGGTTGGAAGCTTACCAGACTCGCCTTTCAGGAGAGCACGAGTTCCTTTTGAAGAAGACTACAAGTATGTTCTCACAGGACTTACATGAAAAGAGTTTACCCTGTTTTAATCAAAGACTGCCAAGTAAAAAGCTTGCGAGGCAGTGCTTCTCGCGACAAGCTGCTCAAGCAGCCGCTGTGGAATGCCAAGGACGTGGAGAAATACTTCCAAGCAAACCTATGCTTGTGGACATGGAAATACCCTCCTTATTCTGGCTTCGTACCAAAGGCGCCTCCGGCGCTTACAAAGGAGGTTTGAACATGAGGGGCGGGATGTAGGCGAGATCAGATAGTCGCAAAGCAAACATTCGTGCTTTCAGGTCTTAAGCAGTTGGCAACAACTTACGGACCGTTGCATATCGGACCAGCCATTTGGACAAGTGCTCCGGAATTAAGATGATAGATGTAGTTCACTCTTCTAGGGAGTTCGTCCTGTCACTAAAGGAAATCTCCCACCTCATCCAAACCCCTCATTCATGCTACCAACGGTCGCCACTAGACAGCCAGAATCGCGATCGTGTGGGATCGACTAGGACCACTAGCTCCAACAGCCAAATCCGCCACCCTAAAAACATTGGTTCCAAGGAGGCAAACACGGCTCCTCGCTCTATGCCAAAAAGAAAAACAAAAAAAAAAACGCAAACATTCTCCTCTCCTCTCCGACCTCACCGAGCCGAAGCAGAATTTCTGTCCGCTGATATCGAAGAGTCTTGCTCCGCAACTGACAAGTCCTCGACCACAATTCTCGATCCACAATGTCGACACGATAACGCTCGAGACCTCGCTTGTGGGTATCGAGCATTCGAGCCGCGATGACATCCCAGCAAGAGTTGCTGTAAGCTAAGCCACAACCAGTAGGAGGGGCGTAGGATCAATCAGATGAAAAGAACAAAGCACCACAGGCACCTCCTCACTCCAGTCTCTCTCGCCGACGGGCTGCCCATTGGCGTCACTTCGAGACAAGGCAGCACAACCGTGCTCTCCGATCTCCTCACAAAATGATGTTTCGCGGTCCAGGCTAAGGGATGGAGAGTTTATCTGTCTCGAGGCTCTGATTCGTCGGGTTCATGCGTCCTCTAGCTCGTGTCGAAGCGATCAACCGCGTCCAGAAAGCAGGGAATCCAACCAAGGGTATGTCATTTGGAGCATCATCTCAGCTGTCTACTGTGAGCGGTGACTAGGGGAGGGGGGAGGGGGGAGGGAAAGAAATGTCGAGAAAGAAAATCTGCAGATTCGGCTCTGTTTCTCTCTCTATCCCTCCCTCATCGTGCGTCGGCGGTGCATGCGGTACTCAGAAGTGTGGCGGGTGTTTCTGGGGTCGATTGGTGTCTCGCATAATGGATGGTCAATCTAGGCCTATCAAACCCCCGGGACAACCCCAGACTCGACGTCACAGACGGCGGACGCACGTCAGCTCACACCACCTCCTCATCCTTTCCCATCTACGTCATTCCCAGTAGCTGCCACAGAGCTCAGCAACGTATAATAAAGCATCAGCCACACCAGAGAAGACATTACTGTAGAAGCAAACTCCAGGCAACTCTACTCCGTGAAAGCAAAACCAACCAGACTATCGTAAACCCGGAACTCGGAGTTTTCTTACTACACTACATATTTTTCCATCATGCCATCATCAGTAAAGAACCACGGTGCTTCTGTGGAAGGTAAGTTGACTCCGCGAATCAACCTGTCCACTGAGACAGCCTACTCGAGTTGCTGTGAGGTTACATCCGTCACTAACACGACTCGTCCCACCAGCCGCAACTCCCCACAAGGTCTCCTCCGCCAAAAAGGCAACGGCCGCTAAGGTTGACGAACGAAAATCGCAGGCGACGCCAAAGAAGGTGTCCTCAGCCACAGCCGCCGCTAAGGACAACGTCTCGACCAAAGACCACGCTACCACCACGCCGGTAACAAAGAAGGTCTCTTCTTCCACACACAAACCCACAGCATCGGCTTCAAAGCCTGCAGCATCAGCCTCGAAGACTGCATCGTCTGCTTCGAAACCAGCCACATCTTCAGCACACAAGACCGCGGATCAGGCGTCCAAGACCGCCTCATCTTCCGTACACAGAACAGCTGAACATGCTTCAAAGACGGCCAAGCCAGCATCGCACACGGCTGGCAAGGCCGCCAGCGGCAGCAGCGGCGCAGACATTATGAAGAAGATGCAGGAGAAGAACACTGCTCAATACACACAGATCACCGGTTCGGACATCGTGAAGAGAATTCAGGCCCGTAAGGCCGCCGCCGCAAAGGAAGCTGCCAGGAAGGAGGCGGCAGCAGCCCGAACTCACGAAGACAACTTGCCCAAGAAGAAGCCCACAGTCGCCCCTGCACCACAGACTGTGCCCAGAGCTCCTGTTACAGCACCCAAGGCCGCCCCAGTCAAGAAGCAGGCCGCCCCTATTCCCGCACCCGCGGTTAGAAACGTCCCTTCAGCTACCACCAGCCCAGCCAAGGTCGCGAAGAAGGAGAAAGTCTACGCGCCTGGTGCCCTTGTGCCAACTGCAGAGCTCGAGGCCAGGAAGGCCAAGGCTGCTACGTCCAAGAAGGAGAAGCAGTACCACGCTAGCGCCCTTACTCCCACACATGAGATTGAGGCTAGGCGCGCCGCAAAGAAGACCCAGGCCGGTGGACCTGTGGGACAGGTTACCGATACCGCCGGCAAGACTGTCGGAGGCGTCGGCAAGACTGCCGGTGGAGTTGTGGGAACCGCTGGTCGGACCGTTGGCGGTGTCGGACGAACAGCCGGCGGCATTGTCGATGGCGTCGGCAAGTCGGCTGGCGGAACCGTTGACGGTCTTGGTAGGACCGTCGGCGGTGTCACCAGCGGCCTCGGCAAGCAGGTCGGTGGTACCGTCGGAGGTCCCCTCGGTAAGGGTGTCCAGGGCGCCACTGACGGCCTTGGAAAAACTGTTGGCGGAGCTACCAGCGGTGTTGGTAACACTTTGGGCGCTGCGACAGGTGGCCTGAACAAGACACTGGGTGACACCACTGGTGCTCTCGGCCGTGGAGATTTGATGGGCACCGTCGGCGGTGTCACTGGCGGAGTTGGAGATACTGTTGGAGGCGTTGGCAAGGGATTGGTGCGTCATCATCCAGTTCTTGAATGGCTACGTGGGATACCTTGATATTAACATGTTTCCAGGGTGACACTGTCGGCGGTACTCTCGGAGGTGTAGGTGCCACAGTTGGCGGACCGGTCGGTGGTATCGTGGGCGGCGTCGGCAAGGGCGCCGGCGACGCGGTTACCGGTATCACCGGAGGACTGGGCAAGGGAGTCGGCAGGCTTGGCAAAGGAGACGTTCTCGGTGGTGTTGGCGAAGTTGTTGGGGGAGTCGGTGATGGGTAAGCAAATATTTCACATCCTGTCGACTTCCCCGTTGTCTGCGGTGTTTTCACATTACTAACCTTTCTCCAGTGTCGGCGGCCTTTTGGGAGGTGTGCTCGGTGGTGTTGGAGGCGGAGGCGAGGAGAACAGTGGCAGCCTGCTTGGAGGAGTACTTGGCGGAGGTGGTGATGGTAAGAATGGCGGCGGTGGTGGCCTGCTCGGCGGCGGCGGCGGCGGCAAGGGTGGCGGAGGTTTGCTGGGACTTTGAGCTGTCATCGACGAGCATTGTGTATCAAGTCTGTAATATTATATGGACGATTATGAGAGGGAAAGAGGTAAGAGATTGCGTACCACTTCCTGGACGATTGTAAAACAGGCAACAAATAGGGAAACAAGTTTGAATGACACATTTTCCTCAAGCGCATAAGAATATGATAGCTAAATGTATCTGTATGTAATCGACCATTCAACACGTCAATGTAAGGTCAAAGCGTGGCTGAAAAGCCGGATTACTATAGAGTAGTTCAGCCGATGCGTCGATATTCGATCTGGGTTAAGTGGGTAACTCAGATTTACGAGCGAGGCGACGAAGTGTTGCTTCAGCGCTGAACCTTGACTATTTCAACACAGGCGTAGATACCGCCACACTAGGCCAATCAGTGGAAGTCTCATACCAGTCCCATGGACGTGGTGCTCTCTCTGTCACATGCACTTTCGTATTTCCTAAACTAAGACAAACATTGGCCCAAGTCCTAGAGGCGACGAGGCCTAGATTTCAACATACCCCTCACTTCTCAGAAGTCACCTCGTGAAATTGTTATTCATTCCAGTCACATCGCGACCTGGCCCTTTGATACCTAACTCGGCCATTTCGAGATAGGGCAAAGCAGTCAAAATACGGAACATGCCTTTCACAACAAGTTTTGCTTCCACACGTCCACATCAGGGATGTCGGATACAGTGAGAAGATAGATTGAAAAGCTCAGGAGCATGGGAGTTCTGATGAAGGAGGACTTCTATGTTGATTAATTGATTTAAATTTGACCTAGATGAACAAAAAAGTGCTTAACAGCCAACGAACTCTCAGATGGAGTCCGAATTCGACAATTCGCGAAGAAATTGGGCCTACTTATTGTCTCGAGTCGTCTAGGGTACATGTAGCGCTTAGTCTTGAACGCAAAGGAAGTTCTATGCCACCAGCGACCAGAGGCAGAATGTATCTGAAGAAATATTTGTTTAGAACAACCACCACCGTTTTCCAGTCAGACTGACCATAGTTGAGGTCCGACAAAGATGGCCGTCACTGAATGGACAACTCATCGCCTTACGTAGATGATGTTGTCACACAAAATTTTGGGGCTTGCAGAAGAAGGTTTGCGTTTGCGGATGGTTGTGTGAACAAATGATGTTGTATTAAAATTACGGAATAGATTGCGGTGTGAGATTAACACCCTTTTAAACAAGTCATAACCACGGCCATCGCCAACATTATGTATGTATGATAAAGTCGACATGGTATCGACGCTGCTCATCGCTGCTTCTGGGAGAAAGACTCCTAGTTCTTGTCCTCGGGGCAGTCCTTCTTATCGTCGCCGCTGAGCTGGCCGCGAACAGCACCAGGTACGGCAAGGCTGGAGTGGACATCGGTGAAGAATCCCTCGGGGTTCTCCTCAATCTGGCTGACCTTGAAGCCTGCGCCAGTGTCGACACCGGTAGCGTTGACGCCGGTGACGAAGGGGCCGGTCAAGCAACCGACACTGCGGCGGACGTTCTGGTATCCCTCGACAGCGACCGGGTTAGGGAATGCGATGCTGTTAGAAAGTTTGGTTTAGTATTTCGATCCCTCAATGAGATGTGAATGTGAGCTTACCGAGGGGGGCCTGCCTTGCCCTTCTCTGCCTGGTGAATGTGGGTGGCCGTGCGGGCAGGAGACTGGTACTCGCCCTGGAAGTTGACCAGGGTGATGTTGTAGCAGATGACATTCTCCTTGGAGTTGATGCCGTAGTTGAAGTAGCCAATGGCGCCTGCAAGTCCACCAGTGAAGGTGTTGTTGTTGTCGACGACCTGGTCAGGTGTGGCGATCACATCGTAAGTCGAAGTGAAGTCGAAAGGTCCGGACGAGCCCCAGCTGCCCTTGCCTCCCTTCTTGTGCCAGCCGACAGCTTGCTTAATCTCTTCAACAATCTTGATGGGAGTGGCCGAGGCAGCGGTTGCCAAAGCGAGGGGGATGATAGCGAACTTCATTTTGATGGTGGGGAAGATAGTGAGTGACTGGGGATGAATATACAGTTGGGATTGATAGATACTAATAGAGGTGGATGCAGATGAGATGATGTGATAAGGATCGGAATATGAGGTTACTGGGGGAGCTTACATCTCTGTATATGTAGTAAACCCTCGTTTCTAGCTCCGATTTACAATTCGGGTGTATCTTCGGCAGGTACGGTCATTTCTCCTCAATTCCATAGCGCCTCTGAACTCATTTGCATCACTGCTACGGCCTGGTGATGTGTTCACTCAGCCAAGAACCGGAGGAACGATCAAGCGCTCTACGCCGGCGCCATTACCGCGGTCTGGGCTGTCGTGATGAATGGGCCAAGGGAATTGAGATTGCGGTGTTTGCCTCCCGTGCTCCCGTAGTCGCCGCGGCGCAGCATATCGTCGAAGTTGGAAGCTCCTTGGCACGATTTCCTAATCCGGGGGACATTGAATACCAGAAGCACGATTATGACGCTGCCGATCATTTGGGACTCGGCAGCGGAAGCGCAACTTGCCGTCCACAAGTCAACCAAGTGGGGAGAGTTTATGTCTTGTTTAGGTTCGTCCGGTAGCGTCAATATTTTGAGGCAAGCTCCTTGGCGGTTACTTGGCCCTCTTCCCCAAATATGCTCACCGCGACGCGCCGGATCGTTTGCCAATGCAGCCCAACAGAAAATCTGACGTGGGAAACACTTGGCTTTCACGGCTTGCTACTACGGACATTTGAAATCCAATACTCCGCTGGCAGTTTCGACGATCTTTTCCATCCCACCTGCGCCAGAATACAGCCCGTTTTGGGCACCTCATCAGGAATCAATTGCTGGGCATCTTCCGGAAAGCCTCACATCCGGCGGAATATCATCCAGAGCTAGGTCAGATGCTTTTTTTGCTTTTTTCTTCTTCTTCTCCCTACCATACCAAGCTCAAATCAAACACTCCTTCTCGTTCGGCATTTGCAAGAATGGCACTGGCGCTGTCGTTGGGTCAGCGATGGTCTTGGCGATGAGGCATAGCCAATAAAGTGAGACTTGTCTGACATCGCTTGAAGCACATTGTTTCTGTGGTAGGAAATCGCTTTCTCTTTTTGACCTCCAACTGAACTCGGGACTGACTCTATTTCATCGCAGACGTTCTTGATATTCAACTGACCAGTTTGTGGTTATTTTCGATAACTCAACTACATCGTCCTCGCAGCGTTCGAGGCAGATGTTGAGAAAGAAGTCGGGCAACAAGAAGCTAAACAAATGATTGCCGTGAATGATTACAACCCAACAAGGACAGCAAGCCACGGAATTACGATAACTCGAAAGTGCATGTGCGCTCGGCCTTCATCATATTCACGATCTGAAAGATCGGCAGCATCATCGACAAAAAACAACCACATCGCCCGAGAAGTGACCGGACAGAGTCAAAGCTGCTGGCCTCGCCAGACCTAGCTCATGCATTATGTTCAGATACAAACCATGTGTTCAAGAATTGCTCTGTGGATTTCATTCACGGAGACCTGATGATCTTGCTTGGTGAATATTGAGATCTAGTGCTCAGCAGCTATCTGACCAATAGTAAACATCTTGGATATTATTAATGCGGGTTGTAGGCGATAACGCCGATGATTAGCTTTGTTACGCTCCTCGTATGGACAGTTCTTGATCCATCCAATGTGAATACTGATGTTTCGGGCTACAATCATGACATGAAAATCCAAGTTCTAGCCTGGGATGGACCACGTGCAGTCGCATATAATACCTCAAAGTCTTCAACGCCATGCATCTCAGTTTCAATGCCCTGGATTCAACTCTTCGCGATTGTGTTGACTTCGGGCGGGGAGCTCAGTTCAATAGACTATTACACGACTTCACTGAAGCCACAACAATCGACGTCACTCTTGGGGTCGAGACTCGGCAGTAGGGATACCGTTGCCAAAATTGGGTGCTGACGGCAGCCACCAACTGGCACCTGAAGAGACAGGACTTGTTGAAGATTCCAGACCGTTGTTGGAGTGAGTATGGGTTGTCATGCTGTATTGATCTTATCTCAGTACTTATACTTCACTGCATGTGCATCTCGGCACTGCCATAAGCTCTTCTTGACATGATTTTGAAGCTTGTACCTCCTCCGAGTGCTTCACCTAAGGTCCCTATTGACAAGGCGATTCGACCCCCGCCGATCCTGCAGTGAAGCGTAAAGTGTCGCCGGTGCGCCTATCTGCGCATGACAATCGCATCAATGAAGGTTCGTTCACCCCTTTTCTGGCTTTCGGCTATTCGGTCGGACCAACAGTTGTAAATGAACATCAGCGGAAGTTTCGGACCCTGAGGCCCGTCAGTGAACAAGCTTTTTGAAAGGGGCTGGATACCCAAGCCTTCGATATGAGTTACTGAGGCCTGACAAGTTGCAACAGCTGAACCTCCACACCAAAGACAGTCGAAGACGGGGAAAAGATTCATGAACTCGACAATTATATGGGGTAGTCATGAGTCGTTTTATTAAAAATCATGCTCAGGCACCAAGTAAAGCTCCGAGGAGTGGAAGCACGAGCCACATCTACAAACTCTACGATATTGAAAGCCTTTTCAGGATGCTGGAAAACCAGCTCGAATGGCTCGCGAAGGGTTCGTAGCTTTCACTTAGCGTGCCGTTCATCCGATGTTTGAGCGAGTCACAAGCAATCTCCTCTCCACGGGTTCCGGACAAGTCTTGAGGACTCTAGACCCCGCTCAGAAACATAAATACCGTTTGCCAAACCGCAGTCTTGCGATATCACCTTCGCACTCATCATCTATCTGTGGTTACTTTACTTGAAAAAAATATCAACAATGGTGTTTCCACTTCATTCTATGCTGGCATTCGCAGGTCTTGCTGTCGCTGGCTCGCTTGAACCCACCGCAACTCAAAGCGACTGCACAACGACAATAACAGTACTCGATCCCGGCTTCACTGGCGACTATCAGCCAACGAGCACTATCACAATCTACAATCAGACAATTACCATCGGAAAACCTACAGACTGCCACGGCTGTGCCCACGTCACAACTACCGTGGAGCCGGCACCTTGGTGGGGTGGGATCGGCCCGGAGATCCAAAAGGTTATCTATGTCCACGCAACGACACCGACTACAGTCACATCACCTGTCTGTGCGACATCAACAGCGACTCCTACGATTGCCCCATAGCCTCGGACGTAGTGAATAGGCAGGTTCTAGAAAGGACATGGAGTTGGAACAGGTATTTATTTTGAACTCAGGGCATCGGCCCTGGTCACACGCTCATGCTGAAAACGCTAAAGAGATGGCAATTGCAGGTGTCAAATTATCACCGATCCATGACTATGGACTTGAAAAAAATCGATGCCATCGGGTGATTTGCGGTTTGTAAGGAGTCACGATAAATCAATACAGAGAGTCAACCCAATAAAAACACAATTCAACAAAATCAACTCTTCATACAGCCCGGGTACATCTTGCAGAAAACACCGTAACCTTTCTAGACTCCGTTTCCATCTTCTCGGGGTCTTGTAGTTTCAATCGAGTACACGTTTACTTGGAACCTAGCGCTCTGACTCTAACCGCCATATTCATGGTAGACCTCATCATCACTAAATGGACCAATACTGTTAGGTGGATTCGACAGGCTTAATTGAGGTTCTTGAGAAGGATAGTGGTGTCTAGCCAGGTCTTGTGACTTCTGTCTGCCTGCTGGTCTTTCCGTAGAAGAAACCGCCTAGCGTTCCTGTATCTGTGAAAGAGTCACGTCAAATCTCCCAGGCACCTGGACCTCGATTGTCGTCATCCGCGATGCGCACAATGTCTCCGTAGGCATTGGTTGGGATATTGGAAAACTTGTCTTTGGGATCACCGTGGGCTGTCAGCAAATCATCGCCGATCCGCATAGGGTCATGATGATTGAGGTATCCTCCTCTGTCATCCGGGATCCCACCGTCGTCTTGTCTCTTCTTCTGTGGCAAATTAAGCCAACTCGTCCTCACTCGGCGCGGTTGGACCCGTGAGTACTGTCATGTTTGTTTTGGCTTTGTGAACGCGAGATGTTGGAAGTTGTCTGAATAGCGGCTTTTCAGGCCATTATCTGTGGGCACTTTCCATGTAGGAAGTATGTGTACAACTGTCAACATATAGAAAACCGGAGGAAGCCACTCACGCGGAAGAAGTCTGGGACCAATGAATCCCTGGCTAGCTCTTGCTTCGCTCTCGGGTGGTTCTTCTATGTACATAGCAGGGTTCGAGAGGTTTTCCTGGGGTAAAGTTGACCTATGCATTGCGAGACGCCAGTTAGGCCTCACCTCTATAAGCCGCCCATAGCCAATTCGATGCTCTGCAGTCGTGTTTTGCCCGGCGCCAAGGTCGCCGTCAACCCTGTAGATTCCTGTTAAAATTATGTAAGTACGTCGCTCCGTTCTCCCTATTGTTTGCTGCATTTTGCGTTTACCCACGCCTTCTCCAATAGTTACCTTCTAGACTCCGCCTTCAGCTGTCTCTCGAAAGGTTACGCCTGCGCGGGAATGGAATAATAGCTTTATGCACATCGAGGCCCTCGATTGTTTTGCGTGTTGCGGCCTTACTGTCTGGTCTTCGCCTTGACAGACCACCGCCCCTCATCGCCTGTGCCGGTCAAAATACTTGATTTGCTGCCGAATATGCCAGCACAGCCTGCTGTAAATGCATAATCTATGAAAAGGCTCGTTAAGCAGGGTCATGTGTGACAGCAATGTGGCACCCTGCACACCTATCCAGGGAATGAGAGGTAAACGTTGCCTCACTTGCTGCAACCTTCTTGCGGTAGGTTTTTCAAGAAACACAAGGCCCAGGCCAGAAACCTGGTATGATGTCTAGATTAGTCAGATTCGACTAAGTGATTTAGAGAGACAAGAGTTGCACCGATAATTCTTCGTGAAACTCAACGGGCATCGATGAATCGGTTGTGGCCACGACTTAAAACGAGAAGCATTTCATTTTGTATAGTAGAAGGGTATCTAATTGTAGGCAGTCTAATAAATAGGCCGCCTTGAGAATAGGAATTCTAAGAAATTTGATGACTTTGGGGACTCTGAATGATCCTCAGACAGGCCTTTCCTGCTCATTGCTCACACATGAGAGTTTCCTGTGCTCTCACCTTCATGACTAATATCATGTACCCAAGCCTCTGGTAGAAGCGTCGCTTCAAATGGTTCAGTCCCTTTGCATCCACCCTCTGCCCCATCCCTGTTGTACTGTCTCGTTATGCGTTGTTGCAGCAGAATTCGCCGCTCCTGCACCACTACCATCGCCGCTCTGCGAAACGTCTGCTTCTGAAATTGTAGAAATTCCAAGTCCTGATGATCGCATCATACTCGAGTCTGGGGACACCGGCGAGACCACCGAGTAAAGTGTGTTACGAGTCCCGGTATCAGTCACCGGAGATATGTATGCCGGAGGAGGTGAATTTGTCGTCGCGGTTGGGTCGTAGTTGTCCGCTGGCAGCTCACTCAGCTGGGTCGGAGGGTTGGGGTCCAGCTCCGCGACATGTCGATGGACGCCGGTGGCCCCGCTGGCTGCAACAGCTGCTGCTGGGTCCAGCTCGGATATCGGCCGTGGATCGAGTTCGGACATTGGCCTCGACTCTCCGCTGAGTTCCGATTTGTAGGCGTATATCTCGCTTTGTTCTGGCCGAGACTTGATACTTCCCAGAGCAGCGGCGCCCAATGCTCCACCGGCGGCTGCGACTCCCATCTCTGGTCCAATGTTTCCATGTGATGACAATGCTGCGGCTTCGGCTAACTTCTTTTGGCGGTATTTCATGAAGAACTTGTACCCGATGAACATCAGAAGAAGGACAGCAAGGATGATACCAATGGCAAGTCCAGCTTTCGCGCCATCGTCCATGCCGCTTCCACTGTCAGGAGTAGATGTCGTTGTCACAGTCGCCGTAGTAATGCCTCCAGACCCAGTGCTCGTGGTAGTAACTACCGTTGAAGATGATGCTGTTGATGTAGATGTGGCGGCGGTCGGCACGACTCCAGTCACGTAGCAGTTCCGGATGACATTAAAGATGGAACTATACTGCGTGCAGCTGGCTTCGAGCTTGGTGATATCATCGAGATCGTCGCTGTACCATGAAGACATTCGGCTCCTGAATGAGGCATAGGTGACGGAGAGTTCTAAGCCTGAGAGTGTAGAGGTATAATCGCAGGCCGTGGCCCCCCATGACATCGATGTTGTCGGCGCATTATCCAAGACATCTGCTAGGTCTTCGGCGCATTCCGAATTTTGCCGTCGGATCTGTTGTGAGCGGGCGTATATGTCCGGCCGAGCCGATACCGGTTCGGCGACCGTAAGCAGGCCGGCCAAGAGGCCGAGGGCGGAAGCGAGTTCGGAACGCATCGGGGCGGGCGATATGAGTCTGGTTATCAGATGGGTTTTCAGGATCAAGAGCCCATGCGTCCACGCGGTCTGGGGAAGTGCGGGACGACGGGCATTTGTGTTTAGATCCAGACAAGAGATATTCCACCGTCGACGGGTTGATCCAGAGACGGCGTGATCAAGAAACGGGACCACGCGGCCATTGGAACCCCGGTAATACATACAGCAAATACACTACGTCAACAACACCCGTCACATTCCGTGATTTTCGCTTCCCCCTCCTGCAAAAAGTCTGCACTATCGCAACTCCACAGTCCATACTGCCTTGTAATCCACCGCCGGATGGGGATTATCATCGCTCGGCCATTGCTAATTATATAGAGGTGCATCTGCCAAGCATGAGCGGACCAACAGCGACAGTTCGTCCCAATGGGCCAAGAATGGTCCGGCCTGGGATCTCAGCCACGGTGATTGCGCTGAGCAGGGCTGTGTTGGAGGTGATCAACAAGAGACCAGGACACCAAGTTACCCAACATGTGGGGAGATGTTTCTGTCGGGTTCATCCAATTGGATCCGGACCATCTTTTAGATGAAACATGATGGGTTAATCCGCATTCGCCCTGCTGCTTGTTGAGCGGATGAGCCTTTGGTATTTGAGAGCCGGCAGCAGGCCGGCAGTAGAGTTCTCGGGGGAGATTTGATGTGGATGGCTTAGGTGATATTCTGATTGGAGCTTCGCTACCAAGGTTTCTTTTGACTTTTTCTTACTTCGATTGCTCCGGTTGCTAGCTGGGTAGACAGCTCTACCGGAACTGGAGCGGGGTTTCCAACGGTAGTCGAGTAAGGTTACGAAGCTCATCCCCGCCATAACAACAGCAACAAATCGTTTTGGTCCGTTTACGTGACCTCAGTGAATCATGAGGTTGATCGGATGAAGCCCAGGTTCTGTTTGGACGAGCTGTGAGGAGACACGCCACCGTGACGTACCAGGGCTATGGGAAATGGGGTGACTGAGGCTGGACCCAAGAAAAAGCATCCAGAAACATTCTTGGCGCTGAGGTCGTGGGACTGTCCAGATGAATGGCGGATCTGAATCAACGGCAAGGGAAAGGGAACTCCGAGAACAATTTGATCCAATCGTAAAGGTGATGGCTCTTACCTCTATACAGGCACATAGGTAACGGGTACACAACGATATCCTTCGCTTCGTTCTCTGCCACAGGCGCGTCCGATGCTGATGCCTTCTAGAACGTCCCAGCGAACGGTAAATCGTTCTCTCCCAGGCTTTGGGTGCCACTAACATTGAACTCCGACGGTCTGGCAGACCGCCGTGTTTTCTAACTGCGTTCGGTGCGTTTGGGTCAGGCGCCCGCTCTCTCAGCATGGAATCGCCCAGCTCACAGGGCACTAAAACGAATCCACGACTCATGACCAGCAGACGAGGAACCTTACGAGGCGCCTTTTGGGGGTCAGCCTCAACCCCAAACCCCCAATGAGAAGATTGACAGGGGACAAAGGTGGGCCATCAAGGGGCAGAGCTGTCCGCTCATGTCCGCTAAGTTGGTGGATCAAACCTAGCACAGGGGGAAGGCAATTAAGCTCAATTTAACCTCGTCGTGTCCGTGGAACGAAAACGAACAAGAAGAGTCTTATGGCGCGTGACAAGTGACTGTGAGATAAGAGATCTAAATGGTATCAAATGCTGCTCCAAGGAAATTTGACAAAAAATGAAAAGAGAAATCGGCCGACTCATCAAAGCAGTCGTAATACCGAACTGGCCGGCGCATCCGTGACCGCCTCTCGAGCTGTCACCCCCAGCCAGAGCGCCGATGAGGTCTCAGCCACACTCCCGTGTCTGGCTCTTCAAGCTCCTTGGCCATACACCAGCCAAGCTCAGGCCATTCCCTACATGTTCCCATCGCGAGCCTTCCAGTCCTCCTATTCGTTGATGCGATGCTGCCACACTTCCTGCTCCGCCCTCGCGCTGTACGTGCTCGCGCCCAGAATGGCCCTCATCTGGTCTACACCCATAAACATGACCTGGCGCGCAACGAACCAGCGGATTCCCTCGTGGCAGGGCGGACTAGTCAAGCTGCCGCGGTAGGTCCAGAACTCGTTGAACTGCAGCACGCTGTTCAATGCCGGCATATGGTCAAGCTCAATTTCTTGCTGGACGCCGACGTCGTTGAAACCGATCATGGGCGGTAGCTGGTTAAAGAAGGTGTTGTTGGCGTTACCGGGGTCCAGACGGATCGCCAGCACGGCCTTTTCGTGGCCCTCTTCATCGACGTGAACGAGGTGCAGCTCCGCCTTTGACCTGTCGCCGTTGACCGAGTGGTCAGCGGGCGAGTGAATGTGCCAACCTTTGAGGTAGAGCTTCATGTCATCGTAGGTGAAGGACGGGTTGCCGGTGTAGACGCCCTCCGGGTGCGTGACGGTGAAGGCGGGGCCGTAGCCCCAGTTGTAAAAGTTGCCCGTCGTCCGGTTGGGGTAGTTGAACCGAAGGATGTGGTTCAGTGCCAGCCCGTTATTGAGGCTGAGCGCGATGGGCGATTGCTGCGTGCCAGTCTGGCACAAAGTGTAGTCTAAGGGCTGGCGTCAGTACATGTACGTCCAGTCAAACCATCGAGGGCGATCATTTGGCAGGCATGCAACTTTAACTTACTTGGATTGAGGCGACCCCAATTGAAAGAGGCCTCATAGGCCCAGTCCGCAGATGGCAACGGAGCCATTTCTGCACGCTTCCTGTCTGCCATGGCATAGTGGTTCTGATGTCCCGCACACGCGAGGACATCAGACGCCATGAGCAGCGCGCCAAGGAATACTGTCGTGATCATTGTGATAGCGGGATCTGGAAAGACTAGCTGCGATTTGCGATAGACCTTCGATCGTGACTTACCTACCGTGAGGGCCCCTTCAAGCTTTATACTCTATTACACGGCAGCGAACTGCGGGGCGAAGCACGGAAATCCGCCTGGACGGCCTGTATAAGCTTATGGAAGGGGGTTCATTTCCGCCTCCCGTATGCAGTGTAGCCTACCACAAGAAAACCTCCGAGGAGGGAAGGTCGAGGACTCGAGATGCATGACTGGTAGAATGCTGTAGCCGCCGGAGCCAAGGCCTGCTAAGCAAAAGTAAAAGCAAGGGAGCACTGCTTTATCGTCAGATTCTGAACCCTTGATGCCGCGTTTTCCATGATGCTTGGCGCTCAGGACACTCTCTGGGCGCGCCGTATTAGAGATGCGCCGGAAATGATGGGCAGAATCAACGCATCAACCCGAGTACAGAGCAAACTTTGCGTTGTTCTACCACTGACTTTGCGTGAACCCCCTCTTAACGCATCGCTATTGTCGCTGTTTTGTCCGTAAATTGCCCGTAGTTTTAGCCTTTCTTTACCAATCTCGAGCCGTAAGCTCGGGGCAGAGATGGGACGGTGGCGTAAGATTACAGGATGCGTTAGGTCTGATGGACAGGACAACCTGGACACGGTTGGATGAGCTGCGCTCTACCAGTGGCTAAGTCCTTCCTTTCTACAGCTTTTTACACTTGGCAGCGTGGCCGTTGTGTACCTTCGTGTGGCTTGGCTGACGCCTCGTCGAACGTGTTTGTGTTTCTACCAAGACTCCGAGGCGGGGAACCTCACCCATTTGCCATCAATTCCTTGGTCTAGCCATGGATCGCGGCACCTTGGAGGGCGCTTGGTCCAAAACTCGTCCGTACTTACGGTATGTTTCTCACCCTTAATCAACTTGGCCCCGGTCAGAGGCAGGACCAACCAGTGAGAAGAGCAAAGGCGTTTGGTCTGGGCACGTGGCTAGAATGCCGATGCGGCTTCCTTCGGGCAACACAAAGTCTAGACTCGGACAAGACTTAGACTGCTCCTGAGGTATCACTCTGGGTACGAATGGCGACTGTTTTAATATCTGACCGTGAATTAATTCGTGGAAATCTTGAATGCCAAGAACTACTGCAAGAGGGTGGGCGACCATGCGAGACATGAGCAATCTGAGACTGGCGCTAGCTTTCCGGAGTCTGGCGGGGGGAGGCTCAACGTCAAGAAATTTCCAACTTCCTGCCACCCAATCACCGAGGAAAGAGTCCGAATGGCTTGCCGTTGATACTCTATTCTCTTACAAGTTGAGTATCTTGACTGGCCGCAGTAATGTTAGTTGCCAGCAAGTATGTCCGCTCCGGTCATGGCATTCATCATAGCCATGTTAAATGAGTGCAACATCAAGCAGACTAGAGTCTGTTTGTATCGGCATGGAATCTTGTCACGATGGCTAGAAGTTTCTCCGTCAGAATCATTAGGGGCTAAACTTAGAGCTCTTGAGATAGAAAGAGTTCCTCCCAACATCTAAGAGCTATGGTTTGGGCAAGTAACGTCTTCCACGACCGGTAGACGAGATCTGTCGATTTGGGCATGGCAGAAAAGCCGCTAAATAAGAAGCCACTCTATAAGTTTAATCTGCCCCTCGAGATACCTTAGGCCGCGCATAGCACTGTCGCTAGGAGAACGTATTTGGCAAAATCTCCAACGATGCTAGCTGAAGGAACGATAGTCAGTATTTAAGCATGAGAATTCAAATCTGCCACCGTGATATTTACTGAAGTTGTGTCAAAACCATATATACGTTCACCCTGTTAGACCATAGAAATTGCCACAATCTCTTGCAGTTGGATGAAAGTTACAAAAGTAATAATCTTTAGAAGAGAAGAATGCGAAGAGATTCAGGAGCAAGTGTATCAGATTCGATGGATTTATACCAAGAAGGCTATCCACTTTTATGAGTTTTACTTGGAGTAAATGCAGGCTTAGTGGTTTATGTAAACAAGGGAAGGTCCAGAATCATGGTGGCTTGGCTGAACAGGTAGTCGAAGCGAACATCCGTTGACAACAATAAAATGGGTGTGCTGTGCCGTCTCCAATGGCAACCTTGTAGACCACATGAGCTCATACCTTAGCCGAGACGAGTCGGAACTCCTTCGCTATCAAGGTGTTTGTCGTTGTATTTTCAGGCCTCGCGGCTCCATCATATTCCTCGGTCATCTTTCCCCTGAACATTTACTTCTTGCACTGCGCACAGCCTGGTGTCAACTCGGGTTGACTATTCAAGCGTCAATTTTCAAGACCTTAGCCTTCATTACCCCCAAGTAAGCGGTACTTGGTGACGCATTTGAGGAGTTGGGTAAACGGACAAGCTAACAAGGAGCCTGGCAGATTAATATCGCAAGAAGATCGCACTATAATTCCAAAGCAATTATTTAGTTGAGGAAACACAATGGACTCTCGCTGGACTCTCACTGAAGAGTGGTTCAAGGATCAGAGTAAATTCACCCTTTGGCACCTACTATCCGACAACGATAAATTCACAAAAGTCTACATCACACCTACAGACGCATACTCCGAGGAATACACCAAAGCCTCCATCATAGGTCGCCGACAATCATCAGGTACATCGCCAGAACAAGCAGACTTGGACGACGTCTTGAAGCCTTACAAGTGCCACGAGGGTAACTTCGCACCAGTCCAAACGTGCAAGAAATTGCTCTGGGAAATCCAGCCGTCTTTCAGACGGTTCTCGACAAACAAGAGGCCGTGGCGATACTGCAACGAAGAAAAGGAAGGCAAGTGCTGCATAGGCCATCGCATAGGTCCCCCGCAGAGGGCCAGACACGGCCCATTCCCGTCGCTGTTTGAGGCCCTGACGAAGATTATCTACTTCTGCACGGCTTCGAGAAAAATGGTCGGGGAGACTGCTGGTCAGTGTAGGGTGACGGTGGACGGAATCGATGGAACTGCCTGGGTTTCTAATGGCTATATTCCTGAACCATAGTTAAAGAACATACTCTTAGTCTTTCTGTAAACTAGTTAAGATATCGGGATTTTGTGAGGGGGTGGGCTTGCTTGGGCAACCGTGCAGTTTCCTTTCATCAATACATTTATCGACAGTCCACCTCCTTCTCCAGGAGTTGTGAACAGACTGGAGGCACAAGGGCAAGCTAGAACAAGTCCTATACCAATTATTCCCAACGCTAGAATAAAATACATCCACCGGATTTCTCATTCAAATGCTGCCACCTACAAAGAACTCAACATCCCAGTCCCATCATGACACCCAATGTACTCAAAAACCTGCTGCTCAGGCTCTAAAACCAGAACCTCGTGAAATAATCGCAAGGACATCTGATCCCCTAGTCTCTTGGCATACTTTGCAAACTCGCCAAAGATGGCCAAGTGCGTCCGGTGCTCTTTACTCCAGCGCTCCAGCGAGGCGAGGTTATCAAAGTACGCCAGCCCGAAAGTCCGGTCGTGCCCGCCCTCGGCCGTCAGGGGGTCGACAATTTCCATGAAGCGGCAGCTGAAGCAGCCGACCTCGTCGCCGTGGTCGCGGAGGTACTCCATGCCTCTGATCAGCGGCGGCTGCATCGAGTCGAGGTATATTTGTCGCTCTTCGGCGAGCGCTGCGGACCAGTCTTGTCCGGAACGGATGACGGTAAGGTTCTTCTTGCCTGGTACCTGAACACGTTCCGGGAGCTTGCTTGAGCCATTTTGATATGTTGGTCCGTTGGCACCTTGCTTCTTTTCTGATTCTGGGTCGCCGAGAAGCTCATCCGTCTGGGATATGGGCAGGCGATCTCGCATGCTGCCCCAGTAGACATGCTCCTTGATAGGACCGCTCACGCTATCTCTCATGTGTGCTGCACCCTCAGGTTCCGCCGTCGAAAACACAGTCTCGAATCGATCAGCTGTCGGAAGAAACACCTCCAAAAACCACCCATGCCGTGACCCTTCTCCCGGCTTCGCATCTCCCCACCACGTCCGGAAGCCGCTGTCCGCTGACCACTCCTCGTACGCGGTTCTGCTCGGCCAATATGCAAACACGGCAACGTTGAAGAACCCTCGATTATCCGTAACGGCGGCAGCTTCGTGGAAGGCCGGGCGCGACGCCGGGGCGACACGGTCGGACATCGTGAAGGAGGCTATCGTCTTCAAGGCGCCGCCATCGTTGAGATCCGCTGATGCATACTGGGCGCCGATGATGGCCATGACGACATCTTTGATGGTCTTTGGGAAGCGGGAGGTGTAGAGCTCGAAGGGGGGCGTAAAGCCTGGTGGTGTCTTTGCGGGTACGGTGCGGTCTTTTCTGAGCCATTCTGGGATTGCGGATTCGAGTTCCATGGTTGCAACTGTATTATGGTGAGTAATTGAGATGTCTAGACGCGGAGAGTCAATAGCACGGCGATTCCCTTTCCAAGGCTTTGGGCTGCATCTTGGGGATATACACGACGTTCATCTTATAATCACTGCGGACTTGAACATCCCGCAATCTCATCTTGTCAGATCGGTGATCAAGACACTTGTCAAGCTATACTAGAAACGGAGTTGTGGTGTGAAGACCTTTGGGAGGGACAGCAGGTAACATGCACGGAATTGAGACGGAACAGACGGGCAGTGAGGTCATACAATCCAGGGATCCGACGACGAGACGTGAAACCTTCACGTTTACAAAGATCGTTCGGGCGCATTATTGCCAATTCCAACCAACGGCATGATCGATAATACCAAGCTAATCATGGATGCACTAGATAGGATAGTGCTCAGCCGGCGAAGCTAACCCCACCGACCACGCGGATCGCGTGCATTACTCTTGTCGACAGGCTTGCCCCTCTCCCTCACCGAATTACCCCGGATTTCAGTGATAACGCACTAGTGATTCAGCTCGGGAAGTGACGAGACATCAGACGGAGGGACCAGCAATGCGGATAGGGTAGTGCTTAACCGTTAGGAAAATCTGGGGAATCAAGCTACTTGTAGGAGATAGAAGGGGCCGGGTGATCGTTGGTTTGTGATGCTTTGTGCAACAAACAGTCGATCTTCAAATGTGTTGGATAGGATAGTGCTGAGCCGCTCGTGATGCGGCCCAGGAGAACCCCTCATCTAGATACTTTTGTTGGAGCAGACGGAAAGGAATAGCCTCGCTTTCGTGCTACAAAAGAGAGAGAATCTGCCCGTGAATGAAGTCGAGTTCAGATGAAAGCCACCCAGCAATTCAACAGTCTCTCTCACTTTACATCATAAACCATCAATACCCAACCACTCTTACCTCAAATCCACTCACGATATCCTCATAATAAAAATGGCTCCCAAGCTCAAGATCGCGGCCATCCAAGCCGAGCCCGCCTGGAATGACCTCGAGGGCGGTGTCACCAAGTCCATCGCTCTCATCGAGGAGGCTGCTAGCAAGGGCGCTAACGTCGTCGGTTTCCCTGAGGTTTTCATTCCTGGATACCCATGGTGAGTGACAATCAGACACACATCCTTTCGCACTACCTCTTCCTTGATAGAAAAGATACTCTCCTTCCATTTGCTGTCCGCGTCAATGGTTTAGCTAATTTCTTACCTTCGAAAGGAGCATTTGGGCCAAGTCCCCCACCGACAATGCCGGCTTCATGGACGAGTACTTCCGCAACTCGCTCGTCAAGGATTCTGACGAGATGAAGCGCATCTGCGCTGCTGTCAAGGAAGCCGGTGTGTTCGTCGTTCTCGGCTACAGCGAGCGTTTCAAGAACACCTTGTACATTTCCCAGGTAAGGCACTTGCCTCTCTCTCTCTCTTCCTCTCTCTTTCTCACGAGTTTGTTTTCTCACATCCCAAACAGTCCTTCATCGACGAGAATGGCGTCATCGTTCACCACCGCCGCAAGATCAAGCCTACCCACGTCGAGCGCGCCTACTGGGGCGACGGCCAAGGCGAGTCCCTCCAGACCGTCGCGCCTAGCACACTCCACCCCGAGGTCAAGATCGGCGGTCTCAACTGCTGGGAGCACACGCAGACACTCCTCCGCTACTACGAGTACGAGCAGGACGTCGACCTGCACGTCTCCAGCTGGCCCGTCCTCTGGCCTCACCCGACTGACAAGGACGGCGTCAGGCAGGCGGACTGGCCGCACCACATCACAGACGAGATGAGCATGCGCTTCTCGCAGGTGGTGGCGCTCGAGGGCGCGTGCTTCGTCATGGTCTGCACGCAGGTCGTCAGCGAGGAGTCTAAGAAGCGGTGCCGGATCGACGAGTTTGGGTACGCAACCAACTCGGTCGGCGCGGGCGGCGGCTTCAGCATGATTTACTCGCCCTTTGGCGAGGAGCTGGTCAAGCGCCCGCCGCCTGGGGAGGAGTGCATCTTGTATGCTGATGTCGACCTCGCGGAGAAGGCCAAGGCGAAGCAGAACCTCGACATTGTTGGACACTACTGCCGTCCCGACCAGCTGAGTCTGCGGGTGAACAAGTACCCTGCGCGTCCCGTTCACTACGCGGCCGACCCTTGAGAGGGATGCTGGAGGATGGATGGATCGATGATGAGATCAGAGACATGTTCTACTTAGTGGTGATAGGCTGTTGGGGATTCCCAGGAAAGCGAGATATCAGTTGGTCGAGTTTGAGGGATGAGTGTGTCTTTTTGTCAAGCGGGGAGGAAGCTGAGCAGCATATAATTAGTTGTGATATCGTCTAAGTACTTCGTAATTATCATCACCTTTCTCTCTCTCTCTCTCGAAATATTCAGCCCCTCTCTCAGCTAAGAGTCTCAGCTCCCCTCGCTCTATTCCCCTTTGTGTTTTAGAGTTTGGTCTAGTAGAAGCAGACGGGTGGATTGGGCGGAGCTTTTTCGATAACTGAGCGTGCGTTGATTGGGGAAGTGCGGGGTTTTCCCTCTCCCTTTTTTCGTTTCTTCTCATGACTGAAGCGCGTCGTTGTCTCCCCCTCCTCCTATGATCCATCCCATCGGTAGTTGAATAATATTGAAACTGCGGTCTTTACCACATCGTCGGGACCTGTCAGAAACACACATCCACACTGACTTGTTGGATGATAATGCCTCTCCTGTCAACCGAGTAAAACTAGCCGACTGGGCCCATATTTGCGGTTACTTGCTTTCCTTGCTCTCATATTCCCCCTCCAGAACATGCCCGCGTGTAGTACGAGCTACGGATACGGGCTTTTGATACTCACCTGAGCCATGTCGACATCTCTTCCCCAACGGCAGCCCGAAGGCAAAAAGAGACAGCGGGTCTCCATCGCCTGCCTCGCGTGCCGGCAGAGACGCATGCGAGTAAGTCGTCCCCCGTTCATCATAACCTACTTCACAACGTATCCCTTTCCCCATTCATTGTCGTAGTGACACGCGAACCCCCCAGTGCGATGGACAACAGCCCATCTGCGGCTCTTGTACGAGGAGGGGCACCGAGTGTGAGTTCCAGCATGCGGACAATAAACGCCGGTATGTCATGGACCAAGAGCCTTCTCCCCCTCCCTTCCCTTCCCCTCCCCTCCCCCTTTCCAAGGCTCCAAGCTCCAAATCCCCCCCCCTTCTCCGGTCTCCCCGCGAGTTCCACAAAGATGTGGATCTCATCACGACCGGTTCGTGCTGCCGCTGACAGCGACGGACGTATGTCACCATCCCCAGACCGCCCAGCAAGAAATACGTAGAATCCCTGCAAGCCCGAATCAGACATCTAGAAGCCCAAGTCGTCGCCCTAGGCTCCCAGCCGGCGACCGGCTCCGGCGACCTCGCCGCCACCGAGACCACCGAGGACAATGACGGGCAAGACGACAGCACCGGCGAAGACGACGACGGCAACGGGGGTCCCCTCTCGGACCTCACCGGCCTCGTCGGCCGCCTTAACGTGACTGAGGACGGCCAGCTGCACTACTTCGGCTCCCAGTCCTCCTACAACCTCGTCCGCGAACCACCGCGCGACTCCCCCGCCGATCCGCGCGAGCCCTCGCTCAAGATGCAGCGTCAGGGTCTCCTCGCCGCCGCCCAGCTGGGGAAAATGGTCACCGTCCCCGACGAGCTTCAGGCTCACCTACTCGAGCTCTACTGGCGCTGGCAGAACCCCTGGAATTACGTTATCCACAAGAGTGCCTTCCTGCGGAGCTACCGTGGCGAGGATGACGGGACGTATTGCTCACCGTTGTTGTTGTGCTCCATATTTGCTATCGCGGCGCGGTACTCTGACCGTCCTGAGCTGCGGACCGTACCGGGTGATCCTAGTACCGCTGGGGATGCCTTTGGCGAGCATGCCAAGATTCTGCTGTTGTATGAGAGTGAGGCGCCGACGATTACAACGGTGCAGGCTGCGTGTCTGCTTGCGTTGAGGATCATGTCGGATGGTAAGGAGGCTTTGGGGTGGCTGTACTCTGGTATGTTCTGTGTTGAAGCAATGACACTTGCGTGATGTTCGCCTGCTGATCAGCATCACAAGGAAACGCAACAAGAATGGCACATAATCTTGGGCTTCATCTCGACTGTTCAAAGTGGGCCACCGCCGGTCTGCTCTCCGAAGAGGAGGCCGAGGCACGAAAGGTAACGTGGTGGGGATGTTATGTTGTTGATAAGTGAGCAATCCCCTTCTTCCGCTTCATCGTATTTCCATCCACGATGTTCTATCATATCTCATACGAGACTGTGCCAGAGTAGCTAGCTGACATGTTACAAGGCTCTTTTCAACTGGGCTGGGCCGGCCAAGCAGCACGCCAAAGTCTACCATCTCTTGTCCAAAACCTAGCATAGACAGCAACGAAGAGTACACCCCATGGCTGCCGACTTCAGAGACGCTGAGTTCCGATAAGTCTCTCGGGGTCCATTCACATATCTCATCAACAGCCTGCCACGTATCTGAGACATTTACCATTGCTTGCGAGTCAATGGATGTAATGTATGATGACCGCAAATCCACTCTTGATCTGACCCACGAACTCTTCTCATACGATGTCTCTTTTAGATACGCCGCGAATAGCAAACTCTCAACACGAGAAATTGAGGACGTTGTTAGCAAAACTGATGTGCAGTTGCGGACGCACTACAGAGAGCTGCCGAGCTATCTTCGCTTGCCCGCCTCACCCAAGGTCCCAATGCTTCCTCACGTTTGTCTTTTCCAGTACGTTTCCCCTCTTCAGTATTGTCTCTTTCTTCGCCAATGCGACATTACCATACTCTTCGAAGCAGTAAGCAAGCAGGGGAACGGTCATGACTGACCAATGATTGCACTCTAGCATTCAATATCACGCACACTTAATTCTCCTGCATAGACCACTCGTCCATAAGCGAAAGAGACGGTCTGTCAGCGTCAACACGCCCACCGATGACGGCAGCATTGACGGAGACGGATACGATAATCAGCACATGGCAACATGCCGTCACTCGGCGGCTGAAATTGCGCGGTTGCTGCGCATCTACAAACAGCAGTATACGCTGGTGAGTTATAGTTCCCTTCTCTTGCCCATTTCTTGTCCCTGTCGAGGAATGGCGTCATCTCATACTTTGAATAGCGGCGCATCCCCATCGCTGCAGTCCATCTGTGCTTCTCGGCTGTGGTCATCCACCTGATCGACGCCCGGCCGTCAAATCCCAACCGGCAGCAGGCGATCCGGCACTTACAGACGTGTGTTGATGCGCTGCGAGACTTGCGAACAGCATGGTGCGCCTGGAGCGACAGGGCCTTGCGAGCAGCACGGCTCTTGGCAAGAGAGTGGTACCAGTGTGAAGATGTCTCACTGTTGCAGCACTGGGGTGGACTCGGCGGGGTCGAGGGCAGCATATCCGGACCAACAGCAAACGCAGCAACAGCCGCAACGGGAGTTGTTGTCGGCATCACAAACACAAACGACCAACAGCAACAAAACCTGCACCAACCGTATCAACAAGGTGGAACTGCAGACGCGGACAGATTGATGGGACAAGTGCAGACGACGGATGGCGATGGCCAGGGCGACCCTCTGGCGTTTCTTTTTGATGTTGCCACGCCCGACCAGTACACGGATAGTCTAGTGAAGGAATGGCTGGCGGAGAGTGGTTACGATGTGTTGAATACGGTCGTCGAGTGAAGATGATGAGTAATCTTGCCCGGCGTTTTTGGTCTATCTGAATGTCTCGGGAGATCTCGTCCTTTGTGTGGAGAGGCTCGAGGGTAATTCTTTCTCTAGCTTGTCAATGTGTGTCTGTGTGTCAGCGTTTGCCTGGCAGTAACAATACGGATACTTAGCAGAGACCTACCTAGCACGCCTGGTCACTTTCCGTAGACTTGCGTCAAGGGGTCAAGACGGCAATTACAAGTTGCAGCAACGCCGACTTAAGCTGAATGACTCGTGTCAGATGGACCAGAAAGCCGTCTGACGCAGGAGAGGGGTCTCAGGTTCAGCGCCGGCGGTAGATGCCGGTGAATAAAAGACAGATCAAGGTGTACTACATAGTAATGCAAAACGGCCCCAGAATTGTGCAACATTATGCTCGAGATCGCTGAGCTGCGATTCCCCTTTGAGTCTAGCAGCATAGCTTAGCTCGGAGGGTACGGAGCTTCGTCCGCAACTTTGGGGCCCTTGGTGTCCTTTGGGGGTGGTCAATGGCATGGTTCAACACGCACGGGACAGCCGCTGACGGGTTTGATGCCCGATTTGATGCAGAGTGACGGTGAATTCTGTGGGGGTGCGTTGGCCTTTCTTGTGGTCGCCGTAAATTGTGCTGATGTTTGTGTCTTTTTTTTTTTTTTTTTTTTTTTTTTTTTTTTTTTTTTTTTTTTTTTAAACGTCTTGTTCCAATTTTGCCGATGGTGCTTTTGGCACTTTCCATCGTTGTTCCTTCCAGCTGCCTCAGCTCCTTCCTGGTAAACGGTCCTACCTAATCGGTTTCGCTTTCCCCATCTCCATCTTAGATCGCCCTTTCCCTCTCCCTTTTTCACTTTCCCATGCTGCCATCGGTAGAGGGGTGCACCCAGAGCCCACTCAATATCAGGAGCGTGCTCCGAACGCCTCCCATTGGCTGAAATCACCCGTGCAGCCAATAGGAGTACCTCCTCACCAAGACCCACGTGATGGGTATCTGACCTGGGCCCACCGATCGAGATTCGAGACCTTTCAGTGTCCAGTGTGTTCTTTCCTCTTTCCGAAAACCCAACTGAGCAGCTGCCGCGTGGGATGATTGAGAGAGAAAGAGCGGAAGCCGCACTTGCACTACACTGCACACAGTTTGCGAATTACCCTCGGTCGTTCCTGCTTACTCTTTTTTTGCTTTTGTTTTTTTTTTGGTTCTGCATTTCATTTCGTGTTCTTTTTCCCCATCTTATTTCCATTTTACCCTTCCAAGAAAAAGAACGAACCTGAGCAAACCTGCAGCCTGCTTAGCCTGCATTTGCAGTCCGTCTCCCCGAAAAAGGGAGACCGCAGAGAAGGGAAAAAAGGCGACAGAAGGGGAAAGAGCTGGTCCATGCGTTTTGGGGGTTGAGGTGAAATTCCTCAGCAAACTGCCGTTGGAATACCCAGAGGGCCACGGCCAACCGTCTCATCCGGAACAGACCAACAAAATCACCCAAGACAAGAAACGAAGAAAAACAAGAAGAACACAAGGGAGGGAGGACAACGCAAAGCGTTAAAGCTTCAATCTCATGTCGCTCCCCGCAAAGCGTCGTCGCGTCATTCTTCCCGCACCAGGCGCCCAACCCTCCGGATCTCTCCCACCCGCCTCTTCTTCACTGGTAGCATCATCATCTCACCAGCCATCCGCCTCAGGACGCGGATCGATCGGAGGAAATGGGAGCAGCGAGGAATCGTTGTTAGGGAATGATACGAGTCGCGATCTTCAATCCAGAAGTCAGAGCATCGACTCATCTTCGGCCGACACCAAGAAGCCGAGGGCCGCATCTAAACGACAAGTTATTGCAGTTGCTTGCGATAACTGCCGCCGAAGAAAGGCAAAGGTGAGTGAAACGAACGCCGATACAAACTTTCCCCTCTGCACCAGAGAGAGAAAGAGAGAGAGAGTTGTCAAGATGAGCCGAGACTGAGAGATTCCACAGTGCGACGGCCATCGCCCAAAATGCCAGCACTGCTCCAAAAGGGGCGTCGAGTGCCACTATGAGGCCAACCAAGGCGAGACTGTGAGCCTCGCTCTCAAACGCAAGGCAAACGACCTCGAAAGCGAAAATGTTCAGTACAGAGAGCTTTTTCGCATGGTCTGCACCAAATCCGAGGACGAGGCAAAGGAGATTTTTCGCCGCATACGCTTGTCCGGCGACCCCCTCAGAGTCCTCGAATCCATCCGCCAGGCAGAGATTCTGCTCCCCTCCCTACCCGTCAATGACCGCGTCAGCGATTCGCGGTTAGCAAAGCTGAACGAAAGGGCAATGGAAAATAGCCTCCTCCGCGTGCCGGCAAAGCCCTGGACCACGGTTGCTGACGATGGCATTGTCTCCGAATTGATTACCGACTTTTTCAGCTGGGACAATGCGAGTTGCTTCCCCGCCGTCGAGCAGAACCTGTTTCTCGAAGACATGAGGTCCGGAAATATTAAGCGTGCAAAGTGGTGTTCCCCTATCTTGGTCAACGCAATGTGTGCAGTCCGTGCTGTAAGTCCCCTCTCTTCTACTATGTATCTCGACACCCACATATCGCGAGAGGGCATCCCGTAACTGACACTTTTCCGTAAGCCATTTGTTGCAACTGTCAAAGAGTTTCACTCCTACACAGGCCAGGACTTAGCGAGACAGTTCCGGGAAGAGGTCATGCAGCTGGTAGAAAAGAGTCATGGCCGGGCTTCAATCCCCACCATCCTTGCCCTCGTTCTCGTGGACTGGTCAGCGAGTATTGCAGGCGACGAAGCCAGTGCCAAAATGTACCGCTTCATGGCCTGGGAAAGGTATAAACGTTTCAAACCAGAGCGACGCTTCGCCATGCTCAATAAAGACGATCCAAATGATGCGATTGAAATGCTCGTCATCTCAAAAGCTGTGTGGGCCATATTCTTGATGGAGAGGTGCGTTTTCCCCTTGATAGCGAACCTAACTGTCAGAATCCCCAACACCAAACTAACACTTAACACAATAGCCGCGTATCATATTTCTACAACTCAACCGCAGATATTCCACCCCCGACAATACCCAGATTGTTCGACAACTGTGGACGAGACGCAGTCGAGCCTCTTGGCAACGTCGACGTTCTCGGTCGATCCTACCTAGAATCTACGAGCCTGATACCAATCGTTCCAGGAATAGCAACAGTCGTATCCGATCTCGCCAGGCTACAGTATGACGTTATGTCATATCTCACGTCTGGCAGCACCATCAAAGGAAGCATCGAAGACGTGAGGCGGAAGAAACACTGGTACTGCAGGTTGCAGGAGTTCAGGGAGGCGTTGCCCAAACGCTTCCAGATGGAATACAACTTCACCCCGGCAACCTGCTTCCTGAGGTTCGTCTAGGTTTTCCGATGACCATCGGCGAAATAGCGGAACGTGGGACCATGCTAACATCACCCAGGATGCACGAGAACGAGCTAGCCTACGCCGTCCTCCAGTCACTCAGCCCGTCAACCATCTTCGACACTCCCTTCACCGCACCTCCTACGACCGTAAAGTCTCTCTGCCTCCATCACTGCGTCTCCGACACAACCCTCGCAGAGTCATACCTACAACGCTACTGCACGCACTCGTACATCACCCGCGTCATGTTCGTGGCGATGCAGAACCTCATGCCCTACCTCAATGAAGGCCACGCCGCCACCAACGACCTCTTCACCCGCCTCTGCATGATGGGCGGTATCTCAGCGCGCGTCGTCCGTATGTCAATGTACCTCCTCCAAGCGGTGCAAGCCATGGCCTGGGCGATGAAGCAGGACATCCCGGCCGCCGCGAGACCGTATCTCGATCCTTGGGTGAGGCTCGCGATCCAAGAGAGCGAGACAAAAGCACCGAGCTATGCTGTTCCGGACCGCGAGGAGATCAAGGCCCTCCTTGCCGATGATGATCAGAGCGATGGTGGATCTGTCGAGAGCGGCGCCGAACTATGGGCATTGGTAGAGAAGTGGGCTCTCAGCACCGGGAAAGGTCTTTGATGGTATGCCCAAGTACTTGATTAGGGGGCCTGGCGTTTTGGATTGGTTTGCATGGCATGTGTTGCAAGCGTGTTTGATCATGATGAGAAGTGAAAGATTTTTCGAGCATTTGCCAGATATGTGGCGGCCATTTACGGAACAGAGATTCGGGCAGCGCGAGCTGTCTGTCATTGTTACTTCCAGATCATGACCCAGGGCTGATACAACATCGTGACAGTGAAGTATCAAAACCGTCGAAACTTACCCCCCGCGCTCAAGGTCGATCAAGTGCCAGCAAGTATGAAGAGACGCAACAGACTTGCCTTGCCTCCATGAGATCACAAGCGACATCCTCGTTTGTTGAAAGGCCTTGGCTACCAAGAGTGCATTGAATTGCGCACCAATCACAGCTAACGATCCGTTCGGCGAATTATCAAAATTTTGGATTCCAGGACAAGGGCATCGATGTCACCTTCCTGCTTGGTATCGGCAGCCCCTCCAACTTCTCTAGATTCCAGATGAGCTCGAAGCAGATCGGGATTTGGGCTTGATACCTGCTTCCCCGGAGTCCTATCCGAACCTGCAGCGCCGGTCGGTCGCCGTCTCCGATTATATCCTTAGAGAGGACATCGTCTGACCTGGTCAGGATGCTGAGCATGTTAAGATGAGCCTATTCTGTAAAGTCGCAGCACCTCGTATCCTTCAACTTCCGCGAACGACCTAGCTTGACTTGTTCGCCTCTTTCAGTTCTTATTTCTTCAACTGTAAATTGCGACCTGCATGTTGTTCCACCCTCCCGCCCCCTCTCCTTCTCGCGGCGTTACTTGATGCCACCAAACGCCTGTCAGTCCGGAGACATGAGCTCCGTTGGTAATTCACACACCTTGATGACATTGAGCATCCCTTAATCATTTCAGACTCTAATACGAGGAACTAAGACAATGCGCTCACAGTGTCACATCCCGTCAAGTCCCCGCACTCAAGCAGCAACGATGCTTCTTTCTGCCCCTGCGACTCCTTCATCTTCTGTAATAAGGGCAATTACAAGCTTGGCTCAGTTGTTCGACGTTGGATTAAGTCAAGCTCATATAAGATCGCACCCGGCGCTGGTCTGACTCTTCTCCGAGTCACCTGTCAATATCGCCTTCACAGCTCATCAATAGGCATCGCCCAAGGTTGCTGTCAGAATGCCTTCGCTATCCTCTGTTATCTTCACCCTCATACAAGGCCTATGCGTTGCCGTCCAGGCCCAAACAACAATCACATCCACCGGAAACCCCATCATCGCCGACGGAACTTACTACACAGCAGACCCAGCTCCCTTGGTCGTAAACAACACAGTCTACATCCTAACCGGACGAGACACCGCCCCCGCGAGCCAAAATGCATTCGTAATGAACGAGTGGGAGATGCTCAGCAGCACAGACCCGCGTCCCTCCGGAGCTCAATGGCAGCTGCGCACCAACATTGCTCGCCCGGAATCGGTCTTCAAGTGGGCTGCGTCCGGGACTGCCTACGCTTCTCAAATCGTGCAGGGCCCGGACAAGAGATTCTACCTCTACGCTCCCGTCACCCAGGCCTCGACGTCAAATTCCGATCGGTTCGCCATTGGGGTCGCCGTATCGAGCAACCCCTGGGGTCCTTTCGTGGATGCTCACCCTAGTGGGCCCATTGTCTCGCAGTCTGTCCCGTCGCCGGGGAACACCATCCAGAATATCGACCCGACGGTTCTCCTCGATGATACCGGGAGGGTCTACCTCTACTGGGGGACATTCGGTCAGCTTCGCGGCATCGAGCTCTCTACGGATATGGTCAGCACCATCGGACAAGCCACGGCAGTCAACAGCCTAACTGGCTTCTTCGAGGCACCGTGGCTCCTCAAACGAAAGGGAACGTATTACATGCTCTACGCTGCAAATAACGCTGGAACAGATTCACCATGCACACCGACATCCTACCATGCCTGCATCGCCTACGGAACCGCCTCCTCACCTCTGGGCCCATGGACCTTTAGGGGTGTAATGTTAGACATTGTCTCATCAACTACTTCACACCCAGGTGCCTTTGAGTTGAACAGCCAGTGGTATTTGGTTTACCACACCCGAGACGCCACGGGAGGAGGTCACTTCCGCCGCAGCGTAGCCCTGGACTCCATGACCTGGGACGATGCCCAGTCGCCCCCGCGTATCAACAAAGTCATCCAAACCCGTCGCGCGCAACCCGCCGCTCCGGCAACCCGCAACATCGCGACCAAAGCTACAGCAAGCTCAGTCAACCGCACGCCGATACAGTACTGGATCAAATCCATCAACGACGCATGGATCCCCGGGAACCCCCTCCCACCAGACTACTGGTGCTCATACGACGGCACCGCCTCGCCGCAGACGAACACGCTTGTGTTGACGTGGCCCTCTGCGGTGACGCTTAACGGAGCGAGGATGGTGCTTTTCGCTGACCAGCCTGCTGGGTCGAATATCGGGGTGCCGCCTCCTGCGAGCTGGCGAATCGAGTATTTGAATGGGAGCGGCGCATGGGTTGCGGTTACGGCGACGTCTGCGTATTCCACTGCTGTTACGGATAATCCTGCTATTGTCAGCTTCAACCAGGTTTCGACGAAAAGTATTCGTGCGGTTTTGGTAGCTTCTGGTGGGAATGGGCAGTATGGTGGTGTTGGTGTTAAGGAGTTTGAGGCTTTGGCTCCTACTGTCCAGTAAACACTTAGAGAGCATTCATACGGGAGGTACATGCAGGCAGGATATTGAAGTTCTCACTCTTCATTCAACATTACATATTTTCCACCAATAGTCCGTCTCTCTTGAAGTCCTCCAAATTGATTTGGCTCACAAGTACTTCGTTACAAACTTTCCGATGTGTCTCCCTACATTCGATGATAATTCCCACCTTAAACTCCACCCATCAAAGCTTCGCCCGAATCTCAGGCTCCCCCAAAACCTCATGCTTGAACCGATACACAATATCACTAAACCTGCCCTCCGGAAACACATAAAGCCACGTCATCGTCTCCCCGCCGTCGCAAAACACACCGTGCTCCGCGTCCCCGGGGATCCACACGAGGTGGTCCTTGGACACGGCGTGCCGGACGCCGTTAATCTCAACTTGCCCGCTGCCGGAGAGCACATAGTATATCTCGGCCTGCTTGTGGCGGTGCAGCGCCAGGCTGCCATTGGGCGGGCAGGTTGCTACGCCGGAGCTGAGGGAGTCGGTGACTGTGCCTGGGGCGGAGACGAGGGTGTGCCATGTTGCGTTGCCGCGAGATTGTTCGGTGAAGGACTCCGAGGGCTTTGTTGACGAGGATTTGATGTCTACTATGAGAGGGGTTTCTGGGTTCTTTGATGTCATGGTTCTTCCTCTTCTTTTCTTTTTTGTGTTTTCTTTTCTTTTCGTTTCGGCGCAAATGCCAAAAAGGTCGTGGTCTGCAATCCCTACCGTTTGCATGGCGATGAAGAATTGTGTTCATGTGGGGGTTTTTATATCATTCGTCATCTAAGTACTTACCCCTCCTATTCCGAACCCGGTGAACTAAGAATAAGACGCCGTCTTATCCAATTTTTTACGTGACGATGGTGTTAGTTGTTTGTACTATATTGGTCGGCGGTGCGGAGACCCACACCACCCGTCCGGCAAGAAATGCCTTGTTTGGCATGTCGAGCCTCGGGGTCTCAACTCTATGTCCGGATAAGATATCTATAAGCAACTGCTTCTGTTGCACCGATTTGTATTCTGCCCACGATAGTAGGATTCTTTCTGGAATTGCTCGCATGCGATGTAACATGGAGGAAGATAATCTGATAGAACGATGATGCACTCATCAAGGTAGGCAGTGTCATGTGATGCCTCCGATAGGCAAGCTGCGTCTGGCTGACTGCCGGTTATGGAGCATCATTTTTCTTCATGTCGAAAATATTACAGGCTACCATAGATCGAGCTAATTGATAAAGCAACTTCAGATACCTTGATCAATTGGCATTGGGAACAACTTGGTCTCACTCTTCGAACATCGCCTTTAGGCTCATGATATTCCTAGTTGATGACTTTATCTCTCGGAGCGTGATCAGAAATAGGGTGACGTCTTCATCGTCCAAAAAGTTTCGCTGCGTTTCCCCTCCTCACAGCTTCAGTCTTCCTAGTGTTGTTGAGAACCTCCTCAATATCTTGATCAAACTTGATCCTCCCGGTTTCGGCCATAGCCCATGGCGTGAAAGGGGTATCCGTCCCCCACAACAGCTTCTTATAGCTCACCCACCGAAGCAGAGGAGGAATCGCCCAGATAACCGGCCAGGGCCCAGCAAGGTCAAAGTAGAAGTTTTCCGCCAGGGTTGACTTCATGAACGCCTCTGTTAGATTGACATCTGGCGTGCTATAGCTGACGATCCGATCCAGAGTGGGAACCAGACCGCCGCCTGCGTGAGGCATAATCCACTTGATGCGAGGGAATCGCGTCGGAATCTTGGAGTAGAATAAGTCTGCAAATGTACGAGCCGTGTCGAACGGGAAGTCGATGGTCGGCGCCCGACCCTGTCGGCCGGCTACCGGTCTATTCAGGGTAAGCCATTCTGGTGGTGTGATCTCAGGATCTTCTCCGTCGATCGAGAATCTTAAATGGTTATGCTCCGTGCAGGGTGCGGTGGGATGCTCAAATATTGTGGCGTTCACCTCGTTCAGCGCCTTGTAAACTGGATCGAGTTCCGGGTCGCCGAGATACATTCCATAGAAGTTGGACATAAGCACGATGCCGTCGGGTTTCGGGTTGAGCTGGGTGAAGCAGTATGTAATCTCCTCCACGGATGCGTTCACATCTGGGAGCGGAAGCGATGCAAAGAATCCAAACTTGTCGGGATACCTGGCTTTCACCTCCGAACCATACTCGTTGACTTGACGTGCGAGTTTGACGGCCTTCTCTGTCGCGGACTTGGATGGTAGGGAAAGGTATACCCCCGGACTGGAGATGGATAGGAAAGATTTCTCTATATCTTGCGCTTTCATGAAGTTGAGATGCGCCTCGGGGGTCCATTCCTATAATTCCATGTCAGCATGTCGCGGAGCTGTTTGGAGTGCTCGTTGAGATTGGTACTGACAGGAATCCCAGGCATGCCATCTGGGCCGGGTAGATGCCCAGCGTCTTTGAGCGCTTGCGCATAAAAGTCTGGGACGTAGTGCGCATGCACATCTATCTTGGCTTTTGAGGGTTGCATATGGTTGCCTGCGAGTGCGGAACGCAGCAAGTGGCTGATGATGAAGAAGAGAAGTGGCATGCTGGCTACGAGTTGAGACTGAGCAACGTTTCTGGGTTGAACGAGGTTGGTGCCGGTGCGGAACCTAAGCTTGATTACAGCACCACACATCTTCGGCTTAGGTACTTAGAGGAGCTGCAGTGATTATCAAATACCTTACATGTGAATGACGCCACGGCACCAGTGCATACCTACTGACCGAACCCTTTCCACGCCGTTTTCTGCGCTGCGTCACAGTGGCCATACTAAATTCCTCTTGTCTTGGGGCAGCGCGGATAGCGGCAGATACGAGACGCCACCCTTACAACTGTCTAGCAGCCATTTGCGCAGACTTACTAGGTACTCGCATGTAGCCTTATCGATCTTCGTTGCCAACAGTGGAAATACAGGCTAGGTCGTACTTAGGTTCCTCGGACATGGCGTTTGTTCCTCCAATTCTTAGATAGACGTGTAGTTGCTCATCATTGCAATGCTTCATAGCTTCAGCGACGATATCATCGGGCACATAGGTTACAAACTGTAAAGATTACAATAGATGCGTCGATGTATCAGATTTCCCTCCCATGCTAATTGCTCATGCCAATGTTCGTTCCACGCAAAACATTTACTTTAGATCACTCAATTCTCTTCTAGGCCAAGCCCTGTGGGTGGGCGATGGGAATGATCGGTCCCATGACCACTTCTTCGCCAGTTTCTCCTCGAGAGATCCGTCCAGCATCTGCACAACATACTTACCCAAGATGGGTAGGAACTTCCAGCCATGGAACGATCCGCAAGTCGCGACATAGAGATTCTTACTCGCAGAGTGAGGGGAGATGATGAAGTCCTCATCGGGCGTGACAGCCTCCCTATTCAATATGTTAGCAAGATACGGTGCACTAGCTGTTAGTTCTGCTTTAGACGTCCAGGAACCTGTATACATACCAGCAGATGCGATAGTTCTCATTCTTGAAGGCCTCGCTTCCTGTTCCAAATAGACTCTTTCCAGCATAGTCAACGTCTTCTTTCAGAGCATCCGGGACCTCGAGCTGCGCATAGTCAACAGCCGCAGGAGGTGCAGATATCTGGCTTCCGTTTGTGTGAGTCTGAGTGTTTCTGAAGATTATTTGACCCCAGAATTTCAAAGTCTTGTCCTTTGAGTGAGGAACACTTCCGTTGCTTGCGCCTGGGATGGCGTCAGTATTTTAATCATAGTAGACTCGGCTTGTCACAAGCTTTCCCATACCTCTTGATGGCGGTACCATGGAGATTCCAACTGGACCGTCGTAAAGGTCTTTTGCATTCTCTCCAGAGACAGGCGTGAACCCCTCGGTGACAGCTGCTGCCACGAACCTGTCGCCAGCTTGGAGATCCGTTCTCTCAGGTGCGCTATCGGCAAGCAACTTTGCCGTGTAAGCACCCGTTGACAAGATGACTCGTGAAGCGGCTATACTCTCGCCCTTTGATGTCTTGATACCAGTCGCAGCGCCCTGTTCATCAAACTCAATCTTCTCAACTTCTGCCTCAACATACTTCACTCTGAGCTTCACAGCCTCCTCAATAGTACTCTGCAACGCCTCCTTCGCCTCACCCCATCCACTATTCTTGTTCACAAAAACCTCTTTCACATCAGTGAAATCAGCTTCTTTGAAAACACCGCCATACTGCTTCTTGGCCTCCTCAACAGAGAAAGAGAATAATCCGGAGTCAACTCCGAGCTTTTTGTAATTCTCCTGCATCTGTTCTGCAAAGTTATTCGGCGAGACCCAGTAGACGCCGCTTTCGTGGTAATACGGTTTCCAGATCGGGTCCTCTGACCAGTACGTCTTGGCCTCGAGGCAAAGGCGCATGTATTCAATATCGACATAGTCGGCGCGCACGACCTTGTTCCAGTCCCACGAAGCGGCGACGCGGATGGGGGCGTCGTAGGCGTTGCGGTCGACGAGGGTGATGGTGGCGTCGGGGTAGGCGCGGATCAGGTGCAAGGCAGTGGAGGCGCAGAAAACGCCAGCGCCTATGATGAGGTATGAATCTGGTGAGGTGGCCATTTTTCATGTACGAAGCTTAGCTTCTTCTTGACTTTTGGTCGGCGTACTAAATCAGTCTAAAGATGATGAGTTTCAACATCCAAGTTGATCACATCTTGGATTCCGTTGTCGGACACTGCCCGCACTTCATCCTCGTCTTATCTTCTGACGTCATGTGATTAAATCGGCACGCCATCGGCTTTGGGCCGAGCAATCTCCACTGCAACATACAGCACGTCGCATTAGTGACTCTTGTCGCGAGGATACCGGTGGGATGTAAGTTCGTTCCAGTCTTACCTTACCTTTGGCAGATATCTCAGTTGGGCTTTATCTAGGACACCCGGGAGGAAAGCAAGTGAGAACGGGATTCTTCAGCTTCGACTCTTTTTCGGCTTTAGAAAACCATGGGCACATAAATATCACGAAGAGAATTACCTTTTCTAATTTCATGGGGAGGGAGCCTGAGCTATTGATGTAAAAGGTAGAGGTCATGAACCTCGGAGGTTACCAGACTTGCGTCTCGAGAGCCTCCCGCTGGTTGAGGCGCATCCTCGACTTCACCTGAATGGTCTACCGTATCTCCTGAAGCGTTCTCCGCATCTCTTGAGGCGTTCTCATCCATGCCTAAAAGGACTTCGGCTGTTGGTCTCTCGTCTCTAAGGGGACTCCAAAGGCGGTAGTACCGGTGAGGCGTGAACAAGAGATTGCAAGCTTGGTAGGTCCGGCATCCAAGAAAGGATCTGAAATCTCAGCTCGGCCGATAAATTCTCGATACTTGAAGCTGAAATAGGACTCTCAATCGAATTGTTTTCCTCAAAACGGCCTGTTACAGTTTTGTCCTGGCTTCTGGTATTCATGCGGCTTGCGTCGTTGCTGGGGCTCCTTTGCGGTTTCTTCTTCAGCGATTCCCCATGAATGCTCCCTGCACGAACTTCATTTTCACCCTGACACACTCTGGCGTCCAGTTCCATTTGGATCGTGGCGAGAAGTGTCCTCTTGTCCCCCTTTCTGTTTTCGCTAGCAGATTGGCTGGTTGTGGAAAAATCGCATGCGTTTGAAGACCAACGAAATGGGTGATGTAGGTTGCCGGATTTTGGTCACCGCCCAAGGGAACGCCCTTGTGGAAGAAGTCTGAAAGAGGGATGACTTACAACCATAAGGCGGGGCAAGTGATATTTGAACCAATAAATGACAATTGTGTATATGATTGTTCATGTGCCTCCTTCTTTGTAGCGTAGAGGCACGATTGGTTATGGTCACATTGACGCGGACGCTTCTCGAGAGTATCGCCCGTGTGTTTTGATCACTAGAATCCTGAATAATAGATTTTGGATTACACTGCCGCAACCATAGTATTCACGATGGCGCGACCTCCCAGGGATATTAACTTCTCTTGTCAGTAAAGTAAGCACTTGTCCAAATTGCAGCTACCACATCTTTTTTTGTTCCACATCACGGCTCTGAGCTTGTGGCCTATCATTTTCAGGTCTCGCAAGGGAAGAGTTTCCAACGCCTGACTCAACATTATAACCGTTGATACCCATTCTTGCAGACCTGGCCCTGCCATTGTTACATGTGCATAGATAACCAACACGAGCTGGATTTAACAGGCTCGACAGCCGCATATATTGATCCGCTAGTAACTTCGACTCGGAGGGCGCGTTTGGCGGCAAAACTGTAACAGCCGCTCATTAATTTGGCGGTTCCAACCAGCATCACCCTACTTCTCGATATTTCGGGACTATACAACGGGAAGCGACACACAACTGCATGGTAGATGGTGGTATCATTTGGGGACTCGCATAAACAGAAACTCGAGCATTGATAGCGTATCTTCCTGTCCACCAATTCAAACATATTTTGTGGAATGTAGCACAAAATCAATGTCACTAATCTCCTGGTGTTCGGTCTACATGCTGGTAGCACGAGAGGTCGTCGTGCAATATCAACATCTTGAGAATACTGTATGGTACTGGTTGAAAGCTGGTAATTTGAATAAATACTAATGCCCTATGTGAATGTCAGGCTGATAATTCTGGGTAGCCCCGGTGGTCAGAACGAGAATGAACTCCGCAGTCAGTGCAGGTACAATCAACAACAAGCAAGTAAACCAGCCTAGCAGTTCTCTCGTGGCATTTTCCGCGTCTTTCAGCACCTTAATTTAAGTGACTTTCATTTCGCATTGTCTCAATACTCGTCATCTACATATCATACGTCTGCCCATAAGGAACCATTTCACTACTCCAGACAGTGAATCCACGTGCGGCCAAGCCACACAATGAGTACTCCCGGATTAGCAACCTCACTTGACTCGATTGCCACCACTGCCACTTATGCTTCCACCCTATCAACTGACTCTTATATCAGCAATATCGATAAGCCAAGGATCAACGATTGATTCGTGGAAACGTGCAACCACATCACCATGGTGGAAACCGGAAGAAGTATTCTTCTGGAGCGGAAAGTTTAGTCACACAACATCAAGAAGCGTGACCCCAACTATATTAACACAATGATATGGACTTCTGAGATGGATCGCGACCGCCATCTATACAAGGACGCAGGAGACCGCTTTGTCAACATGAAGCAGATTGCCGAAGCCTATGATAGACTCTGCAAGGGCATGAAGTTCTCGATTGATTTCCCTGAACAAGAGAAGAGACGCCTCGAGTCCATTGAAGACGACGAGAACTGGATAGTGAGTCTTGCCCGATTCTGGTATCTCTGAAAAGAGTGTTGCAACTGACACCAAGGTCTTGCCGGGCAAGCACGACTTGACTTGATGAGCTGGTACCCGCTCGTATTCAACACCCAGTCTACAAAAGGACATATTAAGCAGGCCTAACAAATGATTTCTTCAGCGATGAAGGCAAAAAGAGATGCAAAGTTCCAGAGAAAAAGCTGGTGGCCAGACGACCCCCCAAAAAGCATGAGACTAATCAGGCTTTGTGGAAATTGATGACGCCAAAATCCATGGATCCAGACAGGCAGCCCGAGCTGAATCAGTGTTAAATGAGTGAAGATAGAGTTTTGGGGAGTGGTTTGGTAGAGAAGTATGGTAATTGCAAGGAAGTTGTGTTGTGTCTCCCCTCCCTGTGGGACTGTTTTGATCTTTTCATTTTGGGCCGCAGTAAGGTGAATCAAGAGGAGGAAACCGTGGTTATATAAGAGTGATATTCATGTAGTAGTGAGGTTGGACTGGAAGTATCAAACAATTATGTGTTCCTTAGGTGGTTGTCAATCATCGCTTGTATAATATATCCGATTCAATGGCAATGCAGCACTCGAAAAAGGCCAAGTGTATGCGCCCGAGTAGCCGGCTGACACCTACCTTCCAGTATCATATTTGATGAATCAAAGGTGATGGTACTCACGAAAAGCTGGTCCAAGAGCGTACGGACACGGCCTGCCTTTGGGAAGTTGATATTCCAGACTTGTGACATGCATATGCTTTCGAGAGGTTAGATGTATGACGAATAGGAAGGTGAATAACTCCAGCTTGCCCTGGTAGGTAATTGAATGGCGTCTACCAGAAATGAAAATCAATCAATGTGACCCTCGGCATTTCACTAAGCAGGTATGAGATTATCAGGCGTGAGTGACTTCATCAACAAGACTTCGTCAACGTTGAAAGTTGTTCACAATGCGCGGTTCTTGGTTCAAGTCGCTTACTTTGCACGTTCGTTTATGAGAGTAGAACTGAAAAATGAGAAAACTTCGAAGTGGGAGAACGCGGCCTGCTTGCCATTCAATGGAATGCCCTCATGGGGGTTTCGCTGTACCTAACAGCTGGAGTTAATCGAACGTTAGCAAGCCACGCTCACGTGGCCCGTGACATGATATAATACCAGGCTCACAACGTTATTCCAACATCATGGGACCTCGTCAGATCATGCTTTGCCCAACCGCCGCTAAACAAATGGGAGTTGATTGGTGCGTTGGGAAAGCAATGTTCGGTATCATTGTAGGTAGTTTGCAGTCTGAGGAGGCGCAGCGTTGTGCCCGACCCACGACTGAAGCGGGCCGCGTACGGGGGGCAAACTACGTAGGGTGATGAATATCGCTTCTGCATATTCTTGGTAGCGATTATATAGGCTCTGAACCACTAAATTTCCCTTGGCCAGGCGTCATGCAGCCATGTATGCGCACCAACTCAGTCTAGCTGCGGCACAGCTGTCGCCCGGCCAGGGTGAGATCGTGAGAGGCCGACTCGTACCGAGAGAGAGCATATTCGTCCGTTGCTACATGCAGCCAGACAAAGGAATGCCAAGATCGTGGGCTCACATGTATCGACCACATTTGCAGTAATTATTTAAGGTACTTGTCAGCCCGAATCTCCGTTACAGTATTCCTGCATCACCTTTTTCCTACCGCCAGCGACGCAATCGACACACTTTTCAACATAGCATCGCATTCGATCTGGATTTCAAGAAATAGTAACTTCGATTCGAGCAAGTATATCTAAAATGTGGGACTGGCAATCTTATGTGACGGGATCCATAATACGGATTGTCCCATCCGGTCTCGTAGTTCTTCCCGCCTTGGGATTCTCCGTACTTATCCTGCGTAAACCCGGTGCCAAGCACGATCATACACGCCGATGGGTTGACTTCACCAAGGTTGCCTTTGGACTTTGGAGCATGTGAGTGAGACCAATCCTTGCTTATCCGCTTTCAATCATCTCGGAGGCTCCCGAGAAAGCTTCATGGATATCTATGCCAGCGCTATTCCGAAATGAGACTGATGCCGCCGCCGCCTTTCAGATCTTCACTTCTCAGCCTCGTGTACTGGATTATTCTCGCAGTCTCTTACTCTCGGCGACAGAACAGCGGTTATTTTCCCTATCCGGCTGGTATAGACTACCTCATTTACGTCAGCGGACTGATCGGATACCTGGGCAACGTCGCCCTTCTTCTCGCTTTTTTTTCCTTAGCTCATGCCTTGACACAGCTTCGCAGCGGCGCCGAGAGTGATGACAGCAATGCCTATCGCGTCGGCAAAAAGGTCGTACTCGGTCTGTCGGCTCTGATTACTCTCGTAGCTGTGGCCATTTTTGCCTGCATAGTCGCTGCGGCAGTCTTACTTGAAATCCTTCCTGGCAGGGATCGGTATGTCCCGGGCGATTGGGACAACGCGATTAGGCTCGGTTTTGCCGCCGAATATATGGGGGTCATCAACATCGGGTTTCTCCTTGCTGCGGCCCTTGGCTTGGCTGGTTATGCCTTCGTATCCTTCAAGGCGGCTAGGGGCAGTCCTACTCAGACGGTAAATTTGTCTCTCCTTGACCCTGGAGACAAGAACAAGTTCATCTAAACATGTTGCTGACTCATCACTTTGTTAGGCGGCTACTCTTTTGCTCATTGCAGTTTCGCTCTGGCTCATAACCAGATTATGGAACTTCATCTCCTGCGTCATGGCGGTGACAGGTTATTATTGGGGCTATGGTTCGTCCTACGTTGCAGCCGCAGTCATCGATGCGATTCTCATTGTGTGGTCATCGTTTGCGGCTCTCATGGTTCTTTACGTCCTAGCATCCAACAACGCGTATAGTCTTTCAAGGCTTCACTATCAGGAGGGAGATGACGAGCAGAGAGTCTGGGATGAGCGAACTCAAAGCACTTGAGGCCATCATTTCATATGCTTCTGAATTTCAACAAGAATATTTGCCATATTTCATAATGTTATCTTGCTGTCTCTCTTTCTTCTAGTCTTCATTTGCCGAGGTGGTGATCCTCAAAGCCTGTAGAGGATGGAGAGGTTGTTATGAACGTGCCAAGTAGCAATGACTTGTAAATTCAAATACTTGTTGCTCATGAAGGTTGCTCACATAGACTCTGAGAATGTTGATCTTACTCTGCATCTTGACTTCTCATGAGAACCCGCCTGACGTGGACGGATTGATGTCACGAATGACTGTATGAGAGGAGTCCGCGTCTAGCCGTGCTGTTAGCGGGTGAGGTCTATGACTCTAAGTCTCATAGCGTCTGCTAGGTCTCTATATTGCGAGCGGCCATCTAAATAAGTCTCACTTACAAGTAAAAGATCATCATGCTCATTGATATACACGCCGCAGGACTGGCATTTGGAGATATTAAAATAGTCCGCCATTGTGCGAATTATGTTATTTGCTGAAGTTTTTGGGCAATACAGTTAGGGGACATATTTGTTAGGGCACTACTTTCTCCAAGCTGCGTTCAACACTATATTATCCATACGTCAGAAGTTCCCTACTAACTTTTATCAAGGTTTAGCAACATGCACATCCTAGCTGGTAACAGAGCCATAGGGCGCTGTACGAGGCAAGCTTCGGGGAGTTATTACAACAAGACACCGGCTCCAGCTGAAACTGACCGCCTTGGCGACGGGAATTCTTTGCCCAGGCGCGTCGTCATCGGATTCGCGATCCGCAGCCCTGTCAAACAAGCCTTTTCCGTTCTTTTTACGCTCTCTACTATTCGACGCTCTTTTTCGCCGTCATCAAGTCATTTCGCGACCGTCTCATTTGTCAATCTCAATCCATGTCTCTCATTGTGTTCGTCCCCTAGTATCGGCCCCAAGAGAAGAAGCCCGAAAAGATGCCACGTCTATCCGACGAAGTGGAGGAAGAGCACCTCCTGGGCGCCGAATATTCGGATCACGAGGGGGTGCTCCCAATGGATCCGTCCGAGCCGTCCCCCCGCGCCGGCTTCCGAGCCTTCCAGAGACCTCCGCCGCCAAAATGGAGGCGGCCCTCCTCCGGTGATGGCGGCTTTGGCGGTGCCCTCGGCGGGGTAGTCTACAAAGCCGGCTCGCGTCTCAATGCCGCCTTGGCTCCGTTCCGGGCCCGGTCGCCGCGGATTATCATTCTCATGCTGGCCCTGCTGAAGTTCGCCATTACTATTAAGGCCATGATGCTCATGCTCCCCATGATGAGGCTCATTGAGGATGATATATGCCACAAGCACTATAAGACTAGCCCCGCAGAAATTATCCCGGAGATGAAGTGCAAGGTCGACGAGGTGCAGAAGCAGCTCGCCTGGCTGAGCGGGTGGCAGTCTCTCATCGGTGCCGTCGTCAACTTTCTCGTTGCCTTTCCTTACGGTGTCTTATCAGATAGGTGAGTCACGATTCCCCATGGACAGAGCAAGATTGACTTCTCCTCCTCAATGACTTTTACCTGATTTCTAACACAAAATGTCTAGTATCGGCCGCAAGGCAGGCCTCATCTTCGCCTACGTCGGCACCATCGCCGCCTTCAGCTGGTCCCCCTTCATCCTAGCCCACTTCCCCAAACTCAGCATCTACTACCTCTTCTTCGGCTCCTGCTTCTTTTTCTTCGGCGGCGGCATCGTCGTCGTCTTCAATAACGTCTACGCCATGGCCGCCGACATCAGCACCGAAAAGGACCGCGCCTCAAACTTTGTCATCCTCTCCGTCGGCGCTGTCGTTGGCGGCGTCAGCGGTCACGTATCTGCCGGCTTCCTCATGGAGAAGTTCGGCCCATGGGTGCCGATCCGTCTAGTCTTCGTGCTTACTCCGCTCGTCTTCCTCATCATCTTGCTCTTGCCCGAGACCCTGCGCGTCAAGCTCAACAGCGGGAACGAACCGCCGAAACCGCAGCTGTCGCTGAGCGATGCCATCAGGGAAGGCTTCCTCAAAGGCTTGGTCCAGCTCAAGGACTCCCTCGCGATTCTCAACAATCGCAACATCCTTCTCTGCCTTGTTCCCTCACTCGTTGGCAACCCAATCATGACGGCAAACTCCTCTACACTACCGCAGTACGTGAGCAAGAACTTTGGCTGGACCCTCGCCCAGACCAGCTTCCTCCTCTCCCCGCTGGGCTTCCTGCACCTCGGCACCCTCATCCTCCTCCCTTGGATCTCGAAAATCGTCGTTGATCCCCGCGGCCGCTTCCGCCGCACTGGCTTCGGTAAGGACGCCCTCCTCGCCAAGGCATCCTACATCATGATCGCAGTCGGCGCCCTCCTCGAGGCTTTCAGCCGGGAGATCGTCGTCTTCCTCTTGGGTCTCGTCTTCCAGACCTTTGGTTCGGCCCACAACCCGCTCGCGCGCGCCATGATCACCGAGTTTGTCGATCCGGAGCACACATCCCGGCTGTACGCGCTCACGAGCATGGTCGACACCATCGGCTCGCCGCTTGGCGGGCCGGTACTGGCGTGGGCCTTCTCGCTCGGGCTGGAGAAGAAGGGGCTGTGGAAAGGTTTGCCATGGTTCTACGTTGCGCTCTTGGCGTCCTTGACGTGGGCAGCGCTGATGCTTGTGGAAGAGCCGAAGAAGAAGGGACCTATCCACTTAGAGAGCGAGAGCGCTCTAGAAGGATTGGACTATGAGTCAGGGGCGGAGGATTAACCCCGGACGAGGCTCTTCTACCAGTCAACGTCGCTCTCTTTCTTACTGGTGTCATTGCAATGTTTTCTCTTGGGATAGATAAGGCGGTATGGGAACTGGGTTAGACGGACTAACAAGCATAGACTGGATATTGTATGTAAAATTACCACGACTCGACGGTATCGCAGGCTACTGTGGTTAGTAAGGTAAGAGTAGGCAGGCGTTCTGTATCAATTCGATCAAAGATGATCAATATACCGCGGACCACTTCCGGTTGCTGGGCGAACAATTGACAGCCAACTGACGGGCAGGGCCGACCATTTTGTCGAATGGGGGACCATGCCGCCAGTTATTGAAGTTGTCAACGGGGATCATCCCCGACGGAGCACGAAGATTGTGGATTCCTGCCGCCTCGTTGGCATCGACAATACCAGCTGCCATTCGCCCACGTGGCTGTCGCTTGTCTTCAGGTTCCTGCTGTACAATAGGGAGACCCTCGATTGCAAAATTTTGTGAGTGGTACGCAAGGCTAACATGAGGCAGGCGAGACTACTTATCTGGGTCATCTATATCATTAATGAGGGTGATTGTTCCATCGCGAAAGATTCTCTCACTATGGGCCACCGGGTCAATGCGCATGAAATTGGGCATTTTCGGGCTCGACCGCGGTGCGATGCCTTGATTTTCCTCCATTTTGTTTCTGTTGTTCGTTGGGCATCGTCATGCCTTAGCACCTCAGGACAGCCGATGACCAGTCTCACACCAAGATCGCTATGATCTCGACGCCATTAACAACAGACTCAATGGCCCGGTGGGTGGTGCATATCGTCATCGTCATGGGTGACAGACCAGTCGGTTGGTTCAAAACATGAACTCATGGTCTCTCCGCTTGCAAAAAAGCAGATCAGAAAGCACCAGCCACACACCGAAACCCCCTCACCTCTATTGTCTTGTCTAGTCTCTAGGTCCTCCCCAGTTCCTAAGTGTCACGGTCAATGGGGGAGGATCCTTGCTGTTTTGGTGATTACTGGCCACAAACACCAGCATCACTCCAAGCGATTAGATCTTGTTAGGTCTTATCCAGGTCTCTCAAGTTTCACAGTGGCGCCGAATCCTTCGATTCTTGGCAGGCTTCTAGCGTGTGGCTGTTCCCCCCCATCCCCAGCAGAGTCTCTGTGATCACCAGATTCTCCCTTCTGCGGCTACTCGGAAATTCTCCGTGAGGAATCTGTAGGAAATGTAAGAACCGTGATCAAAGAGGGCCACCAATGGGCGTTGAGAGAGACTACGTGATGACTTGATCCGCTATGGCTGAGCTCGAACAGCAGTGTAGACTGCAGAAACTATTTGTCTCTCCCGTAGTCTCGGTCCGTGGCGCAACACTACACTAATAACACAGCACCGATGATCCCAGCTCATCGCCCAATAGTTCAAACCGGAAGAGTGTTGACTGATTTCCCCTTCACCTTTTCACCACACCCATTCCCCGGTGTTGCCCCATTTCGCCGCCGCCTTCTCAGTTTAGTCTTCGCCCTGCTAATGCGGTTGGGTGGTAAGACAACAGAAAAACTCGACCCTTATTTTCATCCGTCCACCGCTACGGGATTGCCCACCCCGCACTTAGTGGGCGCTGCCGTGCCGCAGAGGCAACCCGGCCGAACAATGTTTAAGGGCGAGGGTCTGATGTCATGGGGTGCCACGCTTGCCATCGTTATGCTATGACTCTGTTGCTGGGGACTTGAAGGGAATAGTCACCTTCCATCCTTTCTACCAGCAGCCCAGCACCGAACCAAGACCGAGACGTGACCATGGTTGGGCATTCATCATGTCTGCCAAGGATTGCTGGGCGAACATATAATGCCCAGGCTTCGGAGAGGGCCCCCCGTCGTGAGTTCTTGCAACTGACAGAATTTCTTGTGTTTTGACTCCATCGTCAAGACCGAGAACTTAAGTAGAACCTAAACCCACCTTCCCACTGTTACACGAGGCTTTGCCACTTTATTTGACCCTTACGATACCCTCAAGATACCCTTCTAGTACTTCGACTTTTCGTTTCTCGAAACCTGTATACCCATTCGCAAACAGTAATACTTATTATACCCATTCTGCCATCAAGTAAAGCAAACACCCCGCTGTCTCTCCATTCTTCAGACACAACAGCATGGCCACCTCCGATTTAGAATCCAAAATCCGCCAAGCGGCCGTCAAGAACCGCCAACTCCTCGCCATCCTCGCAGACACAGACAACGCAATCCCTGACCTCCGCCAACAACGCCGCCTCATCACAGACCTAGACCACCAGCTCAAGGAATCAGACAAGATCATCCGCGCTCTCGACGGTCGCCGCAAAAAGGAACTCAAAGACCATGAAAAGTTCCGCGACAGCGTCATGCGCCGCTTTGTGCACAAAGCCGTCGGCAAGCGCGACAAATTTGACGAGCGCGCCGCCCGCGAGGAGCGCGAGTACTTTGACGTTCTCCAGGAGGAGCACCGCGAAAAGGAGCTCAACAAGAACGTAAAGGAACAGTTGAGCGACGCGCGCGAGGCGAGCAAGGCGCTTGAGATGGAAGCTAGGCGGCACGATGAGGCGCAGTGCGAGCTTGACAGTCTCTATGATTCAATCTTCGCGGGCCCGACGCCCAGTTACCCTGAGGAAGACACCCTCGAGCAGTCGGCCGAGCAGGCGCTGCACGAGTACCACGACACCCGCTCAAAAGTGGAAGCCGAGCAACACGCGATACGCCTTCTGACGGATGCGATGAAGCGGATGGGCGACTCACTGCGGCACATGGACGATGCCCTGAGTCACTCGCGCATGGACATGTTTGGCGGCGGGACGATGACGGACATGATGGAGCGAAACGCGTTGCAGCGCGCCGAGAGCGCCGCACAGGAGGCGAGGATGTTGGTGATGCAGGCGCAGAGGATGACGCCGTACATTGGGGACCTGCCGCCGATCAACATCAACCATGGGAACCTCATGGGAGATGTGCTGTTTGATAACATCTTCTCCGATATGGCGTTCCACGATGAGATCAAGAAGTCGAGAATGTCGATTGAGAAGTGTGCTCAAGTGTTAAGTCGGTATCTGCACGAGACGAGGGACCGACACATGTATCTTTCGCGAGAGCAAAAGGTGCGCGGAGAGAGGTTGGAGAGTACGCGAACGGCGCTGCAGAAGGAGAGGGAGAGGTTATTCGAACAGATTGCTGGAGGAAATATCGACATGAAGTTTGCATCTGACTCTTCGAGTGGTATGCCAGTTGGATTGAGGCATTGAATGGTGGTAGGACATGTTTCTTTTGGCTCAAAAAAAAAAAAAAAGAGCATGGGAATCTGGCGTGAAAGCCAGGAATTTGGGAAAATATTAGCAGCTTTAGATACCAATTTGCATATCACACGTTCAAGTGTCAAAGTAATTGTTCAATACTTCAATTGGGTTTCATTTCATCATATAATATCTGTCAGGCCGTTGATAATCCATACACACTGTCTAGTAGTCCATGCGCTCGTGGCGTCCACGCTGCTCACTGTGTCCCATTGTCAGTCATGGCTCGATGTGGATACGGCCCTGCAAGGCTTCACTTACGGGTTGTACTCGTCCATGTCGCCGTATTGCTCCTGGTACAGGTGCTCGGCTTGCTTCTCGGCGTGTCTCTTGGCCTTCTCGCGGTCGATGTAATCCAGGCCCTTGGTCTCAAAGAGCTTGTCGACCTCGGCGCCGGCGATGCCAGCGATCATCTCCTTGGCGAACTGGTGCTTGACGGGCTCGCCTGTAACGACAAGCACAGTCAGTACGAGGTGAAACGGCAATATGAAGTGGTAGAAAGCATACCGTTCTTGCGCTGACGGTCCTCGAACAGCTTCATGGCCTCAAAGGCAGCGCCGCCGGCGACGATCTCGTGGGAAAGCTTGCCCTCGTGCTGGCCCTCGTAGACGGCATCGCGGTGCTCCTTGGCTTCTCCGAATCCGAACATCTTGAATGAAATGGTGTGAGGTTTGGGTTGAGGTATATAGCCAATGAGTTTGTTTTGTTGTAATTGAGTGCGGTAGTTAAGTAGAGAGTTCTTCAGGACAGGTTTGAGGGTGCAGCTCGAGGGGTTCTTATGCCCCTCCGGCAACCAGGTCAAGCTCTCATGTGATCGTCATGGAGCCCATCTAAGCTTGCTCTATTTCGAGAAACCCCCTTGGCCTTCTGTGCCCCTGGATCACACTGCCCGATGACATGATGGAGGGGTCGATCCGGCGCCCCTCGCCCCTCAGCCGTCGATGCTGGCCACGCCTGCTCGGATGCACCTTTCACGGAGACCGCATCCCACCAATTCATGCTTTAGCTCGCGAATTCATTGGACATAGGTCGGGAAACCGACGGGAGGCCTTAGCTGAAGCATCAAACCCTTGACGCGGCGCGGGGTGGCAGGAAGGGTTTAGTCTGGTTCGATTTCTATCGAAACCAGTTCTGACCCAGGAAAGGCACGTCTTCAGAGACAAGCTATTGGAGGAGCCACCGTCTGGCGTCTGGCGTCTTCTTGCCGACTTAGCCTTACCCGACATGGGCTTGACGTAAAGCCGTGGATGTGTTTTGGCGGGGTCGCTCGGCACATCGGCAGCGCTTTCGTTCTCGCGGGAGTCGGGGACCTGACAACGGCTTTGTCCGCGTTTCCACGGCCATGTGTGTCTTTTGCGGATATGATTCGAGCGACAGTCTGAGGAGAGGAGTTTAGACTCTAGAGCCCACCTCTCTCTCTCTCTCCCTTTCTCTCTTCTCCGACTTTCAGACTCTCGGATCAAAAGTGGTCAACGGCCATGACTGAGCAACCAAACACTGGATGAACACAGCTCAACAAACGCTCTAGCCCACAAGCCTTCCCTTTGCTGCCAATTGAGCTAGATACAAGATTTGAGATGTTGCCCGGAACTCCACGCTTGTAGCCGATTCGGTCAAGCCCCGCCGGCCCGGGGACTTCGGCATTGGGAGCTGCGTCACTATGTCAGCCACCCCTGCTGGGCTGAACCAGAGACCAGAAAAACAACTGGGGACGTGCTGCGGCAAGAAAGCTTGACCGTCGCGCGGCTAACCGGCAAAGAAGGTCTCCATGCGCCGCCCCCTGTGCCTCCCTCTGGAGCTACCATCTCCAGTCTTGTTACACAATGATGCCCCCGTCGGGCCTCTCTCTCATCAGGATCGAACAAGTTGAGCCAACAAAGTCTCCAGCTCTCATGCAGCTTCGGCATATACAGCCCACATAACGTTTGATCTTGAAGAAAAGACAGGTCGACCCTGCATAACTTCAAGTCAAGCTGAGGTCTGGGTCCCTCTTCAATGACGTGTCAGTAAGCTCCGTGCAGCGGGTGTCTCAGAGACTCTTCAGTCCGATGTACAGCCAGAAAGGGGGGATCTCGAGAGTGAGGGGTAGCTTTCGTAAGGTGGGCAAGAGTTGTTTATTCTCCTCGGAATCGTCCAAGTTCCAAACCAATCCCCCCTCACCGCTTGAATCGACGATTCCAGACCCTCCTTCACAACAAAGAGCGGACGGAACCTTGACACGTGCCATCCGGGTCCAACGAGATAGCTTGGATGGGCTACCGCTGGGCTGACTGGCTGGTTGGTTGGCTGTTGCTGGCCGCTGTTCCAAGGTTTCGACTTGTGCCTTGGAAACTTGCATCCGCCCGGCAGCAAGCTCAGCCATGCGCGAGGTATCCGTAGACCGCTGCTTCACGGCCCTCATAAACCTGCTGATCTTACGAATGCTGCTCCAGAAGAAGCTTACGCATTATCAGTAAACGTGACACTATGGTTTCGTCACATTGCTTTTGTTCTCCGGGAGATCCCACAGTCCACAGCACAACTTATACCGGAGGCTTTGGTGAAGATTTGGGTTAATGGTCGAGGCCCGCGTGGTAGGGTAGCTGCCAGATCATCGATAGCCCGGCACAAGACGATCACCTTTCTTGGCAACAGCGGGATCATGCATCGTCGGAAGCCCCCCGCCTTGGCAAGGGTCCAGACGCCAGGGGCTCTTAGTGTCCACCCTTCCCACAGCTAGTGCAGATAGCTTCATGCCGGCTACTTCACCACCTCGAGATTGTCTGTTTACCTTCTTTTTTGAAATGAGTAAAGTCACTTGCTATGAGATTTAACTGTGCCATTGATTTTGTCACTGGGATGTTGGGGACGTGTCTTCGTCATACAATGTGAGCTTTCGACTGCACACAAAGTGACGACGCCCCGAAATGCCGCTGTCTTTGCAAGTCATAAAGTGCTCGCTTTGAATGCTAGTCGATGCGACCAAATATGGCCTGTCTATGACTTTCCACCAAACTTGACCAGGTACTCCTCGTGTGCCTTCTTCTGACTTTGCCATTGTTTCTGCAGCTTCTTGAGCTGGCTCTTGGGCACGTCACTGCCATCCTTAAGCTTAGTTGGCAGTCCCTCAGCGTCCCACTCCGAGTACTTCTCATCTCCCTTAAACAGCTCCGTGTGGGGAAGCTTAGCCTTCTCCCATTTGTCCTTCTCCGCTTGCTCGCGCGCCCGTTTCGCCTCTTCCTTGGCCCGGGCCTTGTCCGCTTCCCTGGCCAACTTCTCGTTCTTCGCCGCAATCAACTCCCTGGCGGGTACGAACTTGATCAATGACGACTTGCCATCTGGCCTGTCATCCAAGTATACTCCGAGGTTTGTCAGGTCTTCGTCACGGATCCGATCTGTAAGCAACAGGATGGCCTTCTTCGTCTCGGGGGAAACTGATGACACGATACGGCGAAGCTCGTCGCGCAGTCTTGAAGTAGCCCGCAGGTACGGCAGTGCCAACTGCTCGGGATCGCGAGCACCATTTTCAGCCAAAGAAGTGAACTCTGCTTCCGGGTTTTGTTGCGACAATAGGGCGGAAACGGAATCCGCCGAAGTCTTCAGCGCCTCGACATCCGACTTTACGGTCTGGAACACCGTCGCGTACGGCTGCACGACCGTCTTGGGGTCCAGCTTTGCGTTTGACGCAGGCGCTGCCCAACCAAGGCCATCATAAGGCGCTGTGGCATTCTCATCGAGACCAAAAGTTCCAAGGATCTTGGTGATCCAGCGGGCGACGGCAACAAGCGCGGGCAAGTTAGCCTCTGCATCTTGAGAAACAACGACCTTGTTAGCTTCGCTGACAAGTTCCTGAATAACACGCATCGCTTGAGGGGTATCAAAAGAGTTGGTGAGGGCGGTTTGCAGGTCAGTCTTGGCTTTTTCCAGACTGCTGACAAGTCCACCGGTGGGCTTCTCTGACAGTGACAGAGATTCGACACCATCGGAAGAAGCGCTAGCGTCTGCAACATATGCCTTGACGTTGGTGAAATAGTTCTGCCGAAATGTTAGCTCGAGAACAATTGCTGTGATATAGATCAGAGACTCACGTTGATGGTTGCCTCCCAACTGGATGCCTGGGCTCGCATGTCAGGGGAAATTTCCACACCATCATTCCACTTGCCCATGAGGAACACAATACGCATTCCTCTGGATGTATAAGTTGTGGCAAGTGCATCTTGAATAGTCTGGAAGTTCTTCAAGGATTTGGACATCTTTGAACCGGAAATTGACAGGTGGCCCATATGCATGAAGTTGTTGACCCACGTGTGCTCGCCCTTCGTGTTGTCAACGTAAAAGGCCTCGCTCTGGGCCAACTCGTTGTCGTGGTGAGGGAAGGCCAGATCGATACCGCCGGAGTGAATATCCATCTGGGCTCCGAGAATGTCTGAAGCCATGACGGAGCACTCAATGTGCCATCCCGGGCGTCCTTGGCCCCATCTGCTCTCCCAGTATGGCTCTCCCTTCTTGGACTTCTTCCACAGCGCGAAATCGCCTTCGTTGCGCTTCTCGCCCAGGTTCTTCGACAGAGCACCCTCTCCATCCTCCTGCAGTGACTTGTCGTTGCGGTTGCCGGGTCGCAGACGCGCGTATGTGTTGCCAGCCTTCTCGAAAGCTGTGATATCGAAGTACACGGATCCGTCGGACTCGTAGGCGAATCCCTTATCCACAATTCGCTCGACGAACGTTGCAATTTGAGGAACGTATTCCGTAACACGCGTGATGACATCGGGTCTCAAGCAGTTGAGAGCGTCCATGTCGTCAAAGAATTCCTTCTCCATGCTCTGAGTCAAGTCGGTAAAGATGGTCTGATCGCTCGTGTCGATAGTCTCCTTGTAGAGGGAGTCAAGGTACGGCAAAAGAATCTCATCGGTTCCAGGGAAAAACTTCTTGTCCTTGATCGCAAACGCAGCCGCGTCCATGTTCGCGATGTGCATCTTCGTCTTGGCCTCGTCGTCTCCAGGCTTGCCTTCGCCGGTCAGGGTACCGCCTGCGAGAACCTTTCCATATGCGCTGTCTCTACGCTTGAGGTAGTTGTTCTCATCAAGATCGGAGGATTGGATCAGAGACAAGCTCTTTTCGGCGTATGCGCGGAAAGCTGTCAGGGTAAGCTTCGCCAGCTCTTCGTCTGCGTACTTCTTCTGCTTCTCGAGTTCGAGCAGACGCTGTCTTCGGGCCTTGATGATAATCTGAACCACAGGAAACGGTCAGCAAAGCTTGGTATGTAAACGTCTAGCTAGTGAAGCGAACCTTGTCGTCAACATCAGTGATGTTCATGACAAACTTCACCTCAGCGCCGAAGTAGTGCATCATGATGCGCCGGATGATGTCGGTCGACACATAGTTGCGGGCGTGGCCCAAATGACTCTTGTCGTAGACTGTAGGACCGCAAGCGTACCAAGACACCTTGCCGGGGTTGATTGGTGTAAATGGCACCGGTTGACCGGGCCTCAAGGAGTTGTGCACCTTCAAGAACTCCATGGTCGCGATGGAGGAACAAGTCCTGGAGAATCGAAAGTTGGGTATCTGAGTGGAGAGAGAAATGGAAAGTCTGGTAAGTCTAAAGAGGCGATTCATCCAGAACAAAAGGAGAGGGGCACAAGAAGGGCAGGGTGCCTGAGAGGAGGGAGGAACGTGGAGAGAGAGTCAGAGGGTCGAATTTAGAGGGTTGAGTCACTCAATTGGGAAGGGAGGGGACGGCGACTTTGTTGGAGGGAGCAAATAGGCGCCCACCTATCAAAAAGGCGGGTGTGACACCATCGTCAGCCTCGCAGTCAATTGGGGCGCTGTGTCAACATTTGAGTGGTCGGCTTTGTCTTCAGCCACAACTGCCCCGCGCTCAGCCACGGTCAACTTTTTCCTTTCTCAGCCTCGTGAAGTTTTTCCTCTACTGATTCCAAACCTGCAAATCTGCTGGCCTTTTGCACCGTTCCAATTGTCCAGAAATCATCCCGGTCGACGTCGCTAAGCTGATTACAAGCCACGATGGCAACCGAAATCAGCAAAATGACGAAACCATCGCCATTCCTTCAGCCTGGCCCTAGGACATCAGCCAATTCCATCGCCATTGTCCAGCTCTCTCGCGACAACCTCGTTCCTCTCATCCTCCAAGATTCGACTGGTGCCGTCGATGGCTATGCCGAAGGAGCTGTGCTCAATACACGATTCGGCTCATTTCCTCACTCCACCCTGATCAACGTACCATGGGGATCCCAAATTCGCGCCTCAATTGTCGACACTGGCTCCAGAGGCCGCAAGCGCAAGAGGAAGGAAGAGGAAACGAACGCATCGACACCAGCAGCGGTGGATGAGGCTGAGGCGGAATCCAGTGCGCCACCTAAGAAGGCGGCCACCGCCGCGAGCGGATTCGTGCACATTCTACAGCCCACCGCCGAACTTTGGACCGCGGGCCTGCCCCATCGAACCCAAGTTGTCTACACCCCCGACTACAGCTACGTCCTCCAGCGCATACGAGCGAGACCCGGTACCCATGTTATCGAAGCTGGCGCTGGCAGTGGCAGCTTTACTCACGCCTCAGCTCGCGCGGTTTACAGCGGATACCCCGAGGATGACACCCAACGGAAGGGCAAGGTCTTCAGCTTCGAATTCAACGAGGATCGCTACGCGAAGATGCAGGAAGAGATCACCGCTCACGGACTGGAGGGCATCGTGAAGCTCTCGCATCGAGACGTTTACAACGGCGGGTTCCTAGTGGACGGTAAAAGCCCCGAGGCAGAGTCGGTGTTCCTCGATCTACCCGCACCCTGGGAGGCCCTTCCCCATCTGTCACGACGAAAGCCAGCGTCAAAGGATACGGAAGGCGAGACACAAGAATGGGTTTCTCCATTAAATCCCAAGAAGTCGGCCTACATCTGCACTTTCTCTCCCTGCATCGAGCAGGTCCAAAGAACGATCAATACAATGAGACAACTGGGATGGGTGGACATTGACATGATTGAGATCTCCCACAAGAAGTTCAACATTATCCGGGACCGTGCTGGGTACAGCCAGCCTGATCGCGGTATCGCGGCGAGCGCACGCGACGTGGGCGAGGCAGTCGGCAAGCTTCGTGAGATTGAGAGAAGAACAAGGGAGTATCACAACCCAGCAGATCCTAACTCGGCAGAGGACTCGCCGGCGGGTAACGCCATGGACGTGGACCAAGCAGGAGAAGCTACGAATGGTGATGATGAAGAAGGACCCTATGCGAGCAAGCCATGGCTGCAGGGCCGCATTATCCACCGCGCAGAGCCGGAGCTGAAGACACATACATCCTACCTTGTCTTCGCCGTACTGCCGCGTGAGTGGAGCGAAGAGGATGAGGCTGCCGTGCTCGCAAAGTGGCCGTGCGGCTCAGAAACTGGTGTTATTGGAGCCAAGGACAAGGAGACGCGCAAGCAGGAGAAGCGCGATCTTCTCGCAGGCAAGGGCAAAAGAAAGAAGGGCAAGTCTGGGAAGGCACAGACTGCCTAGGCGAATCTGTAACGGTTGTCAACGACCAATGCAAGTGGTGATGAGAATGGTAGATACCCTAGCATTAGTATCAGGGCCACATTCCAGGAGTGTGGTGGTAATTCATGAGCTAAGACGATTGCATCGACTTTTCTTGAGTTGTACTCACAGTGATTGTGTGTGCAACGAAATACGGACTGGGCCTCGTTTTTTCCCGGCGATTCAATAACCTGGCGATAGTTGTCATCGTAGAACATTTATCTCATTTGACCCGGTGTTCAGTCCTTGGCTACCATAGCTTCAGGCTGTCTCCCCTTGCCCTCGACCAAAACCCCAGCCTTCCTCAAAATATCGACCGTGTTGTTCACGACCTCGGGCTTGACACCCTCCACACCATCAGTAAACTTGACCGTCTTCAACCACTCTTGAGCGTCCGCCTCAGAGTAGTCAAGGTGCGTGCTAATATACTTGACAGCCTCATCTTTGTTCTCGTTGAAGTGCTGCACGCCCTTGTCAAGCTTTCCAAACAGGTCCTTGATCCTCGCATCGAGCTTCTGCCCTTCCTTGGCCAGCGCCGTCGACGCGACGATCTTCCAGCTACTCCAGGGCGTGTAGATTTCGCCGACACGGCGGATCTCGCCTGAGTCGTAGTAGCGCTTGGATGTGAAGTGCTCCCACATGAAGAAGTCAGCGTCGCCCGAGTTGACGGCGTTGCGAAGGTTCTCAAAGTTGTTGAGGATCACCGTGTCTGAGAAAGGCGCAGTGGACGGGGTGAGCCACCCATGCTGGTCGGCGAGAACGAAGCCCATGATCTGGCTGCCGGAGCCGATGCGGGAGACACCGATTTTGCCGCCCTTGAGGGAGTCTACGGAGGTGATCTCGGGACGCTTGGCACCAGTTGAGATGGCCCAGCCTTTTTTCTTCATGTTAGTAGTTTTCTGGGAAGCTGGCCTTCTGCGGTGAAACCTACAGAGGGGCGTGTCGACATATGTGCCGACGAGACGGTAGCCACCATCTCCAGGGGCATCTTCCTTGCCGAGGCCTGCGATCCAGCCCTCTGTGAGACCGATACCGATGTCGATCTCGCCGCCGCGGATGGCTGTGATCATGTGTCCCGTTCCGGAGGGGAAAGGAATTAAGGTAGCATCGAGGCCGAAGTGCTCTTTGGCGAAATAGAGGGGCGTGGAAAAGTGCTCCGGCACATAGCCGATCCTGAGTGGTGAGGCCATTTTTGATGAATGAAATGAGAAGAGGATTAAATAGCAAGTCACAGCTTGGATCTGTGATGAGTTGAGGGAATGGAATGATAAGAGCGGGAGCGGAACTTTCGACAGTTGCGGTTCTCGGGCCGGGACAAGTGAGGCGGCCGATGACTGTACAGTGAGTGAGTGAGTGCGGGGTCCTTCCCACAGCTTTCCAAGCTCTGCGTGTCAGTGCCGTGGTCCGCCCATCGGTGCAAAACTTAGCGGGGCCGCAGTGGGACACCCGGTCCCCGTTTCAGCCGTGGCGGTCCTTCACTCATCAATGAGTTTGATTCTGACGCATCACATCCTTCTTGGATATACGGTTGTCACCTCCTAGCTTTAGAAGGCATCCGTCACAAGAAATTTACTGGTACAGCGAGATGGACTCAAACGCTTGACACTTGTGCTCACATTCTGAGCTAGGATGTGAAGGTTTTCAACAGAGATGAAAGCCTGCGATGTTGAACCTTGTAGGTTGAGTTTAAACATTCAAGTAATTTGGTGAAATGCGGCGAAGAACCCAAGGTATCTGAATGTCTGTGCCCCCCTTCTTTCTCAACTTCACATATAAAATTGGATAGGCTTGCACGCTGATTACTCCGGCTCTCGCTTTTCAAGTTGTTAGGGTTTCTAACAAGTAGTTCTCATGGCATTGATCTCTCAAGAAATACTCCTCACGATGATGTCCGAGAATGATTGTTGACGTTGATAACCCGCACGGCAGTGAGTCTTCTGTAGGTTGACTAAACACCGCACAGTGGTCTCCCAAAGATGATTCATGAATGGAGGAAGAAAAAAGCGATGTGACATAAGCGCTGTATTGTTCAGGCGTCCATATGTTGCCTTCTTCATGCAGGCAATGGCTCCCACACAGAAGGCCAACGAATCACCTCCACGAACGTGATCTCTTGTGCAACACCGTATGCATCGAGATTTCGGTCTTGGCGGGTCGTTGCCTCATTACCCTCTTTCTCAAGACAAATAGGACAAGGAAACCTCTCATCGGAGAGTTACGTATTCCTCGAAACCGGCAGAAATCACTGATTTTCAAGCTTCACCAAACCCACCGGTCGGTCAGCCATGTGTTATCAGATCACCGAACTTTACTCTGCATGTGGATGTCTTTACTATCAGCATCCAATTGACAGATGTGCATCATACAAAAGGCCAGGGCACCAGATTCAAAAACGGACAATATTGGTGGGCTATGCTTGCCACGCCCATAGCGACTGGCACTCAGGCCATGACAGGCTCTCAAATCTTAGTCAACTTCAGCATTACGGTATTTCTGAAGACAATGGAGGTAAAATTACGCCTAGCGAAGCTCGGAAGGATTCGACACCGAGACCGGGCCTTTTGCAACTTCGCGATGTCACACAGCGCAGCGCACGCTTGGGCAGCGACGCCCAAAGGCCAACGAGAGAAAACCCGGCTCAGACGCCGTCATCTCACCAAGGCTCGAGATCAGGAATCGGTGGCGATGGCAGGCCAGAAACGAACAGCTCTAGAAGTTATGCGGAGCCCACAGAGAGTGGTAGTCCCGCACGTATGCACGCAAGGTCCTACAACTCCCGAATGATCTACTAAGTCTCAGTCACAGAAGAACATGAACTTGCAGCCGTCTGCTCGTACTTGACTGAAGATCCCGAACTGGATTTTCTTTGGCAAAAGAATGCAAAGCATGCATTGGGTATACATGCTCTCGTATCAAACACATCTGTTTGTCTTTCCATCTACCTTGGCCGGCTACAAAGTCTTACTTCTTCGGAAGAGGAAAGAAGTATGTTGGGCAGACTCAAAGATTCTGAGCCCTGGATAGCATCATCAATTGCTAGCAAATACTCTTCCTATGTCCAACATCAGGATGCCGATGAATACCCTGATGAAAAAGTCCATCAGCTCGCTCAGGTAGATAGTGGACCCCAGAAAGTGGAAGCAAATGATTTCCGGCGACATCAGGCGCTTCTACAGCATAAAGATGCTCTGGAAAGTATGAGAGAAGCTTTGAAACTTTCCACAACAACATCTAACTGGGAAGACCCCGCCTTGATACCGACATTGCAGAGATATATCATCGTAATTCGAAACGGCTTTATACGCCTGAAATTTCGTCTGTCAAAAAGCTTGCTATCAGGTTCGACTTCTCAGAATATAGAATGGTGTTGTGTAAGTCCATGTCTTTCCGGCTTCGCACTGGGTTAAATCACATGACGCCACGAAAGTTGCTTACCATTCTTCCGTATATCCAGCCTGCATGTGGCACACTTATCATGGATAAGTACCTTGACGGAAAGGAAGCTACAGTATCAGATCTGAAGGTTTGCCTTGCAAATTATTCGAAGCTAAGATGGCAAGAGAATTTGAACGTCTTCCCCGGACGGCAGAAAGTAGGCACGCAATCCGATGCCGTTACCAGCCTGGGTCGTCCTCTAGCTATAATCCGCTGGATTTGGAACCTGGTACGCATGCCTCGAAGTCTACCGCGACATCGGGAAGACCTCGCTTCCAAGGACAACAGTCCTGGAACATGTAAAGCGTCAAACAGTCAACAGAATCAAGGAGCGAGACCTGATCATCATTTCTTACTATTGTGCATACCTTTCATGAGATGGGGTACAAGGGCTCATCAACCAGACGTGTGCGGCATTCGTTCCGACCAGAATTTCTTCCGTCTCCTGCGCGCATCTTACGATGCCAACAGATCAGGGTATCCATGGAGTTGGTTGAAGAAAGTGAAGTTCATCAATTTTGTCAAGGTAATAATATCAACGACCCATTCTCCGTTATTGTTCAGCATGTAGATGCAGTTACCACCGATTTGAAACACTGACATATCTCTCTACCTAGTTCGAGCTACTTCGAAACGAGCTTGTCAATATTTCTGACTCTGCTTTTCTGCCAATCGGCCCAGGCTTCGAATGCGAACGTCTTGACACTGAACCAATCATTGGCTTCAACTTAATGATGCATTTGTTCGAAAACCCAGATCGCGCTGATATTTTCCCCGTGCTCTTCAAAAGGATTCCTCGAAAGATGAGGAAACAATTACAGCCATGTCCTATCAGGGGAGGTTCTACCGGGTGGGGCATACAGTTCGTGGAGTCCTTGAATGAGCTCTATGTTTTTCTCTTTGGTTGCGTCGGGTTTCTCGTATGCTTGGGAATCTCTGTGACCTGGACCGTAATCCACGATGACATCCAAGGAGGTTTTGCGATCGGTGGATTTGTTTTGGCCTTCATCCTATTCTGTGGTGGTGTGCTTCACTCTTACGCCGCCTAGAGAGGACGGGATCCTCGTGATAAGTGGAGTTGAACAGGCTGTAAGGGTATCTATCTGCATTCTCCATAGTTTCTATCAACATGAAGCAACACAGACCCAGAAGATATTTGGACACACGTCAATCTACGAACTCAAGCAGGCTCAGGCATTCAGGAATTCTTTGCTTTTGCCCAGTCTTTGGTGATAGCCCCGAAGGTTCCGCAACACTTCCGCAACAGGACGTACGATATTTGCTGTGGCAGAGTCACCAGAATCTTGCGAGCGAATAGCCAGCACATGCACTATGCATATCTGTGGATTATTTCAGCTCTGTGCATAATTTAGAGATGGAAGGTCTCGCCGACAAAGTCAAGATAGGAATGGATAAGTATTGACCCTATGAACTTGTGGGGGTTGAATCAGGCTCGCCGGGGATGGGGAGAAACGGGGAACCAGCTTTCCGAGTTCGAGATCATTACTTTTGTTACGAGAGGTGGTAGAGGCTCTTCCCATACATACCTTCCCGGATCTGGACGTCTAACCTTTGTCACAGCCCAGAGATCGAGTTCATTCCCGCGAGAACGATGATATGTGAGAGCCTTCCACAGAAACTACCTAAGTACTCAAAGATTTTCATTCTGACATAAGATACTCAAGGAAAAACTTCAAGGCAAAGCACTAAGATTTCGGTGGCAGGGACAAGTTCGAAGATATGTGGTATTGTGTTCTGGAATCAGTGAAACGAGACGGGTTCAATCTCAAGTTCATTGAGGCAGTGGGGCCGGATCACATCGTGCCCACGCAACTTCTCAGACTGGGAGAACAACTCAATAAAATGCGCGATGATGGGTAATGTGATAATGCCATTGACTATGTCAAAGTTGCGAACCCGAAAAGCGGCTATACCAAGTCGGACGTTGCCGAGGAGAGAGCCATTGACCGCAAGTCTTCCTTCAACTCGCTCTTGCCTTTGTCGACTGTCGAGACCCCTGAGCAGCCTTGTGAAGGTAAGTGGATCTACTTCGCAATTGAGAGTACGAACACATTCGCTAACAGACACATGTAACAGCGGGTGATCACGAGAGAGACACACGCATGGAATCAGTCACCAACGCCATCTCCGAATCGTACATACCAGCGGATGATGACAAGGGAGAGGTCAAGATGGAATCCGGAACGACACTGTTCCTGAGGAAGAAAGAATCAAAGTCTGCCGACGGATTGGGGACTCAGAAACCTGGGTTCGCTTCGTTCCATCGGGTACCGCGTCCTTGAGAATCAGCTCGACGTGGATTCGGCGTTTTCTGGAAGGAGGCTTTCTCCAGGACAAAGCTCTGAAGAAAGTCATTCCGGAGCGAAGAGTCATGGAGGACGAGGCTCTTGGAGTTGTCAAGGTGATGGTCTCGCACCCGGAGGTGCTGGCAAGAATTATGTTCCAACGATATGGAGTTGCAGGGCTTGATGAGCTTGAGAAGGAATCGGACTGAGTATGATCGGAGAGGCAACGGATTGGAACTATTGGGTGATTAAAGTTTCCCTCAGCAGACCTTCGATTACACAGTCACAACCTGACACTTCGCGTAGTATCTTCTGAGATACGACTCTTTTCTGCAATTCATGACATGGCTATGAGAACGATTCTGCCCTGTTACTCTTCGTCTGTCCTCGAAACATGTGGTCAATAATAATTGTTCGAGCTGATTACAATGATTCTCGCTAAGAAGCACCTGATTGATGCATTCCCGCCCTTCTGAGAAAGACTTGCAAGAACAAGTACGCAGTCCAGGCAGGGATTCAATACATCTAATACACTCAAAGGCAAAGGCATTTCCAAACTCAAGTCGATACAACGAAGGCAATCAATCAATCGACCAAGCTCGTTAAGTAAGTAGACCCTGAGAGAAGCGTCAGTTAGTGCCCCTTGTTAGCTGATAGCCTAGACTGCTTTACTGCGTCTCATCTGCATTATTTCACAACCAAGGTCTCTATCAGTTGCGAACATATCGAACAAAACTTGCCAGCATAGAAGCAAATCTTACAAGCAAGAACGGCGGGAAACGCCTTTCGCGCAAATCAGTCCTGTTGAGAGATGACGTTTCCTCTGCCTAGATTCGTTGCCTTTGATGGCTTGCCGTCACCAGATGTGGAATTGAAAAAGTCGAGTGTCAACTCTGTGTCTCGCGCAAACTGGACACGACTATTCTACTCCAGACATTTCTACGAAAGTAATAACATTCTAGGCAGGAACTTCGGTATGTTCGCTCGAGGTACTCACAACTTCACCCTCGAATCGTCCGAAGGGTCAAGTCAGCTGCTATCACTATCAACAACTTGGACTCAGTCCGACTGGGACATTGGCGCCTAATCCGGGCACACATGATCAGTTTCTCAGCTCAGGCTTCCAGTTGGTGAAATGGATAAACCGGACATGGCCTGCAGTAGCGTTGTCAATAGTCACCAGCTGAAAACCAAATGTGGAAATATTAAGAGACCAGCCCTGGTCAACGAGCTAGCAGCCCTATAGAATTAGAGTACCCGAGACACTTAAAGGGAGGACCCTGCCGCCAACCACCATTCATTCGTCATGCATGGGCTTTCCTTGTGTTCGCCTCAATAGCCGCGCTCTTCGTCCCAACAATGACGGCAACCATGCCTTCCGTGCCGCCTTTGCCGGATCAGCAAGACATTGCTGATTTCAGCTACAACCACGACAAGGTAATCCTGCCCTCGGCATCAACTCACATCAGACTTCTCGAACTCTATCCGTCGACACACGGATTTGACGCCGCATCCGCATCCGCGTCCGGAGGACCCAGTATTACAGACGAAAGTGATTCTGACAACGCGTCGTCTCACTACTCGAGCCCTCTCAAATGCGCCATCTCGACTACCCCGATCGCCACGCCGCGGCTATTCAAAGCGTTGTCATACACCTGGGGTACATCGGGAGCAACTCACAGCATTGACGTCGAAGGAGCGAGCTTTCGCATCACGGCCTCGCTCGACACGGCGCTGCGACATATTCGTCGTAAAGATGAGCCTGTCACGCTCTGGATCGATCAGATCTGCATCAACCAAGAGGATGGTGCGGAGAAAGGAAACCAGGTGGCTCTCATGACCCAGATCTACACCAAAGCGGACCAGGTTATCGTCTGGCTGGGCCCGGCGGAAGACAACTCCGATGCCCTTATGGAGTGTTTGCAAGAGATTGGACAAGAGGCTGCTGACCTGGCCATCGAGAGCTATCTCACCAAGGAGCGGCTGCCGCTGTTGCACAAGATCATGAGAAATGAGAATCCAGAAGATCCAGTGACTATGCAGTACCAGCCTCTAATGGCCAAAGCCGTGGCCAAGCTCCAAGGCCTTTTACACGAGATGGTTGCTTGGAACGAGAGATTGTGGTTCACTCGGGTCTGGGTTATCCAAGAGCAAGCTCTCGGTTCCGACCCGTTTTTCCTCTGCGGGTATAAGACAGTGAGACTGGACTTAATTCCCTTCGCCATGCTTATCTGGGACGGATGCGTCTCGGAGGCGACGGTCGAGGTACCGCCTACTGGAGCTGACGAGTTTAGACGGCTTCTGCTAAAGGCCCAAGATCGTCGCTCTAGTCCTTTGATGGCTGTGAGACGTAGGCGCCGAAACTTCATCAAGGGCGTAGGTCCGGGAGATGACTTTTACCACGTCTTGAAGAAGGCATACGTCGATGGGGACGCCCAAGCGACACAAACTAGGGACAGAATCTACGGGCTGCTCAGTCTTGCCACTGATGCGGATAAGCTGGGTATTACCCCAGATTATGTCACCGAGGAGAGCCATCCCACCTTCATCGAGGCAGCTCACGCTCTCGTTCGTGTTGGCCGCATAGAGATGCTCTCATTCTCACAGTTCCCCAAGGACATTGAGGGGCTGCCATCCTGGGTGCCAGACTGGAGGTCAACACTGGAACATTCGTACTTGTACGCCTTTGAGGACGCAGAAAAGCTCATTGTGCGGGCTTCAGGCGAGAGCTCGATCGAGCTCGTGCCCACGGATAACCGCGGTGTGCTCGGGATTCGGGGGATGATTGTCGACACCATCGAAACAACAGGCGACGTGTGGAGGTGGGAAACAGACCGAGAATTCCGCTACAAACTTCTCCAGACGATCACAACCTTGTGCGAGGAGGCAGCGGCAAAGGGATTTGGCCACGAAATTTACGAAAATAGCGACAGACAGGCGGAAGCCATGTGGAGGGTGCCCGTGGCAGATCTGTACTGGACCAAAGGGGTCAGGTACCACCGACCCGGTTCAGCCGTCAAGAGCGACTACGAGGACTGCATGAATGTCCTCAGGCTACTCTCTCTGACGTTCGAGTCTTTTCCCCCAGAGGAACGCCAGCAGCTTTTGGACGATTTCTACAGACAGATTCCGGGGCAGTCCAATTACAGCGAAAACATGGACAAATTGTCTGGCAAGCGCCCGTATATGACGCGGCAGGGATACTTGGGCATGGGCCCGGGCGAGGCATGTCCGGGCGATGTGGTGGTGATACTACTCGGCTCTCGGATCCCGTATGTCCTGAGACCGTCCGGAGACGGGACGATGTACTGTTTCGTAGGGGAGGCATATTGCGATGGAGTCATGGACGGCGAGTTGTTGACTAAGCGGGAGAAGACGACGTTTCTGATTGCTTGAGTCGGCTGGTCGTCCATTCACAAGAGGAGGGGGGGAGGACACGTCTGAGTTTCGTGGGAGGCAAAGAAGCGCTCGAGCAGCAAAGTTTTGTTTTATCTGGGGTACTCGTCGAGTGTTTCCTCTAAAGGTGTTCTGTTCGACCGTCCGATCTCTATGTGAAAAGTCTATGGAAAGAAAAGCCAGTTCCCCCAATGCCCGCCGTGATGTGATGGTATGAATGCAATCCGTAGGATACATCAATAAGAAAATGACAGATAGGAAATAGTCAGGTAGAGACTGAAGGGTATTTCAAAAGTGAAAAAAAAAGAATCCAATTTGGAATTTCGCGCGCTGCTTTTTTTGCACGCTGATGAGATATGCTGCCCAAAAAATGATAAACTCCCTTCGCTCGGCCAGAGCGGAAATATTGCCAGAAACCTCCCAGACCTTGATCTGGCGCTATGAACATTCAAGCATGAACAGTGAGCCAACCCTGGCCCAAGACGGCGCAAGTACGTATCCGTGAGCGGAACAGCGTACTGCGATGAACCCTACGATCGAGCCGCAGACAAACCGTTTCCCACGCAGTCTCTCTCTCTCTCTCTCTCTCTCTCTCTCTCCTCAACTCGTCCGCTGTACCGTGGATTTGCTCAGTGGTCGTTGTAGTCCTCATCTCTCATGGTGTACATGATGTCCTGGATGACAACCGCCCTGATGTGGTGGTACAGAACGAAGCAGTAAGCTCCGAGTAGACAAACACTCATTCCTGTTGCGAACCATTTCACCGCCTCGTTGCCTAGTTGGTTGGCGATGGTGATGGTGGCGAGAGTGAAACCGGTGTTGGGGAAGACCATGGCCCACCAACCCAAGTGGAAGTAGACAGGCGGCGATGAGATGACGGCGATGGTCGCAATGCCAAACCACCAGGCAGCCAAGGCCCAGAGGAAGATAGCGCTCATAAGAGCGATGGTCCTGATGATACCGGCGTCGATGATGATTCCATCACGGTCAGGGTCGAGGTTGTTGGGGAGTCCGTTGGCCATGCCAATGAGAGCGAGGGCAGTGAAGGCTGGGGGACCAACGTTCATGAACAGACCAGGGCGATGCTCACGGTGAGGAAGACCTGCGGACATGAGGCGGCCGACCATGTGTGCGTACATGAGAACGGCAACGGATAGACCAAGACCCTGGCAGGTGAGGCCAGCAACGACAATAGGTACCGCCGCGATCTCAGGCTGGGTGTCAGCGATGACAGAGGCGATGGTGCCAGTAAGCATGATGGGGAAGATGGGCAGAATCCATGTCGGCATCATGGTCTGGAGACCAAAGTTGTGCCTAGCAAAGACGAAGCTGTACTGGCCGATGGCCAACATGAGCGTGACGATGAGGTAGCCCCAGAAGGCAACCTGGATGGCCCACACAAGGGTCTCATCGTTCTCGGGGATGGCGTATCGGTTCGTGCTGGTGATGAGCGTTGCGATGGACAAGAAGAAAGTCGGGAAGAAAAAACCCTCACGTTCGTGCGTCAGGGACTTCTTCATATCTCCGGGGTAAAGGAAGAATCTTGTCAACATGGCGGAGCAGACGAGGACGAAGAGGATGATGTTGATGACATAGACGACGGTACCGATTTGTCTCAGTCCGGGGAACTGATGAGGTTGTGCGAAGATGAGGAGCGCGAGACCTCCCGTGCTCATGGTGAGGGTGTACCACGCCCAGGTAAAGTGGTGAATACGCGCCTTCCAGCCCATCCTCGGGCGGTTGGGGTCGTTGATGTCAATCATTCCGAGGCCGGGAACATCGCGCAAGTGGCCGTGAGCGGCGCCGTGAGGTG